TTCTCGACCATAACCCAATATAAAAACACGTTAAAATTGTGCAGCAGCAGGATTCCAGTCAAACCAGTGAGTTTGGCGGTTTTGAGACATCATCTTTCATTGAAAAAAAAACTTTTTCATTTTGCCGACGCGCATGGCTACGGCGACGCGCGAGCATACCAGAAACCGGAGACTTTTTTTTTGTGGTCTTACTGTAATGTCACTGGTACATGTATACATGTACATTATAGCCATCTATTAAGTTTTGTAAGGAGTCTGACATGATTTATATTAATACTCAAATGCCATTTCATAACACCACATTTGCATCACAATAGGGCATCATGTGGAGTAACACACCCGATTTGAAGGACACAAAGAGCTTTCAAATCTTGCAGGAAAAGTCACAAGTCTAGCAAGATGAATGACACCTTCAGCTTTGTGTATATGTGTGTTTGAGGGATGCTGGAAAAACACACACAAAAAAACACTGTTCTTTTCAACCATCAAGGTGCAGCTCGTAAAGAACCCATAGGCCACAGGGAGTGCCAGAGTGCAGGCTCTGTCCCAGGAAAGGAAATTGTAGCAGATCCAAGCATATGCATGAAGTTAACAGCTGGCTCGTAGCTAGCCGTATAACAGATGTAGCATTTAAGAAAACTGTTTGTTCTCGATCTCAATGATGGTTAGGCCAAAAAAAATAAGTCGGTCTCTGGTCAGTGCGCGCGTCGATTTTAATCATGCGCGTCGATCTTTTTTTTCTCCAAAATGTTCCGCGGTAGCTCCAACAGCGCCCTCTATTTCCGCACCTCCTCAATTTTTTTTTACCAAAGAGCACCAAGGAATGGGAAATTGCACCAAGGCAAATGATCGAAAGCACCAAGGCAAATTATGGAGGACACCAATGTACATGAGGACACCAAAAAAGGAAAATAGTACCCCACCTTGTCTGTACAATCCAAGCTTGAAGAAAAAAAAAAAAAAAAAAAATTCCAGAACTTTGGTCTGACCAGAGACTGAAAAAATTTTTTTTTGGCCTTAGGTATAATACTAATCCTGAATGAAATGATTTGTACCTGTAACGTTTTAATGTATTTTGCAAGTTTTAACGTTATTTCAATACTACCTTTCATTTAAGTAAGATACCGGTGATTTGACTGTCACACACATCGTGTAAAATTCTTAAACTCATTCCCCATCTGGTACATTTGAAAAAATGCTAATCCTAAAATGTAACTATAAATGATTTTTACCTACAACCTTCTTGAATGTCTTTCATAAGTTTTAACGTAATTTAAATGCTCCCTTTTCAATGTAAGATAAATTAACTACAACACATTCGGTACAGTAATATGTATTTCTTTAAATAGACAATCTTCCTTATAGTCAGATTTTTATGCACAATGTTTAAACTTTTTCTAATATCAGTATTTAATGTTATATTTTTTATTATACATGTATACACGTACAAACTCAGTAATACCTTTTAAAATGTTTTTTTTTTTAAATGTAAATCATGTGCAATTCAGCTGTGGCTGCTATTCCTGATTTGTTAATAAACCATGTTGAATTGAAAAAATTGAATTGAATAGGTCCTAACCATCGTTGGCACTGATACAAAATTCCTCTTTTCTTGAGAATTGACAGCACACCGGGCTCAGCGATTTCACAGGATGTTTGGGCTACTTGATTATATTTTGGCAGTTTCGTTTTTGAGTGACTGCAAATGATCCTATATGCCTTTAATTCACAGGCAGTCAATGTGCGGAAGCTATGAATCATTACTATTAGTAGAAGGGTCAAAGTTTTGAGTCAGGCCCGAGTAACAAGCCAATGTTGCAGCCGGGAATTTCCGTCTTGAATGGCCGTGATCAATTTTTAAGGTCACTTGCAGTTCTGGTGGGCACCAAAGTCAAGACCAAGGCTACATACCGTAAGGTCATGGCCATGGGCTTTTAAGTTTCATATGATCCAGAAATTACAGTAGATGTAATTTCCCCTGGTGATTTCCACACCAATTATCAGGAAAGATAGAATCTGCGTTTCTAAACATAGATGTGTAAATTAAAATGTGTAATTTAAAAGAGGTGTTTCTAAAAATAGTACAACTGAAAATAAAACCGCTTCGGATAAACATCCAGCAAATAGGAGAGATTTCCAATGTACACTGTGCAGTGCCTTACAAGGTTCATGTACATACAATGTACATGTACAATGTATATTTTGACACAGGCAGGCCACTTTTCAACTGCAATGTTGATTTTCCTGCATATATAATCTTGTAGTTACCAGGGCTGTGAATAAGCCAGGTCGGTATTTCAACTGCGCCTGCGCAAAGTGATATGGGTCACGGGTCATTCGAGATAATCAAACGCTCATCAAAGGCGCATGAATGCGCACTGAGACGGGCGCACGACGCTCGCGTGCTAATCACAAGCAGAATGGGCATCCGCGTAACACCGCGTATCATCACGTCAGCGATTTTATTCCAAATGACCTTTGACACGGACCACTTCATCGAGATGCTGAACTGGCTCATTGTCGAGTAACTTGGCATTAGATTACTCGAGCTTGGATTTGATTGAATATTCAAAACACGGAGGTCAAGTTTTACATGCGCCAGCCTCGATTGCATGCATAGGCTTGTCAGCTTGTCCGATAAGATCAACAGGCATGAAAATTTGTCATGGCGCAGAGCAACCGATAAGATATCACAAGCAGGAGTCCGTTGCCTGTCCCCATACATGTACACGTGTGTTATGAGGTCAGTCTCCAGTCTATTCAAATCCAAGCAGGATACCAGTGGTAGGACTAAAATCCAGATTTTTTAAATTCGGTTTGAATTCCACTATTTGGTTTGGATTCTGGAAACCAGATATCCAAACTAACCTCTAAAGATTCAGGCCTCCCATTCTTGTGTGACACAGGCTAAAGACAACAACTGGAACATCCCCCAATTTGCTCCATGGTCTCTGATTGTAACTGCATTGACTCGCTTGCAGTCTTCTTGGTTCATGATAAGCCTGCCCATTTGACTGATCTGAGAGTTCCAACCCATTTTTCCCCACATTACAGCTCTGGAGTGTTTTTGTGAAGGCCCAGTGGTCATTCAATCCTGCAAACTACAGTGGAACGTCGGCTATACCGAACATCGTCCTTGGCTCCCGATTTTTGTGTACAACCAACCGAACATTGGTGTTGAAAACCATCAACAGAAGAGCGAAAGTGGCAATTATTTCCCCAAGGCATAGAAGGGGAATGCCACCCATCGATGTAGGTAGTAAGCTCAAAACTGTGTAATTACATGATTCAATAGTCGGCATGTATTAGAAGTCCTCTTTCAGTAACTACCAGGGCATGCAGGGTGAAGTTATGAAGGGCGCTATTTATTGAAAAGTGAGTACCGGAGCACCGGCAGCTTAAAATCGCTACACCGAACGATCACTATTACAAACATTTTCTGTGGATCCCGCGATGTTTGTTATAGCTGCGTTCCACTGTATACCATATCGTCCTGAACGGCATTCAATGCGGCACCTCACTCCTCACTTTTTGTTGGCATGACTGTGACCTGAATAGGAACTTCCGGTGAAATGGGAACTTCCGGATACCTGTTATTTGTTTTGGGAAATTTTCTTTGGATAACCGGATTTTTAACTCTCTGATTTCTCCCACCATTATAGGATACACAGCCACATGAACTGGACTTTCACAAACACTTTGGGTTTTTCCCTCTGAAAATAGATCGGTTTGGAATTTCCTTCCTTCTACTGTATCTGTGAACTTCCCTTTCGTTCCTGGCATCTCCAAATGACACTAGATAATTGACACTAAATTGCTGGGGTTTCCCACGATAAAAAAATACTGAAAAAATAATTGTGATGTGATCAAGCTGAATGAATTGTTTGTCGACCCTGGTGAACTTTTTTTTTACAGATTTGAAAAGAGCACAATCACAGCATTATACTGCTGTGAAAACTGCATGCTGGTACCATCTTTAGTTCAAAAATTATGAAAGTCGGAACACCAAGAGATGTGAGGAAGTGATGTGATAAAGTGGCCCTCTTTTGGCCTGAATCTCCAAATGAAAGTTCCCGACAAACGACTCATTTAGCTTGATCGCATCACAATTGGAAACTAAACAAGTTCTGTATTCAAACTGTGTGTGCAATTCAAGTTCAGAGTTTACAATGCTTCCTTTTGGGCTCTAGATAACCAATTGATATCAAAACATGAAACTGAAAGAAAATGTCTTGTTCCGAGGTACACAATTCTGTGAAAATTTGAAAGGCACCATCTTTTACAAGTTTTTTTTTAGTTGTTCCAAATTATGTGTGAATTTCCATCTCCTTTGTGAGAGTTACACAAAAAAATGCTGATCCGGTGACCATAGCCCGATAGACTTGATGTGTTTATATCACAAAGTGAAACTTGTCAAATCCTCAGGTGCATAAACGAGGAGAGAATACAATCTTACTTACGGCGCCTAAACATTTGAAAAGAGATTTATTCACATGGTGCTACCGCAAACCTATCTTGTCTTAAACATTTGAAGTTGAGATCATTAACTCTCGTTTTGTCTGATCAGTCACAGACAGTCAAAAAGTCAATCCAGTTCCCCTACCATGCCTTTTACACAGGCTAGTCACCAACAGTCAGATCATATTTCAAACAAGCTCTTTGACTAGTCAAATTCAGTCAACAGGCAAAAGCAGACAAGTGGTAGGCACAGCTGGCTTATCAATCACCTACAGTCAAAGCATAGCTGTATCAAGTACAGTCACAGCCAATCAATCCTGCTGTATACACCGGTAGGCTTGGAGGTCTTAACTGTTGAAAACAGTCACTTGATTGATTTTGACTAAAAGGACAGCTTTGCATAGAGTGTATGTTTGCATGCATGTAGGAGGGTTCAAACAGTATACACTTTTACTTCTATGAAATCCTAATATCATTCCATATATGAGGGTCTTTTCCCCAGGAATTCAATTTGAAATGAAGAATGTCTCAATGGCACTTACCATTTCTTAGTGACTTCAACCATGAGTTCGTGGAACGACGCCGTGAATTTGAACTTGGCGGCCCGCTTGCCGACCCGCTGCAGTCTCTTCCAGACTAACGCCATCTTGACTGACCCTGCGATTCCTTTGCCAACTTTTCCTTCTCCGCCACTTTAACACAGCGCAACCAGGAAGTAAAACAGATTGTCTTTTCTGACCAGCAAAACGTCGCTGCAAGTCCTCCCTGAACTCTGTGGGCTAAAAAAAAAAGGGAAGTCAACGATAACTCTACAATCTGGGATTTCCTGAATTGGTTTTAAGGTTTCAAATGGCATACAGGAACTATGAATGATGATGCTGTAATGGTTGAGAAATCTGTTTAGGGGCTTTCACGCATACATGTACACCCAGTCTTAGTCCGTAGTTGTGGGCACATACACTCGTCTGTGCGAGGTATTTGTGGGGACCAAAAACGCTGTGGGGACAGCAGAAAGTCCCCATAACTCGGTCCTAATTTGCAAAACATTAAAAAAAATTCCCCACAACGCGGTGTAGGCATACCCATGTCAACACACATGTACATACATGTGAAGAGTTTACATGTATATCAAAAAAACGCAATATATCCATTTGAAATAAAGTGAAACATTTGCACCGTTGTGATCTTTAAACATAAAAACAATTATAACAGCTGTTTCTAACTTTTTCCTTCCCTTTACTGTTTTCTAGAAAATTGTGTTTAACTGCATAACAACTGTCAAAACTGACTTTGGCTAGCCAGGAGAGGGCGAGATTCTAAAAGATAACAAAATGGCATTAATTGCATTTTCAAAATATACCCTTCATGTACAGGGTACCATTTTGTAAGTGAAGTTCTGCATGTAGCACTTTCAAAATCTAGGATATGAAAGCCCCATTCATAAGGGTTCTTTTAGCAAAACAAAAACAAATCACATAGGGATGTGTGTGAATTGTTTTCGTTTTGCTGAAAAAACGCACACCTTGTTTGTGATCCGTGGACAGAACTTTAAAATGGTGGTTGTGTTTAAAATTCGGTAACTTGAAAAGTACATGAGTGATTTGAATGATTCTTGCACTAAAAGAAAGCACTTGAATTGGGCTTTGATGTCCTAGATATTGAAAGTGCTACATGCAGAACTTCACTCAAACAATAGTCCCGACATTTCGGTTTCGTTTTTTTTTTACTCACCCTGTACATGCAGAAAGTTCACGTACAAATGAGTGAATGAGATGATAATGAGTTGTGTAAGTTTACACAAGTTTGAGCTTGTATTCTAAAACTCAATACAAAATCTATGGGTTATACACGTACACTGTACATGTGTGTATCATAATTTTTTAGAAGATACAAACAATTAACAATTTAAGTACTTTTTGGCAAAGACAGGGTGATGGGTCAAGAACATATGGGTCATTTTAGGTCCACAGAATGCCATTTTTCCTGTCCTGTTACCTTGGTACTTTTGTAATTTGCCATTCAAGTATCAATAAGAATGACTTCAAATGATGTTTTTTTAATATGTTGGGTAGGTAACGTTTGCTATTCATATTCACTCTTAGAGGACGACTGTATTGAGGAGTACATCCGAATGATAAAATCATGGATGTCAGATGTAACAGTGACAGGAAAAAGTGAACCCCAAATTTATAGAATGGCCCATGTACAGGGTGAGTAAAAAAAAATGAAACCCAAAGGTCGGGACCATTTTTTTAAAAGGAAGTTCAGCATGTAGCACTTTCAAAATCTAGGACATGAAAGCCCAATTCATTAGCTTTCTTTTAGTACAAGAATCATCCAAATCACTCATGTACTTTTCAAGTTATGGAATTTTAAACACAACCACCGTTTTAAGGTTCTGTCCACGGATCACACAAAAAAGTTCAGTGTTCTTTCAGCAAAACGAAAACAAATCACATAGGGATGTGTGTGAATTGTTTTCGTTTTGAACACACGCCTTTTTTGTGATCCATGGACAGAACTTTAAAATGGTGATTGCGTTTAAAACTCAGTAACTTGAAAAGTACATGTACATGAGTGATTTGAATGATTCTTGAACTTAAAGAAAGCTTATGAATTGGGCTTTCATATCCTAGATTTTGAAAGTGCTACATGCTAAACTTCACTAAAACAATGGTCCTGACATTTGGGTTTCGTTTTTGTACTCACCCTGTACAGTAAGCAAGTTGTAGCCCAGTCAAAAAAGGTACATTTGTAGTGAACAATTTCTTTTGGAACAATTCCAGCGTTATGACATGTATGAAAGGAAGTGTACATGTAATGTCCATAACAGAGCCAATTAACCATGGTATCTAATGAATGATTCAGAGAAATGATCCAAAACTCCTAGTCTGTAATCTCCTTGATCATTACTAGATGATGGATGTCATACTTTTTATGTATAAGATTTGAAAACTACATTTTCAGGTTTATTTACTGAGCTCTTAAAAACTCTGTCATTACATAAAGCTGGAATTGCCGTTTTCCTAAAAACCTTTTTTTATGTAAATAATTGTGAAACAAAATTCTCAAAAAAAACTGCTTCCTTCTCAAAAGCTAGCTACCGTAAGTACCCTCCCTTCAAATTATCAGTCTAGAGCCATCAATAACAGTACTCTACACCCCCGAATGAAATGAAAATGGATTTCTGAAGGACGTTAGGAAAGTGGTCTTCGCTAAAATGATGTCCATCATCCACACGGGAAATAAATGTTTTGCAGGAAACAGGAAGCGCAGGGGTTCATTTGAGAATAGCAACTGTGCATCAATTACACAAGAGAGTTCCGTGTTATTTTCTGGGCCTGTCAAAACGATGGATTTAATTTCCACGCTATGCATCGTACTGTTGGTTCCCCGGCATGGTAGGGCTTCAGGCTTGGATCTTGGCCATCATGGTCTTGGCTTGATCAGGGACCCTTGGGCGTGGACCATGTAGACGACCGGACCTTTGGCTAGAGAGCGGCAGCGATGGCACGTCCCTCGTGAGGAGTAGAAGTTCTGGCGTGATCAGGACACGCCTAAGTTTATAAGGGGCATTTAGTCACATTGATTAAACATGAATAAAAGTACCTAAGAACCAAAAAATGTGCGTTGTGTGACGTGTACGGTTTGTGCGAAAAATTAACTTACTTCTAGAATAACTAACTTAAAGGGAAGATACAACATTTGCAAACATCACAAAACGAAATGATCAAATTATCATAAAATACCTTACTGGATTGTTAGGGGAAAACAGTCTAAAGCATCCTGTAAAATCGTAGCTCCTGGTGTGCTGACATTTTCAAGAAAATGGTATTTTTGTATCAATTTCCAACGCTGGTCGGCCGACCAGCATTGGAGAAAACTTCTTTTTTTCCTTCAAAAACTGCTCCAAATTTTTCATAATTAGTTATTCCTCATTTTCTTTGCAATTGATTACACACCTGTGAAGGGGGTACAAGCCTGCTAGGCTGATTATCTGACCTTACAATTCCCAAAGTCTATAAATTGCTCCGTTTCATCTTATGTGGGGTCAGGGAACCAGACTACAAGAACATGATTGGTTTTCGTGGTTTTTCCACCATCTACAAGCCCAAAACGTGAAACAAGTCATTTTGACAATATTTGCTACATGCTAATCCTCCAAATCCAATTATTTCTGAAAATTGCAGCAAAAGCAAAAGTTGTACATTCCCTTTAAGTACTTCTAGAGTGACAATCTACCGGTACTGGTCAACAATGTTATACATGTGGAGACTTTAACCCTAGCTTCCTAGGCCTTTTTGCTTGGATGTAGCCTCAATCCTGCAAAATCTTCCAATAGGCCTCATGGAAAAATAGCATATAGCCTCAATCCTACAAATTCCTCCATTATTTCTTGAATATGGTCCGTGGAAGGTGACCACTGCCTGAATCCTGCAAAATCCTGTGGCAGTGAATGTCAATATGTTGAGGCTTGGCCAGTGACATCCTGGAGCAGTACGGAGGATTTGAAGCATAATCCAGGCCTATATTTATGCATGGCTGAGCAGAAACAACACAAGGTCCGGCCAAAGACCTTGACAAAGTGCATCCTACGAGATCAGTAATGCACTTTTGCCATACTGTACAAATGTAACCTCAATCCTCCAAATTCCTTGACTTTGGCAAAGAGGCTTTTGAAGGATTCAGGGCGGTTAGGGTTAATTAAATGTACATTCGCAAGGTGGGATCGCAGCATTCCAGCAATTGTAACAATGCTAAATAAATCAACACAAACTTTGCGAAGGACGCGGCTACAACGTGGTCGGGCCGCTGGCACGTAAAGTTGCCTATGGCTGCTGGCCACATCGACCCATATATGACCACAGAGCACAGCCTGAGATCAAAAGTGGTTGATTTTTCCGGAGGGAGAAAAACCGGAGGGCCCGGAGAAAAACCCTTGTGGCACAGGAGAGAACCAACGCACAACTCTACACTCACAACTCTACTCACATGCGGCCAGGATTCGAACCGTGGTCACCTTGGTGAGAGGCGAGCGCTTTACGCACAAGCCACCCATGCCACCCAAAATACCAGTATGCATGGGCAGTCGACTATCGCATGGGTTACCAGTGCGAGTCTACTAGACATCACGTTGCAATCGTGGAACTATGGCACAGGTGGCAGCACGCGTACAACAACGTTTTGCTGCAAGATCACTGATGCGTAACTTGACGAATTTTGGGTGAATGTGTATGAGGTATAGTGGAACAAATCCCCGCATCAGTGCAACACGGTCGTAACTCCATTCTGCAACAAAGTCGTATATCTCGCGCGAATACACTCCGTGCAACAAGGTCGTATCTTGACATCCATTGACTTAGCGTGTACATCCGCGTTACTTTAAGCGAGATACGACCTTTTGACAATCTGAAACTCACGTTTTGCATTTATGGCATTTTAGGAGATACAACCTTGTTGCACTGACGCGACGAAATATACAAATGTAACATAGTTTATTTTGGGCGGATAGTCGATGTTAGTTCCCCTCAGTTTTGTACATTGTACATGTTGTAAGTTGACAAACTACTTCCTGAGGCAAGGTTGACAAGCTGAGGGAACTAGTTTGTCAACTTCCAATACCTCAGGGAGCTAATATCGTCTATCCACCTTCAATACATGTAATATTTGAATATCTCAGACATGAATGATCAGCCAGATAGCCAGAATCAGAGGTCTCACCTTGTGCTTGCTTGGTTTACTGCATACAAGTCCTTCTGGTTGCCATCAATAGATGCATTGTGCTTGCATCAAATATAAAGTCTGCATTTGATGTTGAGAGAGTCACTGCATGTAGCTTGGGCTTAAGCGGTTAATGAATGATCACGTATGCCAGCAGCCAATGAGTTCAATCCCAGCACTGTAAAATATAAGAAAAAAATAAAATTGTCAAAGACTTAGGGAATAGTTTCATATGGAACTGCCAAGCACACACACACCTACCGTACACACATACTGAAATGTGTATCATTGTGGAGACATTTCTTTGTTCTCGTGTAGTAAAGTTTTCGAGTTTGAAAGTGAAGTTTGAAAATGCTCTTATTTTACAAGAATTAATTTGCTTGGTTGAAATTCGGACTTAATATCCCTTTTCTAAAACTCTTCCATTTGCGACAGATCAACCCACCTTGGAAATTCCTAGTTTTTGGGTAAAATCCATATATCTATTTCGTGAAAATCTTGTGGAGACATATTCATCTATAGAAATTGCCCTGTGGAGACGTATACAATCTTTTGTTCCCTATTGTGTGCACGTCTCCAGAGGGCACAGTGTATCAGATCACACATTCAAACCATGGACGAAAACTTCCAGAGAACAAAAGTGAACAATATTGTCCACAATTCCCAGCATACGTCCACGATTGGGGTTGTGTACAAAAGATATGGGAGTCTTCCTAAAAACTTTAGAGTACAAACAAAAGAGGGACAATAGGATGTCCACGATCGACAGTGTAATCACGTTTGTGTGAACATGCCCATGTGTATGAGGTATTTGTGGGGACCGAAACCCTGTGGGCACAGCAGGTCCCAATAACTCGGTCCTAATTTGCCTAACAATAAAAAACTTCCCCATAACGCGGTGTAGGCCTGCACACAGCCTTACCTTACATACATGTATACATCTACTGTGGACATGTAGTACTGGAGAAAAAACTCATATTACTCCCACTGTGAACACTCTTTCAACCCAATTTTTTTTATCATGATTTCCTTGAGTGTGTCTCTTCATTTGCAACGGATAAACCTAACCCCAAAATGCCTCTAAACCTGTTTTCCAGAGAGGGGGGGGGGGGACACCCTAGTGTGGACGTGTGAACCAAAAGCCGCTGGACTGGGGAGAATCAACGTCCAACAGCGCTCGTCACCGCCAATCCGTAGAGGCGAGTCTACGGACCAAGCAACGGCTCTCGGCAATATGATGATGATGTACTGCACTTTAATGCTCTTTGTTTATGCTCATCATTACTGTTGACTACATCTGACTTAAATGTCACATGTGCTGACTTCTCCGACACACTCATTATTTTGCAGAGAGGTATGAAACACGTATACCGTACACAAGACTTACAAAACAATGAGCATACATGAAGCAAGGCATCGTACATCATAGCCATGAAAGGGACAGCAGCTGCTTTGTAGTTGTCAAGTGAAAAGTATCGAGTGCAAAATGACAAAGTATGTTATGTGTTTAATGTGACACACGTGTATATACCTATTCCCAATTGGGAAAGGCAACTCTAGGCTGTAACATAAACCCTGCTGACAAATCAGTTGAGAGTTGGACAAAAGAAATTTCAATTCTCACATCGCGTTCACATAAGTCCCTGCAAGTCCATTACAAGTCACCCAGTCCCAATTCAACTAACAAGCTATTCAAATGAGCTTTGACCAAGGCATTCCTTTGTTATTGTTCATCCACTGTTACTTGTGACTGGACTTGTGAGTGACTTGTGAATGGACTTGTGACTGGACTTGTGACTGGACTTGTGATTTACTTGTGACTGGACTTGTGACTGGACTTGTGTCTGGACTTGCGACTGGACTTGCGACTGGACTTGCGACTGGACTTGCGACTGGACTTGCGACTGGACTTGCGACTGGACTTGTGACTGGACTTGCGACTGGACTTGACTGGACTTGGGACTGGACTTGTGAATGGGCTTGTGACTGGACTTGCGACTGGACTTGTGACTGGACTTGTGATTTACTTGTGACTGGACTTGTGACTGGACTTGTGACTGGACTTGTGTCTGGACTTGTGACTGGACTTGTGACTGGACTTGTGACTGGACTTGTGACTGGACTTGTGACTGGACTTGTGACTGGACTTGCGACTGGACTTGACTGGACTTGGGACTGGACTTGTGAATGGACTTGTGACTGGACTTGTGACTGGACTTGTGACTGGACTTGTGTCTGGACTTGTGAGTGGACTTGCGACTGGACTTGTGACTGGACTTGTGAATGGACTTGTGACTGGACTTGTGTCTGGACTTGTGACTGGACTTGTGAATGGACCTGTGACTGGACTTGTAATTTACTTGACAGCAACACTGCTAACCAGACATGCAACACAGCAGTCGGAATTTTGAAAAGGAGAAGCCAAGCAAGGTTGCACTTCCAACTGCCATTATCAGCTTTCAACATGAGCTAATTGATGGTAACACTTTAAGTTTGCCTACAATTTACACGTTATCATTTGCAATGATCTGAAGTGAAAGGCTGCTTTGATATTCGGCAAGAAAAGTCATGGCATACAAGCATATTCCTTTGGATTCTGAAACAATAAAGTTTAAACAATGCCATCCCGCATGACGGCAAACTGTCAACACATGTGAAGTGGTTCATTTACATTTGTAAAATGAACTTAATATCTTAATGTCTGATGAATCCACATAAATGCGCATGCAGGTGTAATAAAGGTAGGTACCAGCAAGTATTTTAAATGTGACTGAGTTTGAGTGTATGGCTGACATGAATTAGAAAGCATTATACGCACAGTAGCACTGAGACAAAATAAACACAGTTTCAGGTTCAATCGTGCAAAGCGTATCTGTTTCTGTTTTGCTAGTCAAGTCTTGACACACCAGCAAGAAAACATGACCGACGGTTAGTTGTCCCGTCTGAGACCCTACAAAGTTTGTTTTTGCCTTTCTACCTCAGGTGACCTGGGTTCAAATCCCACCTGGTACATTGTGTGGATTTTCCTTGTCAAGTCATACTTAACCCTCCTGCTATCTGAACAATCACAGACAGTCGACAATATGTTCCCTCTTCCCTGCCAAGCCTTTTACACAGGCTAGTCACCAACAGCCAGATCATATTTTAAGAAAGCACTGTGACTAGTCAATTCATTCAACAGACAAAACCAAGCAAGTGGTAGGCACAGCTGGCTTATCAATCACCTACAGTCAAAGCAGCTCTATATCAAGTTACACAAACAGTCACAGCCAGTCAATCTTGCTTTATGTGGGCTGGAAGCTCTTAGCTGTTGAAAACAGTCACTTGATTGATTTTGACTGAAAGGACAACTCGGCACAGAATGTACATGTACGTTTGCATAGAAGGGGTTTAGTGGCATTAAGTTTTTTTCCACGGAATTAACTTTCTGAAGTTTCCCACCCACAACTACCGGTACATATACCGGTACACTCAAAGTGATTAAAATGTGCAATTTGTTTTCGAGGGTCCTTGGCCCACTGCCACAAAAAAATAATTAAAAAAACTGAAATATCGCGAAAGAATAAATTATCAACAATACACATACTGGTGATTATTTGGATATTTTCTGTTGTTATTTTTTTTCCTAGAAAAAAAAAATTGATTGGAGTATTTTGATGTAATTTGGGCTGGCAGAATTCTAAAGGGATTTCCGGCTCCACCCCTCTCAGCCCCCACCCCCTCCCCCATCAACTTGGAGGGGGGGGGGGGGAATTTCGCGAATTTTCTTCAAGTATGTGTAATGAAGCAAATGTTATTATTCCCAATATTTATATCATCTCCCCAAAATAGCCCAATTTTAGCATCTTTGGAAAATGCAAAAGACGGTTCTGTCCACACATGTTTTCTATCATTTTCTGAAGATAAAAATACCCAAATTGATGTATGTCAACCTGATTGCTTTCAATGTACATGTACATTATTTCTGCAAGCCTTGAACAACACTTGGCCATCCTCACTTTCATACACAAATGAGTACATTTTTCCCCACAGAAAAAAGTCCCAGCTAAAAGTCCTAACATTTTTCATTTCTGTTTCGATGTCAATCTATCAATTTACTCATCATGATTCATACATGGCATTTGTAATTGTTCTCACTGTCTGCAGCACAAAGTTACTGTACATACATGTACTTGCACACATGTGCCATGTCACCTTCAGTACAAATGTATATCATTTTGTTTAATTTTTCACAGCCAAATAAAACAAACTATGTGGTTGTACTGTGGCTATGCCACGATACCCAAACAGAATTTATACAATTTATGTGAAATTAAGGAACACAAAAATGCACATAATGGTACACATCCTTGTTTCCAGTCATAAAAGCAATGATTGGTTAAAGGAAGTGATTGTCTCTGCAATTGCTGCATGTGATCAGTCTACTAAATGTGTTATGTACATGTACGTACACGTATGCATGTACGTATGCAAAGAACTGAAATCCATTTAATGCTAAATTTACCACAAATAAGATTAGAAATGACTTAAAAAGAAATGGCCTCAATTTGTTTTATGAAGGGAGCACTTTCGTCTACATGTAGAAAGCACCGTTTCGGGCTCTTAACTTTCATTTTCAGAGAACAAGTTGGAACAGTTTTACTAAAAAGAAAAATCTAACAATGCACACAAACCTACGCGCAAATTTGTGGTCTATCTGTAATTGTCACATAATAGAGTATCAAGGTATCAAGTACAAAGTTTTAGTCCAAAGTTTTAGTCAAAAGTTAACCCTCCTTTTGTTTGACCAGTCACAGACAATCAAAAATTCAATCCTGTTCCCCTGTCATGCTTTTTATACAGGCTAGTCACCAACAGTCAGCTAGCGCTGGCGATACTTATTGTTTTCAAAGTCGATAGTTTTTTCCCCGCGATATCGGCGATAAAATCGTCAACAAATTAGAGCATGATCACAATGTTGCGTTAATTATATTTAAATAGCGATCTTCATAATACTCCAAATATAAACACACAGATGGAACGGTAAGAAGTATGGCTTACCAGATACTTGCTGTAACAGATCGTTTGCTTTTTTTGCGTTGCTGAGTTTTTAACTGCGCCCGAAATGAGTGTCCGGGACACGTTCTCATTCAGCCGATTGCAGCTGCGCGATGTCATGCGCTGAACTGATGAATAATAGTTGTGTCATCACTTGCGCGCACCAATTCATGGCTTCGCCGAATTAAAAACGAACTACTAACGAATATTTCCAAAAATGCGTCAAAGACCTTCTTTTATTGTTTTCGTCAAAATGACAGCATGCCAGGAAGAATAATTTCACAGGGAGTTTAGTGTCATTATCTTTACACCAAATATGCTTTTCAACAATAAATTATCGGATAGCTGCAAATGATATACTCTACCTTTAACCCAATGATGACAGGAAACTAGCCTTCTGTGTGTGTATTTTTGTATGATACATCAAATCAAACTTTCATAAACATTTCAGTTTCATTACAAGCTTCATTCCTATAAAAAAAATGAGACTGAGATAACTGTGAAATTATCAGCAGCTTTCTCGGTATAAACCAAACTAATTGCGGTCTATTTTCAGAGTTCTGTAGTTCAGTGTTGTATCGGTAGTTGCATAGGCGTGGGGGGGGGGGGAAGGGGGTATTTACCCCCCCCCCAATATTTTGTAAAGACTGCCTTTTTCCATTCAAATGCCCTTTTTTTCAACGGGCTTACCTCCCCCCCAATAATTTGTAAAGAGTGCCCTTTTTTTACGAAGTGCCCTTTTTTTCCTGAACAAGTGCCCTTTTCAAAAAAGAAGTGGTGCCCTTTTTTGTGGCATCTGCCATTTTGGGTGTTTTTTTTCAGAATTCCGCACATGTATCGCCCTGAAAAGCACCATATTTTGGCCCTTTGAGTGCATAATTGTCGGTTTTGAACAGCGCCCCCATTGACAGATGGTACCACCCCCCCCCCCCCCGCCAAGTGTCCAGAGAAAAAACCTGTCTACATGTGCAAGTGCCCTTTTCAAAAAAATGTCAACCCACCCCCCCAATAAAAATGACTGTACTACGCCCCTTTCAAGACGCCCAACGTCCATGCATGTTTTTATGCCATGGGTTTGCACAGATTCAGGATAAAATTTGTCAGGCATACTTCCAGTATGCTCATACAGTGTGTCCTTAGTAGTGTGAAGTAGTCAAGGAACCTGTATCCTATTGAAGTAAAACACGGGTACACGGGTACCCGGGTACCCGTAAAAGACAGTCTTACCAAAACTGAAGATGACAAAAAAAAAACAACCTGGTATTAATTCCCTCTATAGACCATTATCATGTTTCGGCCAAAGCGTTACTAAAGCGAGGCTGGAAGGACAAATAGTCTGGTTCCTTTTTGCACAAAAAACATCATCATTCAGTACTGTTATTGGATACAGGGAACATGACTGAAATGGTGGCAGCATGATAAAGGTCTATTGTCAGGAACTCTAGGCCTTAGCAAAACTGTACAGTGTGAATATTTTGGCGGTGTCTGATGGGCTTTTACAGTGTAAACTGCAACTTTCGCGGGCATCCGTCGCGCGTTAACCGCAAAAGCTGTTTTGATTTTCCAAGTAGCCTGGTTTTCATCTTGAACATTCCCAACAAATGCAATTCAAAACTTTTCTTTTTCATTGTCTGGTACTTGGTACTTGGTTGGTTCTTCTCCTAAGGTCTTTCACAAGGGAGTATAACTAGGAGGCCAGAAACACTGGGGCAAACCCCTTCTCTTAGCGATAAATGTTACTGGGTTCTTTTACGTGCGTTAGGCCTTATACAACACACGGGACCTCTGGCTTAACGTCCTATCCAAAGGATGAAGCAATAATGGTTAAGTACCTTGCTTAAGGGCACAAGTGTCCGGGCCCGGGCTCGAACCCATGCCAAACACCAGAGCATGAGTCCGGTGCTCTTAACCGCTAGGCAATGACACTCCAATGTACATGTAGTTATGTCTGAAACATAACTACATTGTAAGTAACTTGTAAAGTTGGTTACGGATACCCGATCCCATAATCTGAACTGGTTCCTGACATCAGCAGTTGGTTACTCAGGTACCCGGTCCTAATGCACACCCTAAGTGTCCCTTCCGCTTAGGGTCTCGAAAGTGTTGACAAAGCACCATCCACACTACTACAATTAGCTATCATTTCCACCAGTTTCAGACTGAACTAGTGTAAGCCCAGATCTAGAAGCTCAATTAATTTTAATTACATTCTCCCCACTTCCCCGTTGGCATCTTTATGATTATCTTAAATTACTTCGTGGTCCACACAGATAGTTCTCATAGACTCTCTGTCTCCATTTGTGTGGTTACACTGGGCTTGGTCGTAGACCTAAAACCACTTCCTAGATTCTTAGTATTTGCTGTCCTTGGTTTAATGAACTTACACACAATCCATTATGTTTCATTTCTGTATTTAATCAGCCCCTCTCCCCCTAAGTCTTCACTCTCTCTCTTCTCTCATCTCTAGTCTTCACTCTCGTTCTGAACTTCCACCGGAACCAACTCTCTGTCAAGTGATTTTAGTCGGTGCTTCAAATAAAAACACATAGACCCGATGATCCTTGTCAGGAGTTTTATTTCTTCAAAGTTCAAGTGTTCAAATTTTCTTCTGTTCAACTTCTTCTAACTGCTCTGGCTATACCCGCGCTACGTGGAGACATCATTTTGTATACATCTCTCATGTTGATAGTAACCAAGACTCTAGGACTGGTAAAGTCAAATACCTACTATAAAAAATCCATGCGTTACACTAGTGCTAAGGTCGCAAATACAAAAAGACTATCAACGTCCACTTACCACAAAGTTTTCTCTTTCAGGTTTCAGTGAACATCAGAAAACAGGAAACCTGCCGGCAGATAATATCCACAACAGATGCATTTAAGAGTTAGGCATTCAGAAATTTACACACACAATGGTATAACAATGACATTCACAAAACTAGAGATCTGTATGTGCATCCTTCACTGTGTGAGGGTTTTGCAGGAAATGGCAATGTTTGACTGTGCAACCTGTAGCCTTGATCTTTTCATTGATACTAAAACTAAACATAGTTGTCCTCAACTGATAACATGTTGTATGACTACATTTACATGCACAATGCAAACGTGATACACAACATATGCATGTATGGGGGTAATTCTATAAATTTGGGGTCCATATTTTTTCCTGTCCCTGTTACATTACATCAATGATTTTATAATTCTGATGCACTCCTTAACCCTAACGATCCCAAATCCTCCATGAAATCCTTTTTGCAACTTGGAGGAATTTGTAGGATTGAGGTTACATGACAAAAGTGCGTTGCTGATTTCGGAGGACGCACTGTGTCAAGGTCTTGGGCCGGACCTTGTGTTGTTTATGCTCTGCCGTGCATAAATTAAGGCCTATATTATACTTGAAATCCTCCACACTGCTCCAGGATGTCACTGCCTCTGCCTCAGCCTATTGACAGAAATAGCCGGAGGATTTTGCAGGATTCAGGCAGTGGTCACCTCTCCACGGACCATAGTCAAGAAATAATGGAGGAATTTGCAGGATTGAGGCTACCAGTATATATGCTATTTTTCCATGAGGCCAGTGGGAGGATTTTGCAGGATTGAGGCTACATCCTAGCATAAAGGCCTAGGGAGTTAGGGTTAATGCCATCGTCCTCCAAGAGTGATTATAAATATCAAATTGTACTATACCTATCAAATTGTACTACACCCAACAAATTAAAAATACTTCAAATGAAGTCAATCAAATCACAAAGTAACAAGTTAACAGGGATAGGGGAAAATGCCCACTTTGGACACTACATTTATAGAACCAGTGCAGTGCCATTTCAAAACGTGCCTGTTTGGAACGGGGAGATTGCTTCGCCTCCGGTAGACCCACAAACGTGGCAGTTTAGAGTGAAGTACCCGTATAACAGTGCGCCATATCTACCCCTCACCATTGCGCGATCTTCCTCCTTCAAGAAATGATGGAGCCCATACAGCCAACCACCGTTTGAAAGTGTGGAACCCGTGATGCGGTATAGAGTGCAGTGCCCATTCAAATAATGCAGCAGTGCGTGGCGCGGTCCGTATACACGTTTGTATGGTGTAGGCCTCCAAAAAATAGTATTTTTTTTCCCCAGTTTTTTGAGAACCGCTCATCCAAACAACTTCAAATTGACACTGCACATTCTGGGGTCCTGATCAATACACCTGCCGATTTTCAAATTCATACAGTCAAATTAGGTTTTGCCCTTCACCGACGTTTAAACACTGTATACTCAGTGTGTTACCTCCCGAGTGAAAGTTGGAAAAATCACTCGGGTGGGACTCGAACCCACGACCTCCTGCTTTCTAGTGCAGATGTCTTACCACTCGACCACCAAGCTAACGGGATCGATTGGCCGGTTCGAATCTGAATGTATTATAATAATTTCATACAGTGCCCGGTTCTTCAGACAATCGAAATACAGACAGACAGACACACAGAGATTCCTGGAATTATAATAAAATAACCCATGTACAGGGCGAGTCAAAAAAAGCGGAACCCAAACCCCCCAAAATAAATTTCATATTTAAAAAAAATATGTAGCACCAAAAAATAATGACTAAAAAGCCAATTTCATTTACCACTTTTAGATGAAAAAAATACTGAAATTGCTCAATCGGTTCAAAGAATATCACCATTTAAACGCAATGACTCTAAAACCTGTTTCGTCCAAAAAAATCAATTTATTGTGTATTCTGACTGTTTCGAACAACAAAGAAAATGACACAGCATACTTGTTTCAACAACTGTCAACAACTGTAGTACACAATATCTTTATTAACAACCCGGGTTAGGCAAACAATATGATTTATAAAATCCACTTTTTTTAAAAGACGGGCCTTCAAAAGGACTTTGTTGAATATTTTTAACTTTTAAACTGAGGTTTTATTGCTGGTGATGTTTGAAGACAATTGTGACGACGATTCTTGAAATCGCATTTTGTGGACGAGACAGGTATTAAGGTTATTGTGTTTAAATGGTGATATTCTTTGAACGGATTTTGACCATTTTCAGTAATTTTGACCATTTTCAGTAATTTGTTCATCTAAAGTAGCTTATGAAATTGGCTTTCCGGTCATTATTATTTTCGGTGCTACATATTTTTTTAAATATGAAATATAATTTTGGGGGTTTGGGTTTCGCTTTTTTTGACTCACCCTGTATGAGTTATGTAATTGAGTCCATCACAGTCCAAAGTCAAGTCACATGCTATTCAAATGAACTGTGACAAAAGCATTCCTTTGTTACTGTTCATCCCCTATCACTGGTGACCAAACTCCTGAACTGACTTGTGATCATACTTGTGGCGGGACTTGCAATGGACCGGTGATGGACTCCACTACAACGCTGATAGAGTTACCTATTTCCCACCTCAGTATGTGCAAAGTTGTAGAGCACACGGTCTTGGCATCAGTAAAGTTCTGCAACAATAGAAAGAAAATTAACGAAGTGGTTGATTAAAAGAAATGAAAACCTTTTTTGGAGGGCAAACCCAATCTTGAATTTACATAACCCGACACAAATTCCATCTTATGAATAGTTTGGTTGCGGTACCTGCTGCTATGGGCTCTGTGCACAAGTACTCCTTTAACGGCAAAAAAGGAGAGTTGGGGGAGACCTAGACTGGCCCCCGGTCCATCCACTGCGTGTTTTGAACGATCCAAAGTTATTGGAGGCAGGAATTAGTCTGGGAGACCATCGCAAGTTAAATTGGAAAGTATTCGCATGCCGAAGATGCCTGATGCTCGCGCGAAGACGCTGTGACTAACAGCTTTTGCACATTCAACAAGTTGTGCGTACTTCACGCGCAAACCGTTACAGTACAGTATGCACACGCTGTGCTTCCCGTCCACGGGTTTCTCAAAAGTGGTAAAAGTGCGTCCTCTTTTGGTGGCGCACGGAGCCCATATCAGATTAGAACCAGCCAGCCAACCCCACAAAGCTCGGTGGTTGAGTAGTAAGACGTCTGCACGAGTAAGCAGGAGGTTGTGGGTTTGAGTCCCACCCAAGTGATTTTTTTCTCATAATCACTCGGGACAACACTGAGTATACAGCGTTAATAAAATACACCGGTGGAGGGCAAATCCCAATATTGAATATGGAGGTTTTACTTTCAAGTGAACAGATGGAGTTTGATCGTCAAGACGCTATGCATTCCTGGAATTAGGAAGTTTTGGCCTAAACTTAATATTAGCACTTAAACAAGTTAACCCTTACCCTACTAGACCCTCCAACGCATGCCAATATGTGCCTCAAGAAAATCTCCTATGTTTTTTGCATGGCCCTCCAATATCTGCCATGTCATTTCAAGGGTAACTGGACAGGCACTCCAATACATGCCACAGAGAACAATGAGAGTCCTCTGATAACAAAGTGAGTGCCCCCAGCTGGTCAGTATCAGGCACCCTCCAGGGCCTCCAACTCCTGCCAATTGGAGCCTTCACTGTTAAGACTTGTTATCTGCCAAATAACTGCAGCTGGAGGGCATTGGCATAACCAACTGACATGCAGTAAACTACCCTCAGAGAGTAAGGGTTAATGTTGGTTTTGTTTGAACCATCACATCACAAGTCCACATGCGTACTTGGGGCATCAAGCCCTGTGTAGTGTAATACTAATAGTGACTAGAACAGACCTTCTTCAATCCTGCAAAATCCTGTAGACGAAAAGCAAGTACCTCAAAGATGGCTGCAGTGCAAAAGATCTATTAGACCAGGGTCCAATTTCATAGCACTGCTTAACAGTAAGCAGAAAAGTTGTGCTTACTATAGCAGAAAATCATGCTGCTGCTTAAGCACTATTTCATGCCAACGGTTGCGCGCGCATGCAGATTTCTATTGTTACGTCACTGATTTAAGCAAAGTTTTCTTCTGGGGTTAAGCGTGCTTTTAACGGTCCCTATGAAATAGATGGAGGCTCGCTAAGCACAAAGTCGGCTGTTAAGCAGCGCTATGAAATTGGGCCCTGGTCAGCTGACGGTTCCAAAACCTGACAAAGTTCACATGTACATGTACATGTACATGATATTCTTTGCATTTTCAGAATTCATGTATACAACCTCATCCCCATGGGTACGATCTTGCTGCGCCATGTTGGTTCCCATCATGCCTTGCGCGATCTTAACCCCTGGAATTGTGTAATTAAGTCACAAGTGTTTAAAATTTTGTTTTGTAGAATCAAATCTTTCAAACATGAAATTTTGACGTCGCGTTATAAAGCAAGGATTTATATTAAATGTACGTACCTCTGTCATCTCTTAACAACACAAGACACAGGTTTTTTGTGCGAAAACGAGGCTTCCGGAATCCATATCGTTCAGGCGGCACGCAGTCTTGAAAAAAAAATGTTCATATGCGACGCGACGTGCAGAAGATAACTTGAGCGCATAGGGCAAGCAGTCTTCAAAATATGAGCACAGTACGCTCTGAATAGTAAATCAGCTTTGTTTACGTATTCTACACAGCCAGGGGTTAGTTAAGGAATGCGCACGCAGCCCATGGAGCCGAAGCTGGAATGCATACTCACATTAAATACATGTACCAGTAACAAATAGAATATCCCAGAAACATACATCATGGAAAATATCATGGATCATCATGGAGCAAGTAACTTAGTGAAGCTGAACATTAAAGATGAATATTTTACACGGCCACCTCCGCACCGAGGAACCAAACTCACAACTGTATCCACCACCTACCATACTGGTACCATCACCCACACCGTAAAAAAACATCTGATCGTCTAAACAAGAACTCATCAGCCGCCAGGGCCGACTCGCTGAGTACAGGATCAATACCTCCTAATACCCAACATCCAACTATTAATAACCATGCCCGTTGTATGCTTTCATTGTTCAGGTAGAAGATTCAAAACCGGATAATTAAAATGGCCTTTGCGTCCAAGGATATGTAATTAGTGCAGGGCATTGCAGACTGTCTGGCGTTCTGATGTTTGTCAATACCGGCGATGACTAATAATGCACCACATGGATTAGATATTTAATAATAATAAAACAGGAACTACATGTATACTTATAGTCAAATATCCCAAGGCTGCTGTGTAGCTGTAATAGAGATGTCAAATAGTCTGGTGCACAGAGGATTCTTTTTATCATTACTAAGGGTCATGTCCCTTGGAATTGGCATTGAGAAGTGGAAGGGAATTGAATGATAATAATGGGCCTCTGTCATGTCTGTTGTGTTCTTCATTCAGGATAATTTTTTTTACACAGTTTATTGTACAAGTTGGCTAGGACATGATGTACAGTGCAGAGGAATTTCAAATAACAACTGCATATACAATACATAAAAATATACGACTCTTCACCTCGCCCGCTTCGCAGCCTGGGAGGCTGCTTTGCCACCTTTTGCTTGCTTTGCAGGTGAGTCGAGCAACTTTTGAACACCTTTGCGCTTTACATGTACAGTATAGCGGTGAAAGGTGTTTGAATCCCCAAACAGTAGAATAAGAGTGCCGTGTTTGACCATACTTTGTTCTAGAAACTACAATTTGCATGCATACATGTACACTGTACATGTATGCTTTGGAATTATCAGGAAGAGTACAATAGAAATGACGGGAAATAATCCAATCTCATGCAAAGTAATAGTGGCCGGGATATTTTATTGGTGGACTTTAAAGGGTCTGTGTTAGTTGGGACTAAAAAGTTTATATACTTATATAAAAACCCACAATGATAAATGGGTTGCAATTTACATTATCGTGTCAGGGTTAGTGACATTTTTCACGCAGGCCAAAATAAGTGCTCTTTATAATCCTACAATATTTATAGCTCCACCGATCACTGGGATGGGCCCACGTCTTCCCCCTCCCCCCCCCCCCCAACAACGTAGAGTTCTTCAACATCATCAAGGTTCAACCAAAGCTTAACACTGGAATCAAATGAGGCGTGCTTCCACTCTTCAAAAGCCAGCTAGCTTGCTGTAACAAAACGGTTTTGCAATGTTTGTGGTTCCTCAGATGCTAATTTACGTACATAGTGGCACTAGAATGTTTAAAGGGAAGATACAACATTTGCATACAACAAAAAACGAAATGATCAAATTATCACAAAAAACCTGATTGGATTGTTAGGGAATGACAGTCTAAAGCATCCTGTAAAATCGTGGCTCCCCCCTGGTGTGCTGACATTTTCAAGAAAAATTGCATTTTTCCAACGCTGGTCGGCCGACCAGCGTTGCAGAAAACTGGCTCATTTTCAAAAACTGCTCCTAAGTTTTCATATTTAGTTATTCCGCATTTTCTTTGCAATTGATTACACACCTGTGAAGAGGTACAAGCCTGCCAGACTGATTCTCTGACCTTACAATTCCCCAACGTCTACAAATTGCTCCGTTTCATCTTATGTGGGGTCAGGGAACCGGACTACAAGAACATGATTGGTTTTCTTGGTTTTTCCAGCATCTACGAGCCCAAATCGTGAAACAAATCAGTTTGACAATATTTCCTATAACATTCTAATTCTCCAAATCCATTCATTTCTAAAAATTGCAGCAAAAAGCAAATGTTGTACATTCCCTTTAATAAGGGCAAGTACCGTACGTCAAGAGAGAACAATAAACTAGACCTACACAAAAGCACCAGCTGTCTGCCAGACATGCATGTATTATTATAAAAAAGAAAAGAAAAACACATGCAGCAAAAGATGGTATTGCATAGGAATTCAATGGAGGATGACCTTGAATAATGGAGGGAAAAACATGGATCCAAATAAATGTATGTTATAAAAAAATGATATCATGAAATCAGATTATCAGGTACCTTAGTACATGTATCTACAATTTTTTTAAGCAATTAGGCTAATCATTGCCTTTCAAGTTAGTATTCCAATAAAGCAAACAGCTGATTTACTTTTTTGTATGCACAAATTTTCCCTAGAATTTCTGCCTTTAGTTGAACATCTTTTATATATTAACTAGCCTTACACATACATTATGTACATGTGATTATATTTCCTTGTGAAAATAATGTGGATTTTATTGATACTTGACTTGAGAATTACATGTTTAACATCAAAAAGGAAGCCTTTATTTATTCCTACTGGTTTTTAATTCATCGTTCTGGAAAATTTAAAGGGAATGTACATCATTGGCTTTTGCTGTAATTTTCAGAAATGAACTATTTGAGGGGTTAGTATAATACGTAGATCAAATATTTTTACACTGACATGTTTGAAGTTTTGTGTTCGAAAATGCTGGAAAAACCAAGAAAAACAAAAATGTTCAAGTAGTCTGGTTCCTTGACTCCACTAAAGATAAAATGGATCAATTCATAGATGCCGGAAAATTGTAAGGTAGGGGAACCAGTCTAGCTGGCCTGCACCCGTTCATGAACTTGTAACCAATAGCAAACAAAATTTGGACTGAAAAAAGTGTAAAGTTGGAGCAGTAGTTGAAAAATAGTTAGGTTTTTCCAACGGTGGTCGGACGACCATCGTTGGAAATGTATACAAAAATACAATTTTCTTGAAAATGACTTCACACCAGGTGCCATAATTTTACAGGATGCTTTAGACTGTCATTTACCAATTTCGTAAAAACTTGGTAGTTTTATTTTTTGATGTTTGCAAATGTTGTATATTCCCTTTAACCCAAAAATCTACACAACGATCGATTTATAAAATAACAAAATTATCATTAATTAAGGGCCTACGTTTGTGGCACTGATTATCATGCTTGCAATGAAAATCCTGGTTTATTGTAAGGACGTGACTTTGTGTTTACTTTTTTAAACGTTTAGCAAATATTTTAGATACCGTTCAAATGTTTATACTTTTAGCCAATTCACAAAGGCTGACGCGTGCCCATTGTGTCTGCATGATAAAGGGCAATTCCACGGTAACGGAAGGACGTTTTCACTCATTAAACAAAATTTCAAATGTGTGTATCACAGACACTGTTCATAGTTACAGCAAACAAATGTCACAATTGTATTGCTTATAATGCTACTTTCATTTTCCACACTTTTGGGGGGCATGAATGCCTCCCGTTTATGAATTATGAATATTAATGAGGTCGGTAACGGAAGGACGGTAAAACGGACAAGGGTTTTCCAACTTACTCGCGTTTTGCGTAAACTCTGTGAATTTTATGGGGCAATTATATTTTAAAGGTAGGAAATGGAATCCCTGAAGCTTTATCTATACTATACCGCCTTTCATTTGACTGTAAGTGTTTCGGTAATATAATTACAACGTTTTAAGCAGATTATAATTTGGTAACGGAAGGACGGTAACGGAAGGACAAAAGGTTTACTCAATTATAGCATGAACAAAATGTGAATTTACACTAATTATACAAGTGAAACAAATTGCTGAAATGTGTAACTGAATGTGAGATCAACAATATGCAGACCTGGCATAAATAATTATACCCAAGAAACTATTGAGATAAAGATAGAAGCCTGCTAATTAATGATAACAAAAGAAAAACAAAAACAACCAAAAACACATAATTCACGAACACAGGACTACTACAGAAATAGACTTCAAACCCATCACCTCAATCCTTAAAAGTTTAAATACACAGTATTTGAACTCTTGAGTATATTGGTTACATGTTCACCAACAACTTTTAATAATAATACCGGTAGGTTCAAAGGTTTACCTAAAGGGTGGGGGGGGGGGGACCAGCTTACATGTACATTTAAGGTAAAAACATCTACCGGTAGAACTGATGGCTTCAGTTAGGTTTTCCTTTTATTGAACTCTAAAATCAATGTTTGAAATCAAATTACAATGATTTAGAGTAGTAACAATTAATTTATAAACATCCAAACTGAAATTGTTAACTTGGGCAAAATTTGTCAAAGATTGCACCTCACATGTCTTACACATGTAAATTGAATGAAAGTGCCCCAAAGTACCGGTACTTTCTGCCATCTCATTTTTGACTTAATTTGCTTCTGGAATGGCTTCACAGAATTCGTATCTTTCTCTATTGTCCATGAATGCTGATGGCAGCAACTTTATGATTTGATTTTCTGCAACAACTCCATACATGTACAAGTACTGGTACATCGGCATATATGTACATGTACATTGTACATGTTGTACATGCCTGTGCCTTCCTTTGTAATAAACACCTTGCCCTGCTTATCCCGCTTTTGTGAAGGTGGGTCACATGAATGTCCTTTCAATGCTCATTATACATGCATGTATTTGCAGTGATTTTCATTTTTCAAACATGAGCGCAAATGTCGTAACATTTGATAAAAATACGATTTGTCCTTCCGTTACCGTCCTTCCGTTACCAATTTGGTAACGGAAGGACGTGATTTAATTAATTGTAATTAAAAAACGAGAAGTACAGCAGTGTCAGTTGTAATGTCATATTGAAGGCCTACCTAAACTTGCTTTGCACAATAACTTTCAATGCATTCATACTGCATGTTTTAAAAATAAATTAAAAATATGTATTTTTTCGGTAACGGAAGGACATTTTCGAAGGCTGAAATATTAGAAGTCACTGAAGCGAAACAAATTACGCAAAATGTTAAAAACAAGTTTTAGTCGGTTTTTCAAGACCAATACTTTCTCATGACAGAAACTGATGGCATTAGTACATATTTTTGTGTGTCTATTGGTAGAATACTTTCATATCACTATTAATCACATTTTTAGGATTAAAACAGGATTATTACATAATCCTAAATTTTGGTACCGAAATGTATAAAAAATAAAATTCCAACTTCAAATCTTGAAAATATAGACTTTTAGCTTTCATTTGATGCCAAATTTGTTTAAGTCGCATGTATTTGAATTTTTTGGTGTCATGTCCACTTTGGTGTGGAATTGCCCTAAATCAACAATGCTTGACATAATAAATAGCGGGCAGTCACTGAAAAAGTAAAAACCTACAAGTAACTACTGTATGTGTACCCCAAATGTAATCAAGCACGGCGGTACTCCTGAGGTTTTGTTAATTAAAAAGGTTTGAAAACATCCTTAGTTTAATTATTTGTGCTATGTTCATGGTATGTTTAACTCAAAAGAAGATTGCATGAACGTAGGCTCCTGTTTTATGATTTCGGGTATCGTATAAACATTTTGGAAAATTTGAAAACAGATTTTTAAACAAGTCAGGTGTGTTTACAAACACAAATGCCCCGCAACCGTGACTGTTCCCATGACATAACACCACTCTTTTAACATCAACTTACATGTACCTTGGTCACATGGAACATTCATTGACAGCATTAGTGTCTTCTGTAGGTTTTATATGAATTAATCCCTAATCCCTATAATCTCAGAATAAATACAAGATTTCTATTGTTTTAGCCACTGTGAACTTGACCCTTGACCTTTTTGCCCCAAATTCAATAGGCTTCTTAGGATTACCAAGAACAATCCACAAACCAAATTTGAAGTTCATATGTTAAGTATTTCTCAAGTTATCGCGCTGACAAGATTTCTATTGTTTTAGCCACTGTGAACTTGACACTTGACCTTTTGACCCCAAATGCAATAGGCTTCTTAGGATTGCCAAGAACAATCCACAAACCAAATTTGAAGTTCACATGTAAAGTATTTCTCAAGTTATTGCGCTGACAAGATTTCTTTTGTTTTAGCCACTGTGAACTTGACACTTGACCTTTTGACCCCAAATGCAATAGGCTTCTTAGGATTGCCAAGAACAATCCACAAACCAAATTTGAAGTTCACATGTAAAGTATTTCTCAAGTTATTGCGCTGACAAGATTTCTTTTGTTTTAGCCACTGTGAACTTGACCTTTGGCCTTTTGGCCCCAAATGCAAAAGGCTTCTTAGGATTGCCAAAAACAATCCACAAACCAAATTTGAAGTTCACATGTAAAGTATTTCTCAAGTTATCGCGCTGACAAGATTTCTATTGTTTTAGCCACTGTGAACTTGACCTTTGGCCTTTTGGCCCCAAATGCAAAAGGCTTCTTAGGATTGCCAAAAACAATCCACAAACCAAATTTGAAGTTCACATGTAAAGTATTTCTCAAGTTATCGCGCTGACAAGATTTCTATTGTTTTAGCCACTGTGAACTTGACCTTTGGCCTTTTGGCCCCAAATGCGAAAGGCTTCTTAGGATTACCAAGAACAATCCACAAACCAAATTTGAAGTTCATATGTTAAGTATTTCTCAAGTTATCGCGCTGACAAGATTTGTCCGGACACACACACCCACCCACCCACCCACCCACCCACCCACCCACCCACCCACCCACCCACCCACCCACCCACCCACCCACCCACTTCGGCTTCGCCGCGGGGCATAAAAATGTTCTTGTTTAAATTTAAACATGTAGGCCTAAACGTCCCATCCTTAGTTTAATGTTTTAGTCCTTGTACCGCCCAAAAGCGCCCTGTCTATTACCCATGTACATGTATGTGTAAACAGGCCTTGTAAACTGTTGAATGGGACAGTGCCAGACTATTTATGCGTTCCAAGCCTCACTTTCAATTTTGTTTTTAAATGTGGCTTAAAACACTAGCGTATAATTAATCACAAATTTTAAATTATTCATCGGAACAGACTGGCATTAATTTGTAATTAACTTTATTTCATTACTCTATTTTCTATTCGCAAGTTCCACAAATGAAGATTTTACCTTGCTTTCAATTTAATATGGCCCACTCGTGAATAAAGCCTATGGTCTATTGATTCATGAAGCAGTAAATACAGTGCTTTCCAATGTAGTACAACAGCTGATGGGTCTATACACAAATAATGTAAAGTGCACAAATGCCAAAATGATTCGCACAATTTCAAATGTTATTTTAGGTGAATCCGTGTCGCTTGTGTTAATGAAAAGAGAACTGAGGCATGCGGGTTACTCTGACAAATATGGAACTACCAGTACATGTATGTACGTATGCACAATGTACATGCAAACATGTGTACGGTTTACATGTAGGTACATGTTTACGCACCAATGCTGCTTTCATGTTACTTACCGTCACACATGAACATATCACACTGTGGGCATCTACACTCGGAAAGGCACATCCTAAAAAATAAAAGAAAACAGAAAAGCATATATCACACTGTGCAGAGTGACATCCAATTCACAGAAACACTCCCACAACAGTCACTGTTCAGGCCGTTGGATTGACGGGATGTGCAAATCACATTGGAGGGAGGGGGGGGGGCCTTTTGTGCTGCAACACAGGAAGACACACACACACACAGTGGAAAGGGAAATGCTAATGATAATCAGAATGATACATTAAATGCATGTAATGAAAGTCACCGGTGTACGGCAGATCCATAGGCTACACAGGGCAGGGAGCGACCTGTTTCCCTTACCGGCCGTTAACTAACGCGTACACGTGACTCACCGAGTCATGGTAATTAGTTTCAGTCAGTCACCCAAACTAGATTTGCCCCTAGCGCCCGGTACTTCGTTAACTGCCTTCTGTGTTCTTCTGGGTGTCTTCCTTTTTGGAGAACCAGATGATTCAGTCCCCGAAGAGTTACTGCCCCTTCCTCTAATTTAGATTCCCAAATGGATTATGAACAATTTCATTTTTCCCCCTTTATCTTTGTTTCATTGAATTTCTAAGTATTTTTTTGTAGGGGTTGTTTTTGTTTTTGCAAACAAACGTGTGTGTGTGTATTTCATTTTTTTGTTTGTTTGAGGTTTTTTGTGTGTTTGTTTTGTTTTGTTTGATTTTTTTTGTAATGGTACCACTAAGGAGACACGGTATCGTAATTTCTTCGCACGATGGGAGAGATCGGTCATTAGGGAGACATTTTTATTGTCGCAATTAGGTTATATTTGTTGCTCGTGGTCTAATTAGTAAACATACCGAAATTCGTGGAAAAAGGACAAGGGAATACTGGGTTAGGGCACATTGAAGTTTGAAACATTTTGTGCACTGGGATGTCTCCCAAATCAATGTCTAATCCAGGGTAATTATAATTAATATTATTATTATTATTTTGGGGAACACCTGAAAATGAAACTTTTAATTGTTAAAATTGTTGAAATTTTTTCTTTTCAATGTTTATTTATTATTCATAAATACAGTTTACCCATTCCCATCATTGGTCAGAGGCCGTCACATGGCAAGTCTAAAATGGATGATAAAGACCAGCTGGCTGGTCTTAAACACCTTTCTAGTGTCACATGACATTTGGACTCCCATGATATCCAGTGCCTTTTGCCGTTTTATTGGTTGAATGTTCACAATCCTCACGTAGGCATGCGCAATACTACCGGCGAGTCAGTATCTCATAGCCCTAAAATATACAGGGTTGTTTACCACTTTCTGCAACAGGGAAATTCCATAATATAACTAGAGGGGTGTTTCGAAAAACATGAAGTAATGTTGCTGAACAAAATTGTCAGAAATTTATAATTTTTGACTTGTTTTGACTTTTGGACCAAAAGTTTTGGATTTTGTGACCGAAAAGCTACATGAATGGGAAAATTATGTGCTTGACCTGTTATGCTGAAAATTATCACCCAGCTAAGCTGGGCTGAGCACACATTTATTCCCTTATTATTATATATTTTTTTTTTGGGAGGGGGTGGGTGGGTGGGGGGTTTAGCACACACTCAGGGTTTTTGGCACATACTCAGGGTTTTTAACACCCGAGGGTGCTATGCGCCCCTCGGATATTAAAAAGGTCATATCCCACATCACAGCAGTCAACAATTGTTATACTGTCATACCTTTTTGTTTGCCAAACGGAGGTTGGAAATTAAAGTATGGTGGGCAAATTGTAAAAAACAAAAGAATTTGTACAAAAGTTTAAAAAAAAAATATCATGCATGTATTAGGAAAAACCTCAACCCTAAGGCCAAAACAAAAAGTCTATGAAAGTTGATGTCTCAAACCGCCAAACTCACTGGTTTGACTGGAATCCTGCTGCTGCACAATTTTAACGTGTTTTTAGATGGGGTTATGATCGAGAATAAGCTTTGTGGCCTCTCTGGACTCCCATATATTTGCACGAAGTTTAGTCAGGCACCATTTGCAGTCATCAGCCGACATTTGAAGCAAAAAAAAACAGTTAAAAAAACAAAAAAGCCGCGTCGCTGCACCACTTTGTGGGCAAGCTCCATACCAGAAACCGGAGACTTATTTTTTTTGGCCTAACGTACCTGAATCCATACCTCCATATTGCACAAACTGGGGGATTTTGATGGATTCAGGATTGTAAAGCCTAGTGGAACTGCAGGATTTTTGATGGATTCAGGATACCTCTATATTGAGCTGTTGGGGGACTTTGGCGGGTTCAGGATCTCAACAGATTTACTCCCGCCTAACTGGTGGATTCTGATAGACTCACTGGCCACCTACATTTTTGTGCATGGCAAAATTGATTTGGCGGATTCGGGATACTTTCTAGTAAAAGAGCCCAAGAGGTTAGGGTTAAAAGACAAAAGACACTATAGATAGAAACTAAACGAACAAGATATTTTCCTCTTGCTCACGAGGGGGTAAATGTGAAATTTTGGACAGAATTCGAGAACAGTTGAAATTGTGGGTTCCCATACAAAATGAGGGGTCAATGTTTCTAGCATGCGCTTCATGATAAAAAGTCTAATACGTCCATATGGGACTTGTAAACATCTGGCTTTCCTAATTTTTTTTTCAATGGGAATAGCATATTGTATAGTCCTCAATATCGACAGCCTATGTTCCTTGTGGAGCATTCAAAGTGTTCGAAAATGTTACATACACTGTTAATACTTGTACATGTACCGGAACTTCAAAGTACATGTAACACTGAAAAGAGTTTCACATACCGGTGCATGTATTAGGATGAGATTGTCAACTTAAAAAAAGCTCAGAAATTGGAGAAAGGTCTGAAAAGATGCATTTCTTTCAGTACTGATAATGTCATTCTCTTCAGATTCAAAAGGTCTGATTTCAGACAAATGCATTTGACAAACATGAGGTTATTGTTAAACTTTATCCCGCCCTCTCTGGCAGGCAATTTCAACAAGGCCAGCCCAGCAGTCAAAATAAATCAAGTGACTGTTTTTAACAGTTCAGTGTTCCCTGCCTTCATAAAGCAGGATTTACGGGCTGTGATTGCTATGAATCTTGAGATAGCTATGCTTTGAGTGTAGGAGACTGATAAGCCAGCTGTGCCTACCAGTCACCTGCTTTTGTCTGTTGATGGAATTGGACCAGTCTCCGTGCCTATTGAAAAATGATCTGACTGTCAGTGTCTAGCCTGTGTAAAAGGCATGGCAGTGGAAATTTTGGAAAGTTGAAATTTTGACAGTCTGTGACTAATCAAACAAAAGGAGGGTTTCAATAGTATCTTCATTTGTATGAAGATACCAATGTATCTTGTTTGTATATCTTGACAGCATTATATGCTTCCAGGGCCCCCAGGGAGAACAGTTCTTAGATAACTGATGGGGCAACCCTGGTAAAATAAAACAATAAATCCTTGTACAGAAGTTTTGGAGATGGGTCATTCCACACTTAATCTTAACAGAACTCAACCCATCAAACCCAGCATGTTTTGTTGGAATCTGTCAGGATGGGTAAAGTACCCCTAAACTGACAGTCTTTTACATTGGGTTGGCACACCTCCAGAAACTAAGTCAGAAATATGTGTGGACAGTTTCCCATATGGTGTTAGAATTTGCCAGGATGGGTATGGTTCCTAGTAAATCATGCTAGGGAGTTAGGGTTAAGGTGCACAAAAGTGTGATACATGAAGGTTTGGGAAATGAAGCAAGATATTAATATCAAGTTGTTAGTCCTCTTTCCCCCCTAGTGCAGTCCCACCCTATTGTTGAGGATTGTGCTCACCCAAAAATTAAGACTTTCCAGGTAGATATCACAAGATATACCGGTACTTGCTCAGAATGTTATGTACATGTAAGTAACATGGACAGAAATGTTTGTAATATTGATCGAAAGTAATCACAATAAATGTGTTTACTCAAAAATTGTCCTTTTTCTCTCTTATCCCTACAGGATTGTTACCTGTAAAAAAAAAACCCAAGACATCACAGGATATTACGTTAAGAATATAGACATAAAAGTGTCACAAAATGTCAGTCCAGGTTACAAATGTATACATGTAGGTTGTCTTAGAGACCAAGAAAATTGTGTTTATTTTGTCTGGTAGCAATCCTAAATGTGCAAAAAAAATGTAGATGAGATGACATTTGGGTAAATTCAATGCACATGACAATTAATGTCTTGTCAATTTATAGCAAGCAATTCTATCCATGTTGTTTATAAGTGTAATAATTTACGATGACCCCAGTACTTTCCTAGAGTACACAGAAAGTCCACACATGTTTACGTTACATACTAAAGCCCGGTTCATACTCAGCGCGAAAGCGAACGCGAATGCGAATTTGTGACGTCATGGCAAGTATTCGCGCTGCGAATTCGTAAAAGTTGAACACATTTCAACTCGGGCGAATTTCGCAGCGAATGTTTCATGACGTCAAATTCGCCTCGCATTCGCTTTCGCATGAAGTATGAACCAGGCTTTAGGGTGGACATTCTTGTGTTTTCGTGTAGTTAAGAAAAACCTTTGAAAAAAATCATTTTACTCACACTGTGAAAACTCTTTCAACCCATTTTTTTTCCCCACGATTCCCTTCAGTGTTTCTCTTCATTTTGATAAGCCCAACCCAAAAATGCCTCTAAACCTGTTTTCTAGGGAGGGGGAAACATTGTGCGGACGTGGGCAAGTCCACACAATGTCGCTGCTACCTGGTTTATGTGGACATCTTTTGTTCAGAAGTCCACACAGTGAATGTAATGCTTGAACTCTACATTTTGTACTTATGATATAAGGCCTCAGGAATGTACAGGGAAAAACTTAACAAAATATCTTGCTTTGTTGTACCCTCCAATGTCCGAACACTCAAATCCCAAATTTGCAGTCAATATTACCCGTACGGTAGCTTCAGTTTACGGATGAATTCTTCTATAAAGCAGCCACTTCAGGTACAAGAGCGTAATTTCTACCTTTCTAATATTACTCAAAAGTTACTAAGTACCGGCATAACAAAGAATCCCCTCAATGGCTATGCTATGCCCCACTAAGCATCAGTCCCAACTTAAGTTTGGACCGTCCCAACTAAAGTGTTGCAGTTGGGCTGGCCCAACTGTAGTTGGGACACTGCTACTTTGCGCTGCGTTAGAGGGCAAGCATTTATGAACCATGTCATACCGTATACAGTGGTCACATGTGTTGCAAAGAGAAACTACTTTTCAGTTTATTTGTGACGAGGATGAAAAGGAAAATAGACAAGACTTTGGTGAATTTTGACGTGCTGATTCCAGGACTGCCAGTTTCCACCAGTCTGTTAACATTCAGTATTCAAGATTACTACACCTCATAAATATTCATGATCAAATTGGAGCACGTCATTGGCCGATTCCGGGGCGCATCCGGGAAGTTAAAATGATACGCGCCCAGGTGACGTCATCCCGGTGAGTATCCAGCTCGTTGCCGTGCGGTATTTTGTCTGGTAGAACCAAAAAATTCCCTATGGAACCCACCTCGTAGACATGTAGTCTGTGGCATATAATCTTTACGGAACCAGTCTGTTGTTGTAGTCCTTGTAACTACTGCAGTAAAGATTAAAGAGTGTTGGCACCAGACTACATGTATTTCAACCCTGTTGCCATGACACACGGAACTCTGCAGGTCAGAAACAAGAAAGGCATCTACGAGTACGGGTAACGTCATGAACGCTAAGTATTCCATCATTGACTGACGAAGAACTTGAAGATCTTGTGCTGAATATTTATGAGGTGTAGTAAACCAAATACAGCATGGTTTATTTCTGGAAAATAGTTGGAATTACTGGTCCCTCGGTGTAGGTCAGCGCGGTATCATGGCTCCGCGGAAAGTGATTGTCTATACCCAATCTTTCAAACTGACGATAAAATGTAACATTTCGTAATTTGTTTGGAACAACAAGTAAACAAACACAGGTTTATAAGTAAAAACAACAAAAACAAACAACCTTTATATTTATTTCAAAGCTGTGTACAGTCTAATTGTTTTTTGGGGGTTTTTTTGGAAGGGAACCAAGGGATATACATTGCACTGGTAATTTTTTACTATAAAAGATACAACGTGAACGTGTATATCATTTTATCAAGTGACATAAAATAAGCCCAGATATTAATATAGATTGTGTGACATTCATCACAAAAATAATGCTAGGAAACAAAATCAATTACTTAGATCATGGGATCTTGGGATCCACAAATGGCAGCTGTCTTAGAAAGATTAAAGGAGGTACTGACCCAGTAATTTTGTTTATGAAATTCGACCCCAGCTTGACCAAAACTGAAGTCTAGCATGTCTAGAGGGGCCCGTATTAATTAAGTTTAGGCCCTCCTTTTTTTAAACAAAATCAGAAATAGGCAAATAATAGCTTGAGTAAGTCCAGCTGACATGCTCATCAGGAATTCAACATTACCATTAGTAATAGGCCTATGTCGAATTCCTGATGATGAGCATGTCAGCTGGAGTTACTCAGGCGATCTTGTAGTGTAGGGCCCGGTTCCTATAAGGGAACAAAATCCACTTTAAAATTATTGGACCAACCAAACTAGTTGGCGACATTCTCAATATTGAATAAACAGGTATGCCATAGGGAGGGCAGGGTTTTGATTTTTTGAGGGAAATTTGGGGGTAAAATGACGATGACAGTGCGGCGACGGTAATCCTTATCTTGAGGACACCCCTATTTTTATGAGTTCTGTTCAAAACTGACTTTTGCAGATGACTGTCCAGTACCAAAGTGACTTTTGCAGGCTAAAGCAGTTTTTTTTTCTTCAGGTAAACTCATGTTAGTTGTAATTTTGAAAGCACTTCCAAAGAAAATGTGACTTTCCTACCTTTTTGCGCAGTTCGCCATCTTGCTTTTTAAGTATATTTTCTGTTTGTCATCGTCGTCTTTAACCCCTCATAAATCAAAGCCCTGCCCTCTTTCTACAAATTTAAACCTGCTGATATTCAAGAGGTGTCATTGCCAACTGTTCAAATGTGTCAAGAAATATCAGAATGTCACTTTTGAGTGTCATTTGGTCAGCTGTTTTGGTGAGTCTTTTAACCTTATAGGCCTATAGGAACGGGGTCTTAAAGGTAAGGATTACCGCGGCGACAACACGCGACCCGAAAATAAAGATGGCGATCACCCCTCGATGTACTGTGAGCATCTAAGCACGGCGCGCTGCATCAGAAGGCACAAACCGCGCAGGAAAATCGCAATTTCTACCCCTAGAATCGGTTCAAAATTGCAAAACGGGTGTCATTAGAATTGAAAAAAGTCTGCTTTTGACTGTAGAAGGGGATTTTTGAGCAATAAAAAACATTTTTGACTCTAATTCGATAAAAACAAAATAGGGGCCCTACACTTCACCATCGCCGTTACGTCTCACTCTCAAGGCAAATAAGGCAAATTGCATACAAATTCAAACATGTCAAAAGTAAGTTTTGAAAATAAAACACGCAAACATATATGTCCCCACATCCGCACAGAATGTGATTCTGAAAACACCCAACGACTATCAGTTATCCCTGAACAGTCAGTGACAGAAAACAAAAGGCATATTTTTTCTAAAATTTTATCACGAAATTGATAAAGCACAAAAGCAAGGGCGTCTACCTGCAGTGAGGAACAAAAATACTAATTTATGTATTTAAATCACAAAAATACTCACCATACAATATTTACTCGTACAATCCTTTACCACGAATCGCAAATCGTTAAGAAGGTTAGCATGAAAGCTTCTCGGGAGAGCCACCTACTCAGTGAAAAATCGATGTCATGAACGTCGGTTTATTTACTTCGTGCTTGCCCTGCCTTTATAATCTCGGAGTTTCTCGCGAATTCATGGCAAAACCACCTTTACCCTAGTTTTAGATGATATTTTATTGTTTTAATTTTTGGAATTTTACAACTTAAGGCCATCAAATATGAAATTTAAACTATATTTCGATTCAAACAATTATTTCTATTATTAATAAATACAAGTATCAATCATTCAATTGAGGAATAAGTATTTCTGTCCGAAAACGGTTCTCAAAAATGAATTGAGGACATGTACAACTAGGGTAAATGACGTTCATCACGCAGCAGACGACTCCGTCATAATAATCTGAAGCAGACGCATTTTTCGCCGACGATGTCTTCAAAGCGTAGAAAGCAAAATAAACCGGTTAAAGCCGCTTTTATTAAAGAAAATGAAGGTATGTATAGAGACAGATCTTGTTCATGTAATTTTGAATCGTATTTTTGCAAAAAAAACGAAGAATAAAGTGAATCTGTATTCCGATTTTTTTTTTCACAAAATGTCTTGTCGACCATTTTTGTCGACTGCACTCTGTCATATGCATCATGCGCTGCATGTCTCTTGACCAGGATTTTCCATGAACAAATGAAATGAACTAATTCTACCTCCATGAATGAACTAACGTTAACGTTTAAGTAACCAATAGGCCTGTGTCACTCATTCCTTTTTCATTTGTCAACATGGTCAATGGTCTTTGTAGCACCTTTTCAGTTTGTATTGCTTGCAATTGACCTTAAATCATGTAAATTATTTTGATATCCAGACATTTCTCAAACATGTCAAACGGGAATCATATTAAATTAGGCCTAGCCTAGTCGTGCTATAGTCATCAGGTCATTGCATTACTGAACATGGGAAATGTTACTGTTAGGTCGGTTTCATTTTTCACAGGCCTGCTAGTCTTGACCCAAGATTTGTCATTCCAAGAAATTTGAGGGGAAAAAATGGGACATGTAGAATTTTGCTTTATGAATTGGAAATTCTGAAAGGTCACGCACAGTCCCCTGAATCCTTTGCGTGCAAAACGGTAAGTTACATAAACATAGGGTTGAGGTAAGTGACTTTATTCATGTTGGTTTGTGAATTGGATCACTACTCACAAAGCTTTATAAAGTGCACTTGCTAAAATTTCAACAGACTTTTAAATTGTTCTTCTTGGAATCTGGCAACTGATTAACAGATACTGGAACTTGTTCATTCGGACCCAATATTTGTTTTCTTTTAAAAATTGGACAAAGTTTGGAATGGAAAATTTATTTAGATTATTTCAATTTTCATCCATTTTCTCCCAATGCTTGCCTTTTTGATGGATCTCCAGGAAGTCATTTGGAAACAAATCCACCGACCACAAGGAGCCGGAGCAGGAGAAGAGCAGCCATGACCCAGCGCAGAAAGAAACAACAAAAGCAAACCCCTGAGCCTGCAGCACCCCTGAGACGAAGTACAAGGAAACGAAAGAAGAAGCAGTTCTTTTATGCAACAAAGACCAATAAGGCGACTACTCCATCCCCACCCAGATCCAGAAAAGTACATGCGCAGTACCTTCTATCTTACATACTTAGTTTTCAGGAGCAGTTATAAAGAGAATATTTCAAATATTTGTGTTGAAGTCGAGTCCATCACAAGTCTGGTCAGAATTAAATCACAAGTCCTGTCAGAGAACAGAAAAGCTTGTAACTTAACTTGAGACATCTTGTGAGGACTTGTGATGGACTGGACTAACAAACTCACAGTCGTTTGACCAAATCATTCAATCTAAACAGAGGGCCTGACGTTTTAATTATATCAGGATACTTTTCAAATGCCAAATGACAATGGGAACAGAATGCTTAAGAGACAGCAAGCATAGTTAAACAAAGTACAGGGAAGGAGATGCTGGGCGGGCATTAGTGTTGTGCATCAGGTCGGGTTGACCAGGCCAAACCGACCCGAAACATTGTAGAGATAAAGCGAATCAGAACCAAAACCGATCTGAACTCTCTAAAACCGACCCGACCTGACCCGGCAAAAATTCAAGGAAAATCGACCCAAACCGACCGGAAAAAAAAGAATATCTGGCTTGGGCAACTGTGTCTGCTTTTTGTGCCTGAACTTAAACTAAGACCGCGTACTATTTTGGTTGTATTGGGCACAGTGGTTCTGCAATACATATTGCACTTAGTGAATTCCGAACTGGTTTTTTTTTTTTCCTGGTTTATTTTAGCTTTTTCCAGAATGGCTTACCCAACCTGAAAATCACAAACGCAAAACCGAAACCGACCTGACCCGAGAGAAATGATGGACAAACTGACCCGACCCAAAGTGGATTTCGGGTCGGGTTTACACAACGTTAGCGGGCATACAAACGGAACACAGAACAAAAAGGACAGACGGGTGTGTGTATGTGGGAAGGGGGTTTTAATGTCTGAAGTGAATAATAATCTGATTATTGGGAGGTGGCAAGGACGATATTGCTGAATCAGAAGACTTTTTCTTTTCCAAAGTTGAAGTTTTCTATTGATGGTAATAACTTACGGGCGTCGTGCAGGAACTGTCAATGGCAATGTGTGGTGGAGTTCCAATCGAATAAACAAGTCAGGACATGAATAACAGGGAAAGAACAGTGCCTTTGTGACAGTTCATTAGAATAGCTTGTGATTAGAGACTGAATGACTTTTGATGACTTGTAACTCTTGTAACAACTCAGTTGACAAGGTCAAGATGCATTGCATGTGCTCCCAGTTTTGCTTGTGGGCTGCCACAGATTTTCACCAAAAACATGCAGCGTTTTGCCTGTTTGGACAAGAGGAACACCCATAAGCGTGGCATGCAACAGATATTGTGCTCAAGTGTCAGAATTACCACTTCGCTTTATTTTTCAGCTAAGGACAAAGTTATATACAGAGCTCATTAATTATAAAATTCAAGTGGTTGACACATAAGATAATCTTTTCACATTTGCTTTGCAGCGGAAGGTCTCGTCAAGCGAATCGGAATCTGATAACGAAGCCAACAGCATCTACTCGTCACAATCAGATGACGAACAGTCAGATGGGGGAGAGTCTAGTGGCTTGGCTCTCTTGGCCGCAGTGTCCAATGCCGACCAGGCACTGGCAAACAAGAGACAACAGCAGTCTGGGAGGGCCAGGAGAGATGCGTCGACCCCTGAGGCAGCTCTGGGGCGTAAGCGAGAGCAGTCAGTCAAGTACAGGGGCTTCTCCGTCAGCAGGATCAGGAAGGGTTCCCCGTCCAAGCGGCAGAAGACGGTCCTGGACGTGGACGTGCTGCGCAAGTTCTCCATCGCAAAGCTCATCAGTCAGTTCTCGGTGTACTCCTCCATGAAGGTGCCCAAGGATGCCTTCAGCACCACTGTCAGACACTCCTACACCTGCACCATGCTGCCCGGTATCTGCAATGAGAAGTTTTGCGGCCTCCTGGCCGACACCAAGAACCAGATCAAACGCCACCTGCTGCGCCACATTGGGGAACTGCTGACCATGACCACACAGAATAGCCCAAGTGAGTACAATTTAGTCTAGATGACTGTACATGTAGTCATTCAGTCAGGTAGAGAAACTTCTATTGCTTACTGATATTGTTCACTTGAACATAAGAAATTTGCTGAGTAAATTTTGAAGTCACACTTCTGTGTTAAATTGTGAATTATCATTCATTTAATTCCATTAGGTTTTACAGCAGATCAAAAGCCCACAAGTGATGGTTCAGACATGGAAGACACGGCACAAGTACAAAAGGAAACGGACATGGTGACCTATGCCATCCCATCAGGCACAAGGCACGTCACTGTCAACCTGCCCAGATCACTGGACATCAAGGAGTCCAGCTACACCCTGATCCGTTCATCGGCAGGGGTCAATGAGGTTGTGCTGCTACCTAAGGGCTGCCTGGTCAGCCTGGCCAGCGTGGTGGAAGAGCTCAAACCCCACCAGTTCGGCAAGTCGCCTCCTGGGAAGTTATCCCCGTTGAAAGTGGAGCAGGACTGGATGGATGAGGAGGTCATCGGGTCTGATAACGATGACGACGGCGATGTCAATGACGAGAACAAAGATGAGATCATGGACGAGGAGAGACTTGTGGAGAACTTCCTGAAAGAGGTCATCCAAGATGACGAATGCTCCATGCGCCAAGTACTGGGCGCCACCACCCAGTTCATGGATTCCAACGTAGAGAGCAACGTCATTGCACCAGAATCCCAGACAGTGGAGTGCGACATTGAGATCCGAACCAAACGGAAGAAATACACCAAGAGGTACGATCTGCCACGGGAGGTTGGCAAGTGCCAAAAGACCACGGAGAGACCCAACAGGAAGCAGGCGTCGTCTAAAGGCATCGAGGGGGTAGAACCCCCACATGCTGACCATAACTATGCCTTTAATATCTTCGGCACGCATGCGGAGGCTGATCAAATGGCGAGTCCACATACAGATTCACGTGGCCAGCCGATTTCAGAGCCGGAAGTGTCAGACAATGAGATGGTGTATCTACTCCCACGGCATCAGGTGAATGCACGCAAAGCTAAAAGACTAAAGAAACCAAGACCTCAGAGTATCAAGAACAAACGAAAGATCAAGAAAGAACCTAAGCCACCTACAGAAGAGGATACCAAAAATAAGGTAACACCAGATTGTGTTTAAATGTTGACGACTCCTCATATCTCATCAAATTTGAGGAGAAAACTGCCGAATAAAGCCCAGTTCATACTCGGCGTTACTCAGCGCGGGCACAAACGCAAACACGAATTTGTGACGTCCGGGCAGGTTTTTGCACTGCCAATTCGCAAAGTTTAACACCGGCACTTTCGCAGTGAATGCTTCGTGACGTCAAATTGGCATCGCATTCGCATGAAGTTTTGATAATTCTTTTTCAGATATTTGCGAGGGAAAGTCCCCTTTCCATTGAATTGTGTCTGCCAACAAGTTTAATAGTGCATCTTTCCAACAGGCCTTCACAGGGAATACTTCTTACACAAACTTGTATGAATCCTTATGAATTTGATATGATCTTAACCATGTCAGACTTTTTAACCACACTTTTTGGCAACACAATACACAACAGCAGTGCTCAATTGTGATGTTGAAACATTATTTCAGTGTTACTGTTATCCAAAACAACAGTGTAAACCACTCCATAGTACACCATACGACTCTACGACCACTTGGGCCCAAAATGTGTCTAACATTGAAGTCGATGCGTAGACGCGCTTTTAAAAAAAGTAAATATTTGTACCTGGCAAATCCCAAAATATGCTACGTATGTTATTCAATGGAGATGCAGGTACATGTTTGAACTCTCCCTCTTGAATTGCACATCTACATGTTCTTCTTGTGTATTCACAGACAAAAGCCTTGGAGATACTGAGCCTCTTGAGCCAGAAGTCCAGGGATAGGAAAGGTCCGTTCACCTGCGAAATCTGTGGTAAAAAGGTGACAGCGACGGGAACACTCCGTGCCCACTATCGCAGCCATGCAGGTAGGATGTCATGCCAATGACAAAGCAAATCTTGGAAAATGGTCTTCATTGTCTAGGGGTGTGCATTTACAGGTAGTACAGGACCAATTAGCTGATTGAAAAAATCACAGGTACCTGGGTTCCCGCTCTTAAAAGAAACCCAACGCCAAACATGCCAAAATTCAAATCTCTCGGAAGTTGCTGTTGAGATTGTTTACAAAGGTCCGCATGATAATACTACCGCATCGGCGCATCTATACAGCAAGATACCAGTACAGTGAGCTTTATTAACTTTACGGTGTAAACTGCAGCTTTCGCGAGCGTCATAAATGCGAAAGATGTTTTGTTTTCCCATGTGGCCTGGTTTTCATTTTGAAAATTCCTCACAAATGACTTCAAAACCTTTTCTTATTCAATGTCTGAGAAGTAACCAAGTAATTTGTTAAGTTGGTTACGGGTACCCGATCCCATAATCTGGAATCGGTTCCTGACATAAACAGTCGGGTACTTGGGTACCCGGCTCCAATGCACAGCCCTATCATTGTCAGATCGCAGGACGGGCATCGATTTATATTTCGGATACTGATTCTGTCTTTGTCCTTCGGACACTTTGTGAGTTTGGAGTATTCAGAAAGGTTCATTGTAAAACATGCCCAGGGGTTGAAGGAAGCTGTGAAGAAAATAAATGACATTTTATTTTTAAGCTTACAAACTATAAAGACACATTGGCATTTTGATTCTGATAACCTTGATCATGCTGGCACATTGGCAAAGATTTCATGTTACCAAAGCAAGTACGAGTTTAATTTTCAGCAACTTGTATTTTGTCCCACCATCCTCTCTGCACAGGAATCAAACCGTTTGAATGCGGCCAGTGCTCGGCCACCTTCACCCGTCTCCACAGCCTCAAATACCACCTGATGATCCACAACGAACAGACCCGCTTCATGTGCGACCACTGCGGCCGGGAGTTCCGGCACTCCAGCCACTTCCGGGAACACCTGCGGCGCCACACGGGGGAGGAACCCTACGGCTGCACCGACTGCCCGCTGCGCTTCAAGACCAGGAACACCTACAAGAGACACCTGAAGGCCAAACACCAGAAGAAGCTCACAGCCAAGGGCATCTCACTGATCATCAAGAAAGATAAAGATTAAAAATCAGGATCCCTAACAAAGGACATTTGAAGCCAAATACCAGAGAAGTATCACAGCCAAGGGCATCTCACTGATCATAAAGAGATTAAGACCAGGAACAGCTACAAGAGACGCCTCAAGGCAAGACAGATAAGACTAAAGGCCAGGATCTCCTAAAAGGGACACCTGCAGACCAGAAATTAAAAGAAACTCACATCCAATAGCGTCTCACTGATCATCAAGAAAGATACAGACTAAGAACAGAACACCTACATAGGACAACCAAAGACCAAACACCAGAGAAACTCACAGCCATGGGTATCTCACTGATTATCAAGAAAGAAAAAGACTAAGCACAGGAACACCTAGTACATAGGACAACCAAAGGCCAAACACCAGAGAAACCCACAGCCAAGGGTATCCCACATATCGTCAAGAAAGATAAAGACTAAGAACAGGAACGCCTACAAAGGACAACCGAAGCCCAAACATCAGAGAAAAGTCACAGCCAAGGTATCTCACTGATCAAGGAAGTCAGACTAAAAACCAGGATCTCCCACGAAGGACACCTGAACGCTAGATGCTCAAAGTCAGTTTTCTATACTACAGGTATCATCCTAATGGCTGGTACATGTACTTAACTATTTTTTTCTACATTTATTTTCAATACACTGGTATAATTACAGGTAACGTTCCGAGTCACACTGATTCACTTAAACCATTATGTTTACAAGCCATAATGTCCACGTCTTCTCGAATGGGCTTTATCCCAAAATTCATCCTGCGAACCATGAGGCTTGAAAATCACAGCCCTTGTCATTTTGAAGTTGCCCAGGTCTCTGCAAATACATCAAGTTTCTTCCATAGTTTATCCGATTTAACAACGGAAGCACCCCTTATTCTGTGTACATATAAATACTGCCATGACTACAATTGTACACATCCAGCGGTCACATTAAAGTCCATGACCAATTTGGTTGGGGAGGCACAATATTTTCAATGTGCCTCCTTTAAAATAAAAAATTAAAAATGAGTACCTCTTCCCATGTAGTGTACATATGCACATTGAAATGTAAATATGTGAATATGTATGTGTAATGTACAGCTGTATCTTTGTGCAAAGAAAACATATAATATGGATATTGATCAATCAAAATATGTTTTTTATTTGTAGGCTTATTTTTTTTTTCAAGGCGGGACTCGTCCCATTCTCTGGGTCAAAAAACACACAAAACATTACGAGGACAAAGTATAAAGCCAAGTGTTACGAGTACAATGTATAGCAGTATTGATATGACAAGGACATTGAATGGGGCAGGATGGCCTTGTTGTCTGACAGCTTGTCATAAGCACAAACATCCACGAAAATGTAAACATCTATGTAAACAATGTAAACTACATCCAAATGAAACTTGGGATTGATAGAAATGTCTCAGTTTGTGTATAAACTGCAAAACCTTCATTTGAACACGGATCCTCTTCACATGGATAAACGACTTCCCCAAATTTCTGGTAACATGCGAGACCCGGCACGCGACTGCAGTCAAATTTCTGACGAGTTTCAACAAGATTTCATGGAGGCTGACGCCAGCTGTCACGGATTCATGACGTGCGCATTGTTCCACATGTTCTTTTTGTTGTTCTAGCGCAGACGCGGCATAGCACGCATGTGGACAATCCGTTCCGTACATTTTGTACACAAGCTCAGATGAGTCGTTGATCCTTGTGTAGAGGATCCGTGAGATGAACTGCAAAAATCTTCTTTTGAACAAATATTTATACTGTTTACTGGGTCCAAACCTTGAAAAAAGAAGAAATTCAAACAAGGATAATTAAACTGATCTTATTTATCACTAATCAATTCTTATTGTCGACATTTTACCGATTCTGCTCTGAAATTTCAGCTAAACCTTTTTAAAACTTTTATTGCTGCAAGATTTATTTATGGACCAGTATTTAAAATTTACAGAGTTAAGGCCAATTAAAACTTTACGTAAAAAAAGCAAAAGGAGTGGATTTCTTGAAGTCAATAACTGACAGTTTCATTCTGCCACTCCATGTTACCCTAACCAATTTGCTTCGCGTCAAAATTTGTCATGAATTTCGAACCAGCCCTTCAGATGAATAATTAGCCCCATTTTGAACAGACCACTTTAGCCATGTGTGGCAGATTTATTTATTAAAACAGTATTTTTCACCAAGTGTATCGGTGAGCAAATTCACTTGTGTACTTTAATAAAATCATTTATCACTGTTTTGATAATTTTTTTATTTTTGGATCAAGACGGACTCAAGTTCGAGTCCTGGACTTGAGTCCTACAATAATGCTTTCTAGTCGGCAAGAGCCAGAAGATGAAGTGTGATGTGAAGTTCTCCTCATCAGCATTTGGCATCTGGCTTCTCAACAACAAAAAAAGATCAAGTTTGTTCATTACTTGGCTTCAAATTTGATTAACCAAATGCAACTTGCTCAGTTAAAGGTATTATATAACCGACATACAGATCCTTGTCATTTCATTGGTGGAACTCACATCACGTGTCATTCGTTATTACTGCCATTCTCACATCACGTGTCATTCGTTATTACTGCCATTCGCGCCGGGGCTCAAAAAGTAATATCCGCCCATGGGGAATGGGAAATACTATTGAACAGTTAGGATCAGTCTTGTTCCATGACGCGGTATTTGTGTGCAAATGCATGCTGGTGTGCGCGTCCAGCGTTGTGCGTATTGTTCCAAAGAGCCCGCGCTACAGCGTTGGGTTCAAACATTTTCGTGAAGGGGTGGTTTGGAAGAGAGAAATACAATTTTCACCAATTTTGTATTGAAATAAAAGTTCAAATATATCAAATAACAAGGATCTATATGTCAGTTTATATAAAACAAATATTGAGTGGCTTTAAATTGTGAAATGGGAGGAATATTATCGCTCGGTAAAATCTGGATTCTTCCAGTTCACTCAGCTTCGCCTTGTGAAATGGAAAAGTCCAGATTTTAATTTACGATAATATTCCTCCCATTCCACGCTGATCCACTCAATATCTGTATAATATACAACATTTGCAAACATCAAAACTACCAAATTATTATGAAATACATGTACCTTACTTGACTGTAAGTAAATAATAGTCCAGCATCCTGTGAAATCATGGCACCAGGTGTGCTGTCATTTTCAAGAAAAGTTGAATTTTTGTATCAATTTCCAACGATGTTGGGGAAAAAAATGACTTTTTTTTCAAACACTGTCCCCATTTTACCAAATTAATCCAGCTAGTCCGGTTCCCTGACCTTACAGTTCCCTGACGTCTATAATTTGCTATGTTTCATTTGAAGTAGGGTCAGGGAACCAGACTACAAGAACAGTATTTTTTTCCTGTTTTTTTTTCAGCATCTATGAACATTAAACAGAACAGTATAAAATACCAACCCCCAAATCCATCCATTTCTGAAAATTACAGCAAAAGCAAATGTTGTACATGTATGTTGCCTTTAAACTTTATGCCGACATTAAATAATATACACTCAAGGTTGGGGCACTTTCTCCAACTGTCTGTGTAAAAATTAAAAATTCAACACCTACAAAAACCGTTTTCAGTAATTAACATCTTTTTAATGAGGCATATGCTCCCTCTCTCTCTGTCTGCAAATATGTACAAAATTGTTAACGATACAAGCGAAAAAAAAAAGGTGAATTAAATAATGAACTATTTCAACCATTCGTGTGCATTGGCTCTTCGCGTTACAAAAAAATCCAAGAGTTGCGTTTTATTGTTGTGAACGAATACGCAGAGACAATTAATATGTACAGTGATGCAACTGAATAATATACACTAGTCAACTATCGTACACTTATTGTAATATCGCCAACACACCAAAACGTGTGAATATAAGTGGGTAAGTTGCTATGGTACCAAAAAAAAATCGCAGTGATTCTCACATTTAAAATACAAAAAAAAAAGAAGTAAAATGCGTTCATACTATTATAAATAAATGCGTCAGAAATAAAACTGTGCAATGTTAAATAACTATTTTTGTAAGCAATGACTATACAAAACATATACAATCCTTTTTTGGTATCGATTTTCATGAAGTAGGTATGTGCCAAAAAGGATAAAAATAAACTAAAACCAATCACACATCTTTCACTATCTATGGCCCTAAATCAGAGAATTGTAACTCTGTTACACCATTCAACACTCCACTTTTTTCTAATGAGTCCGGAGGGGGGGGGGGGACCTTAGAATTTCTCAAAATTTCAAAGTTTTCCAACTCCCGACTCATTTTTCCCCCAAGCATTTTGAAACTATTTTATATCCCAACCCCCCCCCCCAAAAAAAAACCCACAAATTTGGCATTCCATATTTTAAGTTAACTTTCTTTTAAAGTCTTGTGCATGTTGTATAATGGACCCTCCCTCATTCCCACCCCTACTACTACCCCCCCCCCATCCCCACCCCATTCCCATCCCCATCACCCCAAAACTAACCTGTCCTTGTATTACACCCTTTAGCACGGGTTCACGAAAATGTCACATGCAGTAATTTTGGAAAGCCTCGACAAACTTTGTTCACCATCGCCAGCCCCGTGTGGATTACGCTGGGCCATTTCTCAAACCTTGGGTTCGCTACACCAGCTGCGAATTTGGACTCGAGCTGAATATTTCTTTTTTATGAGGATTCAAGCTAAAAGTGGATCCATTATATGCTGCAGAAACGTTAACTCCAATGTTAAACACAAAGCAAAAGCCAAACCCAGCATTGAAACCCAGATTTGATAAATGGTAAAGCATTTGGTATTTTGGATTTCCAAATGTTGCCTTCACAATAGGCCACTTCAACTGCCCATGCGCACAATGATACGAGTCGAGGGTCATTCCGGATAATCAAACGCTCATCGAAGACGCATGAATGCGCACGATGCTCACGTGTTAACTACAAGCAGAATGGCATCGCGTAACAACGCGTATCATCACGTCGGCGATTTTAACCCAAATGACCTTTGACATAGACTACTTCGTCAAGATACTACTTCGTCGAGATATTTAATGTGGAAGTGGAATGCCACTGTTGCTTATGTAACATTCTGAACATTAAGCTACTCTCTCATTTGGCTCGTGAAATAATTTATCGCAAAGTACCAATGTTTGGTTTTTGAAAGGAGAATCAATCTAGTGAGACACAAACTACCCATTCCAACCAAAGCCTCACACACAAACAAGAACTGTCCAATCAATGTTAAATCAACACATTACCGTAATACAACTAACAACAATGATAAATCTACAAAATACACGACAGAATATACAGACAGCAAGCCACTATTGCACAGAGTAATCGTTGACCCTAAACATACCAAAAAAGGGAGGTTTGTAAATTGTCCGCCTCGAAAGTGAATATTTCGTCGGGGATGTCGTCGATTCAATCACAAGTCCCTGCAAGTCCATCACAAGTCACCCAGTCCTCAAAGACCTTTATCATGCTGCCACCATTACAGTCATGTTCCCTGTATCCAATAACAGTACTGAATGATAATGGGTTTTTGTGCAAAAAGGGACCAGACTATTTTTCCTTCCAGCCTCGCTTTGGTTACGTTGATTTGAATGGGAAAAAAACAAAGATGGCCGCAACACGATAATGGTCTAGTCAACTCGCAAGCTATTCAAACAAGCTTTGACAAAGGCATTCCTTTGTTCATCCACTGTTACTTGCAAATGGACTTGTGATGGACTTGGCTACATCCCTATGTTTGGTATACCCAACTTGTATACACATGCAAGGCATTCTGACAAAATAAGACACAACTAGGCAGAGGTCGAAATGAGGGTTTGCAGTTACATATATTAAGAAAGAGAACAACATTCTCCTTACAATACTGTTTGTTGCACTTCGATCGGACATTCAGTTGACAAGTTATGGCTGTTTAAAGTGTGTACTTATCGACATGTCAAAAGTAAAATACTGAGAAAAGGGCCTTCAAACTTTTGAGTTTTGTGAGTCGTGCAAATGGAAAATGCTAATTGGTTTTCCTTAAAAGCACTTTTGTTCCACGATTTTTATGCTATTTCTTTAAAATATGTGATAGACGTATCAAAGGTTATAAATATCAATAAATCTGAAAACTGACACAAAAATCGCCCTGTTCAGTTTTGTGTATTTTCTCCACTTTGGCCCGTGTTCAGTTCCGTCTCATTTTGTTAGAACGCCTCACATATATTGTTACATTGACGAATTCAAATGTGAATTCCCCTGACTCAAGACACACTTGCAGTATCATGTAAACTACGGCAAGCCCGAGACTCCACACACACTTGGGCACCCAGGATTGGGCTTTGGGGGGGGGGGGGGGGCCTCAACAATTTGTTTTTAAATTTCTGGCTGCATGAAAAACAATTTGAGCTTTTTTTAAATGGCGTTGGTGGCGCCATTTACACACCTATATACTACTCAAATATAGGCCACATACATATCATCCCGGTCAAATCGTGGGACTAAAAAATATGACACACAAAAAAAAACATTAAAAAAGTTACCTGGGGGGGGGGGGGGGGCCTCAAGGTGCGCCACTGTCGCTGGCATTCCAAATTATTCCCAAGATTTGAATCACATGTAAAGGTAATGGACACCATTTGAAAAAAAAAACGTGTTTTGGCCGAATCAGGCAACGACAATACTGTCCATCTGAAAAAAATCCAGTGATCTCTGTGATCTCACAGGACGCATGATCCTATTATTTAACCTATGATCTTTTGACAGTCTCATTTTCGAATCTTTCCAAGTTGTGTCCATTACCATTTAAGTGCTTGAACAGTCTGACGTTAAGCCCCCCAAAAAGGCTCTGGTTTCTGGTATATATTAAAAAGGTTTTTTATCAATGTAAGATGATGTCTCAAAACTGCCAAACTCAGTAATTTGACTGGATTCCTGGTGCTGCACAACTTTAACATGTTTTTAGATGGGGTTACGATCGAGTATAAGCTATTTGTGGCCTCTCTGGGCTCCCATACATTTTGCACTACATTTTAGTCAGGCACCATTTGCAGTCATTAGCCAACATTTGAAGAAAAAAAAGTAACAAAAGAGACAAAAAACCTGTTATGCCGCACCACTTTTGGGGCAAGCTCCATACCAGAAACCGAAGACTATTATGTATACAGCGCCAACTCCTCATCCCCACGTGTGGAATAGTTGCAGACGCGTTCTGGGCGCAGACTTTTTGAACAAATGTGCGTGATCGTTGAACAAAGTTACATGGAATGAAATTGAAGCTGTGAGTTCAAAATACAACGTGAGAGTACAGGTGCGGCTGGTATGAAATCATTGGAAGTCCATGTGTGCGTATACATGTACATTGTTGGCAGTTGGCGTTTCAGTTTTGGATGTATTGGCTTCGAATACAAACGCAGATATGCAAATAGCCGTACAAAAGCTGTACATACAGGTACACAAACAAGGATGCGTCTAGTATAACTTTAACATGTTTATATTTTACTCTGTAGTTAGGCAAGCTCAAACCATTGGGTAGCTGTCTCATTTCTGAAGAATTGTTTGGCTTCTTTTTTACCCTAACAAACCTAAATCCATCAAAATCTACACCCCTGTTTTGGAGGATTTCGGCAGAATCAGGATACCTCCATATTGAAAAAGTTGGGGGATTTTGATGGATTCAGGACAGTAAGCCTAGTGGTACTGCAGGATTCAGGATTGATGGATTCAGGATCTCAACAGATTCACTCCCGGCTAACTGGTGGATTCTGATGGACTCACTGGCCACCAACATTTTTTTTGCATGGCAAAATTAATGGATTCAGGATCCTTTCTTGTAAAAGTCCCCAAGGGGTTAGGGTTAATAAGTAAACTGTGTGAAACTTCTACAGCCGTAGTGCTTACTCGCCGAAATACATACAAGTTTCATGGTCTGCACACACTTTGCATGGCATGCAAGGATGTTGTCTAAACAATGGTAGATCTTGGTTTAGCAAATAGTTTTGAAAATGTTTAACTTAACATTTTGGAGAGTTTTTTGTCGCATGATAAAACACTCGACGTTGTTGTACAAAATATATTTTTAAAAGGCCACTTTTCAAGAATTTTGCTTTCTGCAGTAGATTTAGGCAGCGTTATGGCAGCATTGAAGGCACTCTTGCAAAATGCAATACAAATGGCAGTTTAAGTACATGAGTACGGAATACCAACGTTCAGAAAACATCCTGGGATTATCTAAGATGAGGTTTTTCCCACTTTTCTTTTCTAAAAATATTTTCATTGCTTTTCTTCGACACCTGTAGTATTCATTCTACAAATGCAGTACATTCTTATACAATACTCAAAAATAACAATCTATTAAAAATTACTGCAAAAAATGACAACAGTGAAAATATTGATTTTTTTTTTTCACAGCTAGAATCGAAGTTGTTGAAATGTTTCTTGCATTCAGTAAACCACTGAGCGGTTCCCATCGTCTAATCAATCAATCTGTTGACAATGATCAAAAGTGAGAATGTCCTCTGATTTACACGAACAATCTTTGGTGGTTGGGGGAGGGGAAGGGGTGGTTCCACGCCTTCTTCACCTGCACACTATACATCAGTAAGCAGGGTTGTGCTCAGTCAGTGTTGATTATCCATCACACTTCCTGTCCCTAGTCCTGTCAGAAGTCCCGTCCCGATCCAAGTTACAACTTTGTTCACATCAACAGAGGACGAACAATAACAAAGGAATGCCTTTGTCACACAGTTCATTTTGAAGAGCTTGTGATTTGACTTAAGACTCGGGGATTCACTATTGACTTGTGAGGTCTTGTAAGAACTTGTGAACTTGTGAGGTCTTGTGAGGACTTGTGAGAACTTTTGAGGCCTTATGAGGACTTGTGAGGACTTGTGAAGACTTGTGAGGTCTTGTGAGGTCTTGTGAGGGCTTGTGATGTCTAGTGAGGACTTTTGAGGCCTTGTGAGGTCTTGTGAGGGCTTTTGAGGCTTTTGAGGACTTGTGAGGACTTGTGAAGACTTGTGAGGTCTTGTGAGGTCTTTTGAGGGCTTGTCAGTACTTGTGAGGGCTTGTAAGGACCTTTTAGGTCTTGTGAGGACTTTTGAGGGCTTGTGAGCACTTGTGAGGACTTGTGAGTTATTGTGAAGGACCTGTGAGGGCTTGTGAAGTCTGTGAGGACTTACGAGGTCTTGTGAGGTCTTGTGAGAACTTGTGATGTCTTGTGAGGTGTTGTTAGGACTTGTGAGGGCTTGTGAGGACTTGTGAGGGCTTGTGAGGACTTACATTGTCAGGGCTTGTAAGGACTTACAGTATGAGGACTTGTGAGGTACTGTGAGGACTTATGATGACTTGTGAGGACTTGTGAGGTCTTGTAAGGACTTGTGATGGACTCTGCCTACAACACTAGTCATCACACAACAATCACAAGTCTTAACCCTAAAGGGGCCGGGTTATTTTGACCATCTCTCAGCCGGGGGGGGCGGATTCCGCCCCCCCCCCCCTAAGATCTCGGCCATCGAGTGACAAAAAATTTTGAAACTCGGCACATGCATAGAGCAACTCTTCCTAAACATACCCAAGAAATTTCATGACTATAGGTCAAATGGTTTTGGAATTATGGCTAATTAATTATTCATATGTACGAATGGCAATTCTGCTCTGTGTACACGACGTATATGCAAAAATTCAGTTTTCAAGGCGCCTAGCGCCGGAAAATTTTTCGCTACGCGGCAACCCGTGGTCCGATTTTTATGTTTTTGGTATCAAAAGATGTACAAAGCTCGAGGCTAAAAAGTCATAACAGCTCGGGTCGTGAAAAAAAATTTTTTAGAGGCTATCACGGAAAATGTTGAGGGGGGGGCGGATTCCGCCCCCCCCCCCCCCGGCCCTTTTAGGGTTAAGGTCTAAAATCACAAGCTCTTCAAATGAACTTTGACAAAAGGCATTCCTCTCTCCCTGTCATCCCATGTTTACTTGTGACGGGATTGTGTCTTGACTTGTGGGCCTTGCAAGATGATCCAAGAGCGACGACAGTACGCAGGTATATCTTGAGCAAGAACGGCTGAAGTCTAAAATCAAATCACAAGCTTTTGTCAAATAAACTTTGACAAAAGGCGTTCCTTTGTCCTCATTCACCCCAAGTTTAACTGTGAGCGGACTGTGATTTGACTTGTTGGACTTGCGAGATGACCCGAGAACAACGGCAGTATGCAGGTATAAGTAGAGCAAGAGGTCTCCACAGAACGGCTCAACTGTTGGCAAGCACAAGCGTCAGTTATGACAGAAGGGCTTGATCAGTCCCCACACAGTGTTGAGCTGCTCACTACCGAAAGGAGCAAAAACCCTGACGAAAACAAGGCTCCTAAACGTGTTCCCGACAAAGGCAAATGCTTGGGAGATATGCTCCATCTAACGACGACTAAATAATGAAGAAGTCACTCGGGCTTCTCCATCTCGCAGATGCAGCACAAGACATTGCTGGACCAGGTTTCGCAAAGGTGTCCACTGGTCGCGTCAGCACTGCTTCCCAGTTGACAGCAACTTGGGAGCCAAGTGTTCTACCCTGGTGAAACTGACAATGCTGTAAGGCATTCTCTCATGACTTGCTAACCGTCGTTTTCTTTCTGCAAATTGGTGTCAGGGGCAAAACAAAATTCGTCAAAAGAAGAAGAAATAGACACATATGGAATCCTTGCACATATCCCCTGGCATATAGGATCATTTTGCATTTACCCGAATTATGATCAAAAAGCTTACTTGGATTAAAGATCGTACTGGTACTAAACACCCCGTGAAATTATTCCGTCTGGCTTGCTGTCATTACGAAGAAATCAAGAAATGTAGGTGATTTCCAACGATCAGTCAATTGACTGATTTTTGGAAATAAAGATTGCTGTAGACGAAATCATTTTTTTTCGTGATCAAAAGGTTGTGCATGGCTTTTCACTGTTTTCTCAAAAGGTGTAGTATCCACTGAGCTGAAATTTCAACAGGTTAGGTTTTGAACATTCTCCTTTGGATTTTGAGTGGTGTTGTTATTGGAAACGGACAAAATGATCCTATATGCCTTTAAAACTGTTCAAGAGAGAGGTAGCTAATGACTTGCCCAATGCCCTCATGCAAACACTTTGGGGTGATGCACCTGCAGATGAAAAAGTTGTCCTGTCTACTCTAAAGTTGTGCACGCCCATTTCAGCACTCTTACGGAGCTCACAAGACTAGTCACAAAGCATACTGCTGAAGAATTTTGTTTCTGCAGCTAAGAAGGGGCCCTTCTTAAAGATATAGTCCATCATTTGTAATTTGTGCATTTTGTTCGTTGGAAGCAACAAAAGTGCTCAAAATCTAAAGAAGGGTGCTGAACATCTACTGATGAAGTTTCAGCTCAGCTTCAGCTGTATATTCCGAGAAAAACAGCATTCTAGGATCTCTTTTTCAAATCAAAAGTTGCTGAATCATGTTTTGTATTGGGCCTGAATTCAGTGTCCGATACACGTTCTCACTGAGCCGATCGCAGCTACGCAATGTCGCGCACTGATCCAACGAATTATAGCAACCGCGCACGCGTGTGCGTAGTGCCAATGCTTGCGCGTGCTTCGCCGAATAACAAAACGAACTACTCATTTAAATTTCCCCCGGTGCGTCTTAAGAAGCACCGTTGGGAAGGGCTTCTTTTGTTGATTTCTTTAAAATGACAGCTTGCCAGAAAGAATAATTTCATAGGGAGTTTAGTCCCCTTACTATATTTTTTGATTAAGAATGTTTTTCAACAATAATTACGCCAGTTACTTTTTCGGATAGCTGCAAATGATGGACTGTAGCTTTAAACCTCAATAAGATTAGGAATTCTCAAGAAGCCAAGAGACAACCTCAAAGGGTGAAGCCAGTTAAAAGAGAAAAAAAATGCCCAGACAAAATAAACAGCAACAATTTTGTTCAACAACTTTACTTAATGTTTTGTGAAACACCCCTCTAGTTAGTTTATGGTATTTGCCTCCCGTGAGTAGTACTAAACATTTCCTTATATGGAGATTGGAGTGCATGGTGAGTACTGCGCGTGGCGCGTACTGCGCGATATGGCGCAGGAGACAGCAGTGCAGGAAAAAAGTGTTTAAAACCAGTCAGTGTTTAATCAACCGTTTTATACCAACCAAGTAGCAGGCTCTTGACCAATACAAATGGGTAAACTTTCTTAGGTATTTATGAATACAATTTGAAGCGATGAATCACAGAACATACTTACATTCTAGTTGTTGAATTTGTTGATGCTACATTACTGGCTGATGACTGGCGTACCCGCGGACTGGTTACCGACGTACTCGAACCTTTCCGGGATTCACCTATGAATGGGTAATGGTTTTGAAAATACCATTGAAAACTTTTCACATGACTTTTTTTTTTTTTTTAAGAGTTCACGGGTGACCACTGCATGGACCTTGCAGAGTACATCACTCATGTACAGGGGATAAAAGCATTTAACCACTAGATCGTCCTCAAGGATTTTGCAGTTATCCAAGCTGCTTTTTACAACAGTTAAAATAGAGCCAGAGCATGTTGAAGGTAATATGCCCTTGGGTACATCTTGTGTGAGCACACATGTTTACATTACATACCAAGTGTGGACATTCCCTTGGTTTCGTGTAGTTAAGAAAAACCAGTGTAAAAACTCATTTTCCCAAACTGTGAAAATTCTTTCAACCCAATTTTTTTTCTTCTGTGATCCACTTTAGTGTTTCCCTTCATTTTGCCACAGATAAACTGAGCCCTAAAATGCCTCTAAACCTGTTTTCCAGAAATGGGGAAACACTGTGTGGACTTGCCCACATCCACACAACGTCTCCTCCACCTGGTTTATGTGGACCTCTTTTGTTCAGGAGTCCACACAGTGAATGTAATGCCTACCCAAGAATTCACACACGCCTGGGACTGCATTATGGGGAAATGTTACAGTTAGGAAAAATTGAATCTAGATGTGAGGACTTTCGATTACCCCTACATGGTTTTCAGTCCTTACAAAACCTTTATTAACACTAGTGTGTGGTACGCAACAAATAGGAAACCAGTCTGTGTATGTGTGGTGGAATTTCGCTTTGGATGCCTTTTTGCCACTTTGGATGTACGACACGCCAGGGACCACATCACAGCAGGCAAGTGGTTGATGTATCCTATCTATAGAAGGAAATGCCTACTTGTGCTCGACGTTCTCTTGATAGATGAGGAGCTACCACTGCTGCTGGATGGGCCATCCACAGTTGTACTCGCGTTCTGATCCGAACCTTTCCGAGACCTGGTAGTGTAAAAGACAAGAAAAGGTTATTACCTTTACTCATATATGAATGGGACAATGTGCTGCAGAATCACTAATGTGGACAAATAACCAATGCATTGCCCTCCATGGTTTTTACCTCGGAGAGGCCACTTTTAATAATAATAATAATAACAGGTTGTTATATAGCGCTTTTAACTCAGATCAAAGCGTTTTACATCATTATTACCCCTGATCACTGGGCCAGTTAAACATTCCAAATACCATCTCAGCTCCCTGGGGAGTATACAGCTTGATGCAGCCTGTTAGGCGCAGGGAAGCTAATTCAATCACATAACCATCTCTGCCCTCACAGGTACCATTTACTCCTGGGTGGAGAGAAGCAATGAGTGACAAAGTGCCTTGCCCAAGGGCACACGCACCATGACCCCTGGCTGGACTCAAACCCACAACCTGCAGCTTTACCCACAGACCACGAATTCAGTGCCCTTAACCACGAAGCCACAGCACTCCACAATCTTACAACTTGAGTGTACAAGAATTCATCATTAGATCTTCTGCAAACAAGATTAGATCATCCTTAGAAGACCAGCAGCCGATTTCACGAAACCTTACCCAATGGCGCAACTTTGCTTGCCCCAAAATTTATTGTGTAAGTTGCGCAACATTTCACACTGCGCAACATTTCACTTATGACACATTTGTTGAAAAACGGATAGTGTGTAAGTCTGCGACTTGCGCAATAAACTTGCACAATCATTTTACAGCGTAAGTTGTGGTGTAGCGACTGAAAATGACATATTTTACCAGCAAATCGGGACTGTTGTAGAGCCCGATGTTGCACAACTTATTTAAGGTTGATACAAGACACTCACAACTTTATGTTCGAAGTAAATGAATTTCTAATTTACTCGTAACATAATTTTTAGAGTTGCTGAACAATTCCAAAGAAAGTTGGACAAAATAATTTTCAAAATGGCGGACTGAGGTGATCCAACGACTGTTTCGCGAATGAACAAATTCATACACAAACAGCCATCATAAAAGCTGTTTTTATCCTTGTCCAAGATGTTTAAATTATAAAAAATGTTGCGCAGCTACGCCAAGTTTCATGAAATCAATCGTAAGTTTATTGCGCAGCTGTGCAACAAATGTGTTGCGTAAGTCTTACATATACGCATGGCACAAGCTGCGCACTTTTTGCCAGTTGCTGGACGCACCATGATACAAAATAATACGGAACCACTTTTCGTTTGTCTCTCTTTATAATGTGTAAACATAAGCCTACCACAAAACCCAACACATTAACTTGGACCACTGCACCACATTAAAACCTGGGACAATATGGAAGGTATATACGTTGAACATTGCTGCACGTGTCAAATGTTGGGGTTCATTATTGAGTCTGATGGTGTACATGTTAACGCCGGCCGGAAATGGAACAAGCTCCCTCAAGACACCATAGACGCCCAAAACCACAACACCTTTTAACGATTTAATTTAGTTTCCACTTCCCCAAGGCCTCCTTGTTAGACTTCCACGTGGAATATTCAGGAGGATAACCACCAAGTACCAAGTACCAAGTAGTCCGAGGTAACTGGATTTTAATAAACATAACACCTCATTGGAGGGCAAACCTTTCACGAACAAACTTAAAACATCCAACCCGTCACCTATCGACTCAGTGAACAAATATCCCCCTCAACTGTTAGAGCGATATGACAGACATCTTAAAGCCTTTTTTGCCCAAGACAGGCTAGTGGGCATGCAGCTCTAGTTAGTAGTCACACTGTCCCTGCACAGGGTCCATCGACCCATCATTCCAGACTTGCTTTATGCTGTAAAGGGCATTGCACAGCATGTAACAACTTCATTGTGTGTATGACATGCATGACAAAAGAAATTAGTGAAGCCATGATTTGCAGTGTAACAGCAGGGGCCAATTTCATAGAGCTGCTTAAGCAAAAAAATTGCTTAAGCAAAAAATTTGCTTAAGCACAAACAGACTTTGCTTAATATAATCAGGTTACCCACCAAAACTCCATGCGATTGTTATGCTCAGTAAACAACAGCTTAATACCAGTCACGAACAATGTACATCACATGGCATTTTGGCCAGTATCCTGATTATATTGAGCAATTTTTTTTTTTAGTGCTTAAGCAAATTTTGTGCTTATAAAAGCAGCTCTATGAAATTGGCCCCTGGTATTAATAAAGTCTAACCAAACATTTCATAGGGTTATGAATATAGATATCCCGGAAAGATTTCATGCTTTCAGATACTGCGACTCCGGCTATAACCCAGAGTTGTGAGGATGCATAATCAAGACGCCAGCCAAAATCGCTCATCAGCCAAAACATCTAAGGGCTCGTCTCAATTCATATCCGGTACGAGTTCCGGACGAGTTCCGGACAAGTTGCGGGTAGAATGATTCACTTTGTCCGGAAGAAGCTCTGCATTTGTCGCCGACATTTTCCAGGGAAATTTTCATAACCAACTGCTTGACTTTATACCAACACTGATAAGTTAACTTCATTGTGGGAAGATTGCGGGGAAGTTGTTCAGAATCCTGCAATTGGTACCGGCACCCCATACAATGTCCGCAACTTGTCTGGAACTCTTCGGAATATGAATTGAGACGGGCCCTAAAAACTTAGCTTTTGGCCTAGCAGCAGCCATGAACTTAGGTCCTGCAGAATTAAAGGTGTAGTCCATCACTTGTAATTTGTGCATTTTGTTCGTTTAAAGCAACAAACGTACTCAAAATCTAAAGAAGGGTGCTGAACAACTAACCTGATGAAGTTTCAGCTCAGCTTTAACTGTATATTCCAAGAAAAACAGCATTTTAGGATCTCGATTTCAAATCAAAAGTTGCTGAATCATGTTTTGAATTGTGCCTGAATTCAGCATTCGAGACACGTTCTCACTGAGCCAATCGCAGCTACGCGATGTCGCGCACTGATCCAACGAATTAAAGCAACCGCGCGCGTGTGTGCGTCCTGCCAATGCTTGCGCGCGCTTCGCCGAATAACAAAACGAACTACTAATTTCAATTTCCTATGATGCATCTTAAGAAGCACCGTTGGAAAGGCCTTCTTTTGTTGATTTCTTCAAAATGACAGCTTGCCAGAAAGAATAATTTCACAGGGAGTATAGTCCCCTTACTATCTTTCAACCAAGTATGTTTTTCAACAATAATTACGTCAGTCACTTTTTGGATAGCTGCAAATGATGGACTTTAGCTTTAACTTTGTCAGGTGCTTGGAGCTGTACAAGTAAAACCTCAGAAACGTTTGGTTAGACTTGGGCACTTGGCATTCCTTCTAAGCTGCAAACAGTGCAATAACAGTTGCTCTCTCCATGTAGTTGAGTTCTACTACGAAACATACATGTACATGTTGGTTTCTAAATTGCTATTTTTTCTAGCAACAGAAAACCTATTCACTTATGAATAAGAAATCGAACAAAACTCCGGAATATTAACTCTACAATTACAACATATTTGCGGTCTGACAATCACTCAGGCTTAACTTTTTGTGCGTTATGGCTGCAAAAAACAACCCAAAATGAAAGCGTATTTTCAGGGGGTGGAAAACATCAAAGAAAATAAAACAATAATAACTAAATACCTTCTTCTGTTTAAACAAAACACACAAATCAAACATTTGTTAGAAGAAAAACAATTGAATATGTTTGAGAGCAAGGGTAGAGCAACTATTAAGGGGGAAAAAACGAGCTAGAATTAAAAAAATTAAAATAAATTCTGAATCAAAGCAGAATGACAAAATTAGGGGGGAAAACAGTTCCTCTTCGGTTGGCAAAGCTGGGTTAATTGCAAGTTCGCATGTTACAGCTTTAATAGCAACCTGCAAAAGCAGCCTGGCAATGTGGTCTAACAGATGACCTGATCGAAAGAAACATGTCAGGTTTTTTGGTGTTTCTTGTTTTGTTTTTTTTACAGGATTTTTAGGGTTTTCCCCAGAAAATTATTCTCAATACAATGCTTTGTGGCAAAGTTAGAATGAAAGGAAAGAGATATATCTTCAAGCACAAAACCAAGTGCTCAGCGTGGTCCAAGAAGCAGGGGGGGGGGGGGACGGTCTGTAAAGCTACAGTATTTTAGGGTTAAATATCTGGTTAACTGAACGGAACGTGGAACTCATTTCTATCGATCAGGTCAAATATGGCAATTTCTTGTACAGAGCAAAATGGGACAAGCAGACAGATTTAGTATCGAGTGTGTAAGGCAAGCGCCATGGTTACTTTAGGGTTAAAACTCTGATGTTGAACCAAATATGGGACTCTTGTCTACCAATCAGCTTAAAGGCATATAGGATCATTTGCTTTTCATGCATTTTGCTCATTTCCAATAATAACACCACTCAGAATCCTAAGAAGAATGTTCAAAGCCTAACATGTTGAAGTTTCAGCTTAGTCAGTGGACATTACACTTTTCGAGGAAACAGTGAAAAGCCATGCACAACCTTTTGATCACGAAACGCAATTTTGTCCATAGCACTCTGTATTTCCAAAACATCAGTCAATTGACTGATCATTGGAAATCACCTACATTTCTTGATTTCTTCTCAATGACAGCAAGCCAGACGGAATAATTTCATGGGGTGTTTAGTGCCAGTCCGATCTTTAATCCAAGTCAGCCTTTTGATAATAATTTGGTAGGTTACTTTTGGGATAGAGCAAATGATGGTGTATGCCTTTAAATACGGCAGATTCTTGCGAAGAGCAAAAAGCACAAGCAGGCGGATTTAGTATCGAGTGTGGACAAAGGGCTGTGATTGATGGCAGCATTTTAGGAAACAAACAAACAACCTTGAGGTGGCTGTCTTGGCATTGGAAGACAGGCAGATCAGGCCATCAGAGCCCGCTCTACGCCTACTGTAGGTTGGAGAAAAACAAAACATACACAAACATACACCATGTGTACAAGGGATGCGAGTGAGCTGAGTTTCAATCACACACATGTACATGCACATTGCATACTTAAAAGAAAGAACAGTTCTTGAGGACAATCAACTAATGTCGCAGACAATGTAGCTACAACACAAACGACAGTAAAAGAAAATGTGACTAAGATACATGAACATTTCAGATTTGGAGCTTTTTACGCATGCAAAAAAACCGCAACCCCTGTGGAAAACTGACAATTATGCTTCATGCTGTTTGTCTACTATTTTTTGTTGTTGTTTTTTTTAGTCATAAAGAGCACACATGTAAAGCAATCACACTACAGGGTGAGTCAAAAAAAGCAAAACCAAAATGTCGAGACTATTGTTTTAGTGAAGTTCTGCATGTAGCACTTTCAAAATCTAGGATATGAAAGCCCAATTCATAAGCTATCTGTTACTCCAAGAATCATTCAAATCACTCATGTACTTTTCAAGTTACGGAATTGTAAACACAACCACCGTTTTAAAGTTCTGTTCACGGATCACAAAAAAGTGTGCGTTCTTTCAGCACAACGAAAAATTTACACACATCCCTATGTGATTTGTTTTCGCTTTGCTGAAGAACACTACCTTCTTGTGATCCTTGGACAGAACTTTAAGACGTTGGTTGTGTTTAAAATTCCGTAACTTGAAAAGTACACGAGTGATTTGAATGATTCTTGTACTAAAAGAAACCTAATGAATTGGGCTTTCATATCCTAGATTTTGAAAGTGCTACATGCAGAACTTCACTAAAACAATGGTCCCAACATTTGGGTTTCGGTTTTTTTTTACTCACCCTGTACTTGTAACTAACAATGCTTCAGCCAATAAACATCATGTCTTTATCGAACCACATGCATTTTATGAGACAGAATGTGTATCGGGGAGATATAGATTTTATATTGGGTTTTACCCTTCGCCGATATATTTTATAAACACCATGTACATGTATATTTTGTTCTCACAACATGGATGGCTCTTAGGTATGCAAAGCAAGCTCAGCAAGCTCAGCAAGCTGCACTTTTAAGGGTTAAAAATGAATGGCATTTTTTTTTCTTTCTGGTTCCAATGGACACAAAACATTGAACAGGTCGGTGTAACGTTATAAATTGCTATAAACTACTTGCCTCGATTCAGTCCATTGCACGAAAAAAATGAACTTATTGTATACTAACCATAGAGCTAAATTAAATTACTAGAGCGCTAACTCCTTATTCTTGCGCGCGGAGACGCTTTGAAGCCGCGCTGGGCGCAGACATTTTGAATTTATGTGCGTGTTTGTAGAACACCATCAAAATAGATGGATTGAATTTTAAAAGTGTACTCTACATGCAACGCGCCAGTAGAAGATAAGCGAACAACTTAAGCGCGTCATGACGGTTCAAAAAACGTCACGGCGAAAAGCATCTGCAGCGGAGGGACGCGCACACGTTGCGCTGTTTGCGTAGAGCAAAATGAAAAGCTTATTTTCTGATTTTTCGTTTCGGTTTTGGGCGTATCGGCTTCGATGAATACAAACGAAGATATGCAAATAGCTGTACAAAAGCCGTACAAAATTTTGAGTTTTCCATAGGTTTGTGCACAAACATGGATGCGCCCATCAGGCATTACTTTGTACAACAAGGTAGCGCTCTAGTAATTCAATATAGCTCTATGATACTAACATTAAGTCAAAGTCATCACTGAAAAAAACAAACTGTGACACAAAAAACAGCATCCCTAGTAAATCCTCTGCTAAAACAGTTCTATCAGTTGATTGTTTGGGTTGGGTTTTTTTTTAGTGGGGGAGGGGGGTTGGGGGGAGAGGTTTCACAGCTCGTTAGTACTCACTTTCCAGGCTTGTTGTTGTTAGTTTCAGGTACCGGCGGTGACTTCTTCCCCGCCTTAGCTGAGATGCTAGTCACCTTGGAGGCACTGCTGGCCGTGGGGGCGGCAAAGGTGGCATTCTCCGTCGACTTCTTGCCGGGTGCTTTGCCCGTTTTTGTCGCTTTAGATGGAAATAAGAAACCAACAGATCAACTTTTTTGAAATTGCAAATCTTTGTTCTTTCCACATCAGCAGTAACTGCTAACTATAATACAATACTGTGGCTAAGCACTGTGTTTAACTTTTGTTAGAATTTTGATGGAGTCACTAAATAAAAATTTGAAGCAAAGCTGAGCTTGGAACTTTTTCTTTTTGTAGAACAAGATAAGCAAATGAGACAGGACTCCAACTTGTAACTTATGGATTTAAAAGTGATAGACACATCTGATTGGTTGGTCGTTGATCACATGTTATTGAGTTATTCATCCCAACCCACGGCGCGGCCGTACCCCAAAAATAGAAGTTCTATTCCAAGGTAAACAGAAGTTCTATTCCAAGGTAAATAGAAGTTCTATTCCAAGGTACATAGAAGTTCTATTCCAAGGTAAATAGAAGTTCTATTCCAAGATAAATAGAAGTTCTATTCCAAGGTAAATAGAAGTTCTATACCAAGGTAAATAAAAGTTCTATTCCAAGGTAAATAGAAGTTCTATTCCAAGGTACATAGAAGTTCTATTCCAAGGTAAATAGAAGTTCTATTCCAAGATAAATAGAAGTTCTATTCCAAGGTAAATAGAAGTTCTATTCCAAGGTAAATAAAAGTTCTATTCCAAGGTAAATAGAAGTTCTGTTTCATGGTCACACTATTGGCGGCTCTGACCAATCAGATGATGAGGATTTATTCCTTGGTTGTATATAACAAATAATGAATGTTTTCACATTTTTGCAATGGTAAGAATAATTTCATTCGGTAACAGATGGAATGTTCCATTCCAAATTCCACTCAGCTCGCCTCATGGAATGGAACATTCCATCTGTCACCTCATGAAATTATTCTTACCATTGCACTCATAAACACTCCTTATTTGCATTATATCTCACTTAATTGTAGGTAAAATAAGAAAAGAAAAAAGAGGAATTAACATCATTTTCTCACGACGGTTTGGAACGAACCATCGCAAGAAACAAGAAACCTCTTCAAGTACTGCCCCCAAATAACCGAATTTAGTTGTTTGCAATCATCATGAAAAGAAAGGAATCGTACCTCTGTTAGTGGAGGTGACCGACGTGTTGCTGGAGGATGACGGAGGGGGTCTCTTACCCGTCGCACTGCCCGTCTTGGCCGGTCTAGTAACTGATGGTTGGAAGCATAATTTGACAACTCTTGAAAAAAATACCGAGTCCGAGATTGGTTACTTTAAAGCTACAGTCCATCATTTGCAGTATCCAAAAAGTAACTGAGGTAATTATTGTTGAAAAACAAACTTGGTTGAAAGATAGGAAAGGGACTAAACTCCCTGTGTAATTATTCTTTCCTGCAAGCTTTCATTTGAAGTTTCAGTTCAGCCCTGTATATCTTAAGAAGCACCATTGGAAATTTCCATTTGTAGTTCATTTTTTTATTTGGCGAAACGTGCGCACGGGTTGACATGAAGCACACGTTGATTACAATTGCTACAATTCTTCGGATCAGTGGGCGACATCGCGTATAGCTGCAATCGGCTCAGTGAGAACGTGTCTGGGATGGTGAATTCAGGCCCAATTCAATACATGATTCGGCTACTTTTGATTTGAATCGAGATCCTAGAATGGTGTTTTTCTCAAAATATACAGCTGAAGCTGAGCTGAAACTTCATCAGGTTAGTTGTTCAACATCCTTCATTAGATTTTGAGCCCTTTTGTTGCTTCAAACGAACGTAATGCACAAATTACAAATGATGGACTATACCTTTAACCCTAACTCCCTAGCATGATTTACTAGGAACCATACCCATCCTGGCAAATTCCAACACCATATGGGAAACTGCATGCACATATTTCTGACTTTGATTCTGGAGGTGTGCCAACCCATTGTAAAAGACTGTCAGTTTAAGGGGTACTGTACCCATCCTGACAGATTCCAAAAAAACATGCCGTTGGGGTTTGATGGGTTGAGTTCTGTTAGGGTTAAACTATGCGAAGGAATACAAAATTCTTCAACACAAACTTCCACCGTAGCAAGGAAATCAGTTTCATTTGGCTGACCTTTTTTAGCCGCAGAACTGGCCGTTGTGCTGGAGACTCCAACATTCTTGCCCTCCGTCCCCGTTTTCCTCCTGTCTCCACCCTTGGCGGAGGTTGGAGCCTTACTCCCTCCCCCAGCCTTGCCCTCCGAGTCTTCCAGTTCTCTCCTCTCCATCTCCAAGAGGAGCTGCTCGTCTTCTTCCTTCTTCTGGTCGAGGAGGTCGTCTTCGGCTTGCCGTTTGGAGGTCAGCTGGGTTTAAAGAATGGATGCAAGAAACGTAGGGTTAACCTTAAGCCTGCCAGATGCAACACAGTGCAACAGGTTTGAGAATCTGTGGTTCGGGTTTGCATTTATCGGTAAAATGGGAATAGGGTACCCGATTGAAAACGCAATGGGTACTCGGGTACCCGATAATGAATCCCAACCACAAAATTTAAATCTCAGAAGTTGCTGTTCCCATCGTTCATAAAGGTCCCCACGATAATACTGCCGCATCGATAGAAGCGTGTATAGTGAGCTCTTAAGCTTTACTGCGTATCGGTAAATTGCATTTTCGCAAGCGTCCTAAACATGAATCTGTTTAGTTTTTCCGTGTAGCCTTGTTTTTCATTGAAAAAATTCCCCATAAATGACATTCAAAACTTTTTTTTTTTCATTTTCTGATAAGTTAACGATAAGTAAAGGCAATAACGGGTACCCGATTCCATAATCCTTAACCCGTTCCTGACATCAGGAGTCGGGTACTAAGTTTTGATGCACAGCCCTGATCTGTGGTACATGTACATGTAGGACAAAAAGGACGTTACACACATTGTGGATCCTATACACCGTGGTGCCCGGATGTGCTGTATTCTCATAAAATCTCACAGGTTTTTGAGGTCAACTTCCACGCTCTATTATCCCGCTTATGTGACAACTTACCGAACCAACACACATCTGAATCTTGTCCAACTCAAACACAGCCTGTAACGAAAGCAGAATAATTCCAATGTGAACTAAAGTTTAAATTTAAAGTGGTCTAGACTAGAGGTCAAAAAAATTAAAAGTTTGAACATTTATTCATAAATACCTCAGACAGTTTAGCTATTCCTATTGGTCGAGAGCCCGTCACGTGGCCGGTCTTAAACGGATGATAAAGACATGGCTAGCTGGTCTTAAACACTTTTCCAGTGTCACAATAAAATGTGGACTCCTAAAAATCCAGTGCCTCTTACCGTTTTATTGGTTGAACGTTCACAATCCTCACGTAGGCATGCGCAACACTACAAGCGAGTCAGAATTTTATAGTTCTAAATTCAAAACGCAACGCCCCAGGTGCGTTCTGCGTGACATCGCGCAGAACATGATACGCGTGCGTCAATCTCCATAAAAGGGTTGTTTACATCTTACTCGTCAGCTGAACACTCCATTATTTTGCTAGAGGGATGTTTCAAAAAGCATGAAGTGAACTTGTTGAACAAAATCGGGATTTTTTGAACGAATTATTTGATATTTTTTTACGGATAAGGTATTTATGAATGGGAATAAATATGTGCTCGGTCGGTATTTATCACTCTGTTTAATACCGCTTAGAGTCTGGGTGCTGATAATTACCCTCGCCTCCGGCTCGGGTAATTATCAGCACCCAGACTCTAAGCGGTATTAAACGAGTGATAAAAACCTCCGGAGCACACATTTATTCCCTTATTAAAAATCAGTTGATGACGTCATTTTGACGTCATTTCAAATTTTGCCTACTAGTAACATTGTCTACCTTCCCACCAAGTTTCATGACAATAGGACCTACCGTACCATATATGTGTTTTGACGGGGGGGAAAAAAATCACATTTTTGATGATGTCATCATGACGTCACACACTTTTCACATTTTTGTGCAAATATCTATGACCGTACAAACCTATTACAGAAAGAATTTTTAATTTAGCATGTTGCATTCATGAGATACGGCAACGAACTTCAAAATGTCAAAAATCCACATAAAATCATACGATGTCATCATGACGTCACATCTATAACACATCCCGGTGTGTGTACATACAAAGTTTCAACCCAATCGGCCTTGTAGTTCTGTAGATATAGGCCAAGCAAATTGACGAGATATCCAATTGGAAGCACTGTCAATTATCGACATGGAAGTAGAAGTAGAAGATGACGTCACATGACGTCACTCCTCAGGGACACTGCCAACTCTGAATGACGTACGACAAAGATAAAATGCCCGAAGTGGAAGGGAGAAAAATCATGCACAAAGTCTATGGGATTTGAGATAGAACAAAAGAACAAAAGGAAGAGGAAAGGGAAAAAAAATCAGAACAGAAACAAAGGTTTTTCCGCAACTTTGTGGAAAAGCCAAATACAAAATGCCACTGATAAAAAGAATGATAATCTCTGGAGACATTTTCCAAAAAGATGCATGTATGGTACCCACCCTCCTGACTGCAGTCACTACATCCTGATCGTTCTCCATGCTGAGGAGTCGCCTGACTATCGTCTCAAGCTGCTGTAATAGCTGCAAGTCTTTAGGTAACTTGAACTGGGCCTTGAGCGATGGTAGTAATGAGCAGAACTTTAACCTAATGAGACCCCCAAAAAAGTGTGGAACAGAAATGCAAAGATGATTTTAGTTGATTTTGATTTGGGTATTAAATTTAAGAAAAAAGGAAACAAAACAAGTAGACAAAATGAAAAAAGAAAACAAAAAAGAAGACGAACCTAATGATTGCCTTACAGCAATACAAATGCTATTAAGAAAGCAAGTTAAAAATATGAATATAGCACACAAAATAGACAAAACATTAAAAGAAAGTTTAAACAATGAGAATCATTTAAAAAGACCATGTCGAGTAGAAATATGACACATACACTTAAACGTACAGCTCAAGCATCAATCAACCCTCAATGAATTGAATAACTGACTTTTTACAAAGATTGAAGGGAAATGAATACAAATTCAACTGCTGTTCTTAAGCATTCCAACAAAATGAGCTGATGAAAGCAGTTAGAATTTGTGAACAAACAAATTCTTCCCATCATAACTATTTTGTTGCCATTTTTAACAGGGTTTTTTGGGCCCAAAATGGCACATTTGAGACCCAGGTGTATTCAAGGTGATTATTATACAGAACATAACATGGAATTTTCAAAATTTGGTCGATCTATATTTTTGAAATGACCAGTGTTTTTGAAATGTCAAATATAGACATTAAAATCAATACCTTTTAGTTTACTAATTTTAAAGTTGAACAAAGAAATTGACTGGAGCGGGGTTTGAACCTGCGACCTCTGGGTTTGAACCTGCGGGATTTGAACCTGCGGGATTTGAACCTGCGTTCCAGCGCTCTACCATCTGAGCTATCCAGCCCTATGTTGGCGGTTCCCCTTTTCGTCAGCGTCTTTGTTCCAGGGCTGCTAGTCATAAACCCCTATAGAAGTCATAAACCCCTATAGAAGTCATAAACCCCTATATGCCATGTAGCCAGGGATCACGCCTAAAGTCATGATGTTAGCAACATTGGAAATACTGCGAACTTGGGAAAAAGCAAACGGGGGATCACTCAGAGAGGATTCAACTTTATTTCCCCAACGAACTTCCAAAAAGTCTCGTTACCTGACATTTGGGACTGGGTCCTGTGCAAGTTGTACGACATAGTTGTACAAGTTATCCTTGAAGAAGGACTTGGAGAAAAGTTCCAGAGAGAAGTGACAAATATCGATGAACAGCTTCCTGTAGCGATGGTTCTTGGAATGACAGCATTCTGTTGACAAAAGGATATAAAGAATCTAAAACTGAACAGATGTGACCAATACATACTCCCTCTATGGTGATAAGGAGCAAGTTGGGAGGGACCACTGAATGGGACTCATGGAGACACTGCCAACTTTGCCTGACGCTCACTCATAGCGAAAACTTGTTGTGCATGCTTCACACATTAAAGTTGTGTTCGCACTGGACTTTTTTTGGTTAAACTAACAGAGAATGTTGTTAACTTTACAGAGCCCAGTTCGGGCAAGGACCATTAGTCGACTAGTGGTTGATTTGTGACGTACCTTACGCCTGCGCACTGAAAGCAACGTGCAAACGTCTCTAGTCAAACGCTGGTCAAAATGTCATTGCAAACTTCTGGATCCTGGCTCTCTGCTAGCGTTATGAATGCGTGCGGCTATTGGTTACCAGCGATGCAACCAGCCCCAGTAGGTTGGTTCCAAATAGTCGACAAGCGTAGTCAACCACCGTCAACTAGACAGAGTTCAGGCAAGCGTTAGTCGAACTATGGTTAACCATTGGTCAACTATAGTCCTTGCGCGAACTTGGCCTTAACCATATTATCTCCAGTGCGGACAGCTGGTAAAATTCCCAAAATTATCAAGTGTCGACTGTCAATTGTAAGTTTTACAGTCCGCAGTTGTAAGTTTTACAGGGCCAACTGGGTCGCGAAGGAATAGCATTGTTAGTTTAACATCACTGAAAAGTCCCCGGCGGATGGCCACTGTTAAACTGACGTTATGATCATGTGACTTCCTTGTGGGTCACCTATATTGACCTCTGTAATTCACACGCGCAGGTCTACCGGTACATGTACTGTACATGAGGTTCTTCTGTATTTTGGCTTTTGTTCTGTGATATCTTTTGGCGCATTTTTCCACAGCCGCATCAGGTGTTCAGTTAAATGGTCCATAGCAGGGCATCCTCATATGATTCTGAGCGAGAGCACGGTAGAATAACCAACAATGGAATGTTAAAGGTATAGTCCATCATTTGTAATTTGTGCATTTTGTTCGTTTGAAGCAACAAAAGTGCTCAAAATCTAGAGGAGGGTGCTGAACAACTAACCTGATGAAGTTTCAGCTCAGCTTCAGCTGTATATTCCGAGAAAAACAGCATTCTAGGATCTCAATTTCAAATCAAAAGTTGCTGAATCATGTTTTGAATTGGGCTTGAATTCAGCGTCCGAGACACGTTCTCACTGAGCCAAATGCAGCTATGCGATGTCGCGCCCTGATCCGACGAATTATAGCAACCGCGCGTGCATGTGCGTCGTGCCAATGCTTGCGCGCGCTTCGCCGAATAACAAAATGAACTACTAATTTAAATTTCCTACGATGCGTCTTAAGAAGCACCGTTGGAAAGGCCTTCTTTCGTTGATTACTTCAAAATGACAGCTTGCCAGAAAGAATAATTTCACAGGGAGTTTAGTCCCCTTACTATCTTTCAACCAAGTATGTTTTTCAACAATAACTACGCCAGTTACTTTTCGGATAGCTGCAAATGATGGACTATAGCTTTAACAACAGTATACTCCTTAATGAGCTGATATGGTCCAAGGAATGTTTCATGGGCCATACTGTATGTGTAGGACTAATACATGTAAAGCACCGAGACCTTTGTAAAAAGCATTATATACCCTTTATTCAAAACTCTTTTCAAATACAAAGCGAATGGAGAGTCCCATTGTTGCATCACTATTTTCAGCAAACTTTACTTTTCTTTGTCGTTCTTACTGTGAAATAGTAAGTTCTGTCATAAGTCATTAGAAAAACTTGTGTGCTTAGCAGCGCCACGAAAATGGGCTCAGGGGTGACGGGTATGTTTATTGCTTGTTTGTTTGTTGGGATGTCTGTCTGTTTGTCTGTTCCAACCAGTTCAGACCTGTCCTTACCTGCAATGAGTTTCCCACACATATCTTGCCTCTGTTCCAGCTTGCGATTGTACTTCATAAAGACGCATATCGTGCGGGCTGCAGCCAGCTGGACGGGTAATACCCTCTGTAATAATATAAATAATTAAAAAAAACGATCATAAACAAAATGCGTTACTCCAACAACGCGTCATCATGTGAACAGCCTAAATCGTCTTTGGCACTCCATCCCCTACAGTGATTCTGATACACATTCAATAGGGGACGTTGAACAATAGAGAACAATAGAGGACAATAAGGTCCACAATTCTCGAAGGTCCACAATTGACGATCGTGTACAAAACATATGGGAGGTCTTCCTAAAAAGTTTAAGTACAAACAAAAGAGGGACAATATGGGGTCCAGGATTGAAGGAGTTTACACACTTGTCTGGGTGAGTATGTGAACACCGGCAATCGTGGACCTAGGCCAAAAGGGTTAGGGCACAAACAATATGTCCACGATTGACCGATAGTCCACGGTTGAAATTTGTGTACAAAACCAATGAGAGCTGTTGCTAAAAAGTGGGCAATTCCACACTAATGGGCCCAAAAGTGTGACATTTGAGAAGACCTTTAAGTTTTGATGATAAAACTGCGATCTTGGTCTCTCAATTTTTGCTGTAAACATTGCAAGTTTCGAACAAATGTCCTCACCTGCAAATGATATAACAGGTTTTGTATTTTAGAAAAAAAAGTGGATATTGCTTTTAAAAAGTGTTACGTACGTAACGAAGGACAAACATTTTAGATAAAAGTCACAAAGTAAGCATAAAGTCTAATGATCCCCTGATGTTGACTTATTTAAGAAGATGTACCCTGGAGGAATGCTTATCAGTCAAAACCTAGAAAACTCAGAGTCAGTGTGAAGAATTATTTGATATTTTATAATCAGGATTTATACGTACGAACACACTGGACATCTGTCACAAAATGTCTGTCCCTGTTCGTACGTAACCCTTCATCATCATCATAAATTTGAAGCCAGTGTGAAAACTGTTATATTTTTGCTTGATAACAATGTAAAATGGCTTAATAATGTCACTGGAAGTGCCTATTAGAAACTGAATTTGTCCTAAGCACCCTTTTCCTAGCAGTATGTCTGTCCACGTTACATACGCATCACACAGAAAAGATGCCTGTTATTTTCTCAAACAAAAAAAGGTATCATCTTTTGTCGTCTTGTCCTAGTCACTTTCAACTTAGCTAGGTACATGTATAGGAAAAAACTGAAGAAAATACTAGCTCATCTTGTACCCTCTTTACAACATCCATAAACTTATCTAATTGGCCCATTAGTGTGGAAATGCCCTACTTGTACAAACAAAGGAATGAGGATTACGGACAATAGGGGGTCCACGATTGCCGGCGTTTACAAACTGGTGTGAGTGCGTACAACTCGAGTGTGAGTGACCACAAATTCGTAGCCTTGTGGAGACTCACACACAATAGGGAACAAAACATTGTAAAGGTCTCCACAGGGCAATTTCTATAGATGAATAGGTCTCCACAAGGTTTTCACGAAATAGATATATGGGTTTTACTCAAAAACTAGGAATTTCCAAGGTGGGTTGATCTGTCGCAAATGGAAGAGTTTTAGAAAAGGGATATTAATTCCAAATTTCAGCCAAGGAAACTAATTCTGGTTAAAATAAGAGCATTTTGAAACTTCACTTTCAAAATTGAACACTTTACTACATGAGAACAAAGACATGTCTCCACAAGGATACAAATTTGAGAATGGGTGTGGTACCACCTCAGAAATGGCTTCCTAATTGTGGTCAATGGATTTGCTTAGAAACAAAAAACCTGTGCCTACATGGGTAGTGATGTGCCTGAAGACCATGGGCGTGATCTTGCCGTAGATCTGCTCGCTGGTCAGGCAGCGCGGCAGGTGGCTGTACTTGTCCAGTATGTCTCGGTGTAGTCGCCAGTTGCGGGATGCGGCCGTGGCGCTCTCAGCCGACAGCAAGGCTGGGATGAGGTCCGACAGACCCGTTACCTGCAAAGGAGAAGAGGAACCAAAAAAAGGTTATCAAGATGGGGTAAGGAAGGTTCGGTGAACTGGACAACACAAAATATTGCCAGAGTTCTTTTAGATTTGTGTGTACATGTTCATCTAATGGGACATAGATAGAGAATGTAATTAGCATTGTTGAGGGGTACCTCATGATGAGGATGAGTGTACCAGATGTGATACATGACTTCAATAACAAGAGGCCAAACAAAAAGACAAAGGGAAATTTGGAGACTTTTTGCAGGAAATTTGGCAACATTTACTTAAGTCTTTGGTACATTTCAAACCAAAATCTGCAGAATTTTGCTTAAACGCACCAAATGTGGAGGAGATATTGTGCATTTTAGGAAAAAATGGTTTAAAAAAAGGTGCTTGATGAGGGTAACTAAATTGAGATTTCCCTCTTACAAAATGAGTACAGTAAAACGGAAGCCCTTTTACCATACATTTTTATAGCACAGTGTAAATTTGAAATCAAAATAACAATGACTTTTGATTGGTTTTAAAGGCTGTGGAATAGAAAATTGATCGATTGTTCACTCGAATTAACTGCAGAAATGAAAACAGCAGGAACACCACACATGCAGTTAGCCATGAGGTATCAAACAGTACATGCTTACACTGCATATTTTACATGTATATCAATATGGCTAAGTCAGCTTACTAGTTGTCAAATCACTCAGCCTTTTAACTGCTTGTATTGAGAAGCAGACAGTGTTAACGACTCCAACGCCATTAGTATAAAATCATCATGCACTGTTATACCACGGTTTAGGATTGTGAGATTTCATTGGTTGATAACTTTTCGCATGACTTGCTGCTTAAAGTTCATGTATGGCGATCTCATGGACTCCACAGCGTGTACATCGCCTCATGTTACTTGCCATGGACTACCAATACCGTACATCACGGCAGAAAACAATTGTATATTGTACCCTGGATGATGATTTGAACAATGTACAAGTGCAGTTTCTACATGTGCAGTTTCTGCTTGCAGTGACATGGAAAAACAGCCTCAAAGCCCATTTTAACCCGAGAGCTAAACTGACTGTACTACCGGTAATTTCTATTACTAACTGTTTCAAGGTTTCACATAACATGCTCACAATAATATGCACCACTGAAATGCTCCATGCAAAAAGGTTTCTACACTGTGATGGCATCATTAATTGACTCAGTCCTCCAAAATCACGGTACAATCCTCGTCATTCAACACTGATGGTGCATTAAGCATAGTGGTTGGACCCTACCTTCCCTAACCCTACAAAATCCTCCACATGCTAAGTATTAAAAACCAATGGCACATCCTTTCTGCACCCTGTGAGATAATACTTGCTGGTCTGTACCGTCCCTCATCCAACAAAATCCTTCAAATATCCTGACAAGTCAGGTGGATTTTGAGGCATCTGGGAGGGTTAGAGTTTAAAGAAGAGTGCTCCCGCAACGACAGGAAATTTGAAACTAGATAACTCTAGATAGATAACTCTATGGGCTCCGTGCGACAAAGAGGGCGCGTTTTTACCACTTTTGAGAGCCCCTTCGATGGGACACCGCGTGTGCGTACTATACTGGTTTGCGCGCGAAGTATGCACGACTTATTTATCCTGATTGTGCACAAAGCTAAACCGTAGCGTCTTCGCGCATGAGCTTAAGGGATTGTCAGGGGCGCGAATACGTTCAAATTTAACTTCAATGGTCTCGCAGTCTAATCCCAGCCCCACCAACTTTGGATCATTCGAAATATGAAGTGGATGGACTGGGAACCAGTCTAGGTCTCCCCCAACTCTTCTTTTCTGGCAGTTGAAGGGGTACTTGTGCACACAGCCCATACCAACTAAGGTTGACTTTTCTTCCCCACAAATACATATTCATGTGTAATAATTACAAAGCATAAAAAAACATACATGCTTTAATCCAAACGCCGGCTTGTTAATTTTGTTTCCAAATTACCGGACTAACCGATATGTATACAGTTCATGCAAAAAGTATGTAATATAAAAAAAACAATTAATTTTAAGCAAGTTAGGATAAGAAGATGCCAAAAATATTGAAACACAGTCTCCAACCAAATTCTTTAGTTTTCCAGTTTCATGCATACATGTACATTACGCATTCCAAATTCGTTTTTATTTACACACTGAGTGAGGTGCATAGCTGTCTTGCATGTACCTACATATAGCTACCAGTAAGTTAATATTAGTATAACTACATGTACTGAGCTGTGAAGTATGCACAGGGAGGAAGTGGTGGAACTTAAATCCAGATTTTTTCTAATTCGGTTTGAATCCCACTTTTCGGTTTCGCTTTTGCAAACCGGATTTTCAAAATCAACCTTAAACAAACTAAGCCATACATTTTTTCTGTGACAAGGCTGAAGACAACAACTGGAACATCCCCCAATTTTCTCCATGGTCTCTGTTTGTACTGCATTCACTTGCTAGTGGACTTCTTGGTGTATGAATAGGTTGCCCATTAGACTATATCAGAGAGTTCCATAGAGCTATATTAATTTACTAGAGCACTAACTCCTCATTCTTGCACGCGGAGACGCTTTGAAGCCGTCCTGGGCGCAGACATTTTGAATTCATGTGAGTGTTTGTAGAAAACAATGAAATTAGATGGATTGAATTTTGAAAGTGTACTCTACATATGCAACGCGCAAGTAGAACATACGCAAACAACTGCGTGTCATGACAGTTAAAAAAAACGTCACGGCAAAAAGCATCTGCAGCGAATACGCGCACGCGTTGCGCTGTTTGCATAGAGCAAAATGACACGGTCATTTGCTGATTGTGCGTTTCGGTTTTGGGCGTATATGCTTCGATGACGCACCGGTATGGAATACAAACGCAGATATGCAAATAGCCATACAAAGTTTTGAGTTTTCCATAGGTTTGTGTACAAACATGGATGCGCCTATCAGGCATTACTTTGTACATCGAGTTAGCGCTCTAGTAATTTAATATAGCTCTATGGAGAGTTCCCATCCATTTGTTTGTCAACATCACAGCTGTGGAGTGTTTTTGTAAAGGCCCAGTGGTCACTGAATCCTGCAAATTATACCCAGTCATTGGGAGGGCATTGCATGCAGCACCACACTCGTCACTTTTTGATGGCATGACTGTGAGCTGAATGGGAGCTTCCGGTAAAATCGGATAATCAATTTTTTGGGTTTGAACAAAAATGAGGATTTTGAAATCTCTGATTTCTCCCACCACTAGGGAGGAAACAATCATGAAGAAGATAGGTGAGGGGAGCAGAAGGGGTAGAGGGTGCAACAAGGAGGGGGGGGGAGAGGGGACTGAGGTGTTAGAGATGGCATGGAGTGGGGGAGCGACAGGATGAAAATGCCCGCTTACCCTTCGGCAAAGAAATAGATTGTCAAACCCAAACCCAAGAATCTAGAAAGTGAGAACAGGGGAATGGCAAGGAGAATTGTCGTTAGTTATTATGGCTCTGTTCAACTTCCCAGACCCAATTTCTTGGCTCTGCTCTCCATCAAATTACTGCTGATGATCACCATTTAGAAGCTCAGACTGATGCACTTGATGAATCCAGACACGCGATTACTGTACAAACACGTGGCCCCCTTCAATGGAGGAACCACTGTGCACGCTATTGCACAACGCAGCACACCCTGTGATGGAGTATCTGAACAATAGCTAGCACAATGCTTTCGCCAATGAAGGAGGCCATCGTGATGTTGTTTAACTGACAGCGTCCCAGATTGGTCTAAAGAATCCTCAAGTTTTAGGATACATACACATGCAAACATCAAAATCAATTGGCACAGAATGTTTTCTTGAAGTTGGCTAGGTTATTCGCTTTGGGCAGACCACAGCTATGAAATAGACCATTTGGACCCATCCATTGCGGACATCAGCAATAAGAGAGTTTGGTATTCCAAAATAGTCTGGTGCACAGCAAGATTCGACGATTTTTATAGGGGATAATCGTGGCAGATAAATGCACACAAGGCTATGGGCTCCGTGCGCCAACAAAAGAGGGTGCCCTTTTACCTAGCAACGACGTCCCATGGGCGGGACATTTAGCTGGTTGACGCGCACCGTTCCTTGTGTGTGAGGCACGTACACCAGGGTACACGCAGTGGCAAGGCCGCGCGTTGCGGCAAAATTGCAGTCAGGCAAGATGGCGTCGGTCGGTCACCCCCAACTGTACTTTCTTTGCCGGTGAGGGGGTACTTGTGAACGGAGCGAATAGGGGATGTGGTAACCAAACCTGCATTCTGTGCAATTTTTCTTGCAATTGAAAAGAGATTTTCAAGTTTTGACAAACAAGACACCTAAAACCACTTCGCTGTCCAAAGGTTGTTTGCAAAATGTTTTACTTCAGAACACGATGATCTCTTCAATTTTGCTGGTACCCCGCTATGCTTTTGCACGCATACGATAAAAGTTTCATCCAAAACAAAAATCGGCAAATTTTGTTGTGCACGTTCGCAGTTGGAATACCGAACTGGCTTATTGACATGTACTCCTCTCCAACGTGTCATCTTCGCGTGCACGCATGTCAGGCTTTTGTGCGCGCATATCGGACATCAATCAAGGCCGTGATTGGTCAAAACACCGTGTGGGCGGGGCTTAATGGATTGGTCTATTGGGATTAACAATGGAATAGAGAGCTGAGTAATGTGGACAAATGTGACTACTGAAAGAGACTCAACAATGTACATTTAGGGCCCATCTTGATTCATATCCGGGACGAGTTCCGGACAAGTTGCAGACATTGCATCGGGTATAAGTTGCAGGATTCTGAACAACTTCCCTGCAATCTTTCCGCAATGAAGTTATCAGTATTGGTGAGTCAAGCAGTTGCTCATGAAAATTTTCCCAGAACATGTCCGGGACAAATGCAGAGCTTCTTCCAGACAAAGTGAATGATTCTACCTACAACTTGTCCTGAACTCGTCCAGGATATGAATCTGGCCCTTACCAAAAGACAAAACAGTACACAGACAGACACACAGCTGGATTCTCAGACAAACAGACAAACTCAATTTCCTCCCCCAAAATTCAAATGGCAGAAAACGCTGAAAACTTATCAAAACTGCAACTTTTACACATAATGTGGTTGCTTATCATGTCAGATCTTAGAAAGTTTTAACTAAATTCGGTATATACAATTTGCGCAAGGTACATGTAATTCTAATTTTTCCCCAAATATTTCACAGGCCCTCTTTGCAATGGCAGCCAACAACTCTGAACTCTGTTCATTATTATTATTTTTTTTTGGGTACAAATGCATGCACCACAATGACATCCCAACGTGTGATTTTTTTTGCCAGTTAGTTTATCAAATACTTAAATTTCAACATTACTCGATGGATTTTGGGCGGCCACATTTTGACAAAAAAAGAATATATTACCCCCTCATATAAAACATAAATGTTTTTGGATTAATGGTGACTAAGGGGCCATTCAGAATTTTCAATGTTTTAAAATTTCGACTATGTTTCCAAATTGTGGGTGGGAGGGTAAAGCTAAATAATTGAAAATCGAAATTACTTAATTGAAAATCGAAATTACAAAAAAAAAAAATGGATTTTTTTCCGCAAAGGACACGCAACCCGCACAGGCCCGCCAGTGGGATGTAGTGATGTACATGCAAGTGCATGTACATATACATGTACATGTACATGTACATGTTTTGTTTTTTAATACTGCGTAACAAATCAGTTTTTTATAAATCGAAATTAGGGGTGGGTGAGTGGGTCAAAATAATTTGGAAAAAAATCGAAATTTTAAAACATTGAAAATTCTGAATGGCCCCTAAGGCTGTGAAAACGGGTCTCGGGACACCACTTTTATTCCCCCCACAGTTTATTCTTTTGATAGCCGAGTTTATGATTTACATCCGACTAAAATGCTTCGGCTATAAAAGTGTTGCTTATTGTTGATAAGGCTTTTCCATGCACTTGACTCGGCTCAGATGCATAAATCAAAATACCTCCTTCTCCTACTCTCAATCAATAAGAACAACTGAATACTACAGTACTTTACATAGTTTTCCACACTTTTCTCAACCCATAGGTAGATGCTGGAAAAACCAAGAAAACCAATCATGTTCTTGTAGTCTGGTTCCCGGACCCCACTTAAGGTGAAACGAAGCAATTTATAGACTTTGGGGAATTGTAAGGTCAGAGAATCAGTTTAGCAGGCTTGTTATCCTTTACAGGAGTGTAATCAATTGCAAAGGAAATGTGGAATAACAAAATATGAAAAATTAGGGGCAGTTTTTGGGGAGGAAAAAAAAGTTTTCTCCAACGCTGGTCAGCCGACCAGCGTTTTCTTGAAAATGTCAGCACACCAGGAGCCACAATTTTACAGGATGCTTTAGACTGTCATTCCCTAACAATCCAGTAAGGTATTTCGTGATAATTTAATCATTTCGCTTTTTGATGTTTGCAAACGTTGTATCTTCCCTTTAAGGAATCCATCATTTCTGGAATTTCTGTTTTTGCCTGGAATTTTGTTCTTTGATGCGGCAAGGCCATCTTGTTTTCTTGTTCAATGACACTTGTCCACTGGAACATTTCAAGTGGGGTAGGAAGGCAAACGCCATGGCAACAAATAGGGATCATGGCCTATGTGAGCTTTGGGTTTTTTAAGGCCAAGGCTTATCAAGACAATAACAAGCAATAAAAATATTTAAAAAAAAACCGGCTTCCTCACCCGTTTTCTGACTTGTGACTGGGGAGTTTGTCAACTCTAAAATGAATTCCTTTTTTTTACACAACAAGGGGTATTTTCAGACGGAGGGCAGATCTAGAGCTATTTCTTTTCCAATTAACGAACTGAACAGGGGATTTGTGGAGCTAGTGATAAAAATGTAAAATCTGCTTACATTCATACAATGATGGTCAACTCAGGAGCTGGAGTTATGGTGGAGCTAAAAGGTCACCAAATAGGTTACGTGATATTTGGTCAGACAAATAAGCAACGACCAGATGCCTCAGCGAGGATCTCTAGGTCTGTTGCGTCCAAATGACAAATAATAATAATAATTTGGGAGGCTAATCATCCTTACTCGCAGCTGGTATGCTGAATTGAAGGATGCGGCTACAACGTGGTCGGACCGCTGGCACATAAAGGCGCCTATGACTGCCGGCCACATCGACCCATATATGACCACGGAGCACAGCCTGAGATCGAAAGTGTTTGATTTTTCCGGAGGGAGGAAAACCGGGGGCCCCGGAAAAACACCCTCGTGGCACAGGAGAGAACCAACGCACAACACTACTCACATGTGATCCGCGGCCAGGATTCGAACCGTGGTCACCTTGGTGAGAGGCGAGCACTTTACGCACAAGCCACCCATGCCAAATAAGGGTGGAGCTCGGTCGTATAAAAAGAAGCCCCGCTGAGCCGAAAGCGGATCTAGCCCCGTTAAAATGTTTGGGGCTAATATTGGGGCTGGTTAGCTCCAGAGCTAGCTCCAGAGGTGAATTCAGTTGTGTTTCTGGTTCTGCTTCTGCTGGTATACTGTACACAATGCCCTGTTGGACTATCTCGGTACAAGGGCAAAACCTAATTTGATTTATATCACCCCGACGCAAAAATTCCATCTTATAATAGTTTATGCAGTACCCGCTGCTATGTAAATCAGATTCGAACCGGCCAACCGATCCCGTTAGCTCAGTGGTCGAGTGGTAAGACATCTGCACTAGAAAGCAGGAAGTCCCATCTGCGTGATTTTTCCTAACTTTCACTCGGGAGGTAACACATCGAGTATAGTGTTCAAACCTCGGTGAAGGGCTAAACCTAATTTGATTTATCTCGGTACAGTGGTCAAATGTGACCACTGGTCAAATGCGGCATGTGAGCATGTGTTCCAACGACAACTATTTTGGGTGGAGGTACCTAACTAAGGAGCTATCTCCGAAGAAAGCCCCCTGTCTGAACGACCCCATAGGCACTGAAGCTTGTAAGGTTTGTGAGTTAAAAGCTAGTGCTGTGCATTTTTCAATAATTTAGTATTTGGTTATTGGAACTCAGATTTGATCAAATATTTGAATATTGGACCATTTAACATTGAGGTAAGATCTTTTCATGAACATCACGTATGCATTAATGAATATATTTTTTTCCAACATAGCTAACTTGTCGATACTTGACAGAGTTTAAAATGCCAGTTACGTGCACGATTTGAGAGCTTCCATGTGGAATATTAGCTTCAATTTCTTCTTTAAAATCGGTCGGGGATCAGCCGCTCCGTTACCTATTCTTGATGTTATTTTAATATGTTTAGGTTTCAGCATGTTTAGCGCATTTCAAAATCGATTATTCGATCAGTCCAAGTTGGAATAATCAAATACTACATTATTCGACAAATACACAGCCCTAGCTTAAGCCAAGGATGCAGTGAAGACCAAGGGGGAACTGGATAGATTGATATATTGACCTTTGACACACTCACCTTGGATTCTGTGATCACGTTGCCCCCGCCCCTTGCAAATGCATCTAAGGTGTCCGGTAAGTAAGAAATTATGCCCTGAATAACCTGAAACAGCAAAAAAAGTCAGAAAAAAGACTTATCAATCACCTACAGTCAAGGCAAAGCTGTATCAAGTTCAACAGTCACAGCCAGTCAATCCTGCTTTATGATGGCAGAGAACTCGCAACTGTTAAAAGGAATCTACATGTAGGTATTTGGTTGCACCCCTTAATGCGGTCATCGTCCAAGAGTGTTTATGAATTCATAGCAAACCACCTACCCAACGAATAAAATATTGTTTACAAGTCATTATTAATGAATCAAATTAGGTTTTGCCCTTCACCGACGTTTAAACACTGTATACTCAGTGTGTTACCTCCCGAGTGAAAGTTTAAAAAATGATTTGATTTATATCATCCTGACGCAAAAAAATTCCATCTTATAAATAGTTTATGCGGTACCCGCTGCTATGTACATCAGATTCGAACCAGCCAACCGATCCCGCAAGCTCGGTGGGCGAGTGGTAAGACATCTGCACTAGAAAGCAGGAGGTCGTGGGTTCGAGTCCCACCCGAGTGGGATTTTTCCAACTTTCACTCGGAAGGTAACACACTGAGTATACAGTGTTTAAACGTCGGTGAAGGGCAAAACCTAAGTTGATTTATATCACCCCGATGCAAAAAAAAAAGTCCATCATTCAGGGGTGTGAGTGGAGTCAAACAAAAATAGCTGAAAATAGCTGAACCTGTAAATAACCGAACCTGCGAGCGCGAAGCGCGAAGCCCTTACGGCGTGGGGTCCGGGGCCCGCCCAAGGGCCCGAAAAAAAATTGAAATGTAGATGCTCTGTGGTGCATTTTAAAAGCCTCCTGGCATGCCTGGGCCAACTATTGGTCGAAAATGTTTTGCAATTTATGCATGTTTTTAAGTTAACTTTTCCTTCATATTGGCTTGAAACTGCCTACCTAAAGTTGTATACGAAATCTGGGAAATTCGACCACGTTTTCCATATTTTAACTCCTTACTGCATGTACTGCACATCGTCATCGCGTGTTCTGGCTTCTGATCGAGTCGCCTAATTTCTGCCCATTAACCATGTGTTCCATCCAAATCCATTTCCACGGATTCGTAACCTGAGGATCGGTCTTGTCAATGTCCGTATCAAACTCCGAACCTCTTTGGATAATAACACATTTGTGTTGCACTGACATCTTGCGGAATTAATAATGTCAAAATACGTTCGAAACATTTGAAACGATACACTAACGTACGTATCAGCATGCAGCGAAATACGCAGCAGGATGCGTGCATGCAATGAAATGCACACATGAACTTTGCCCCGCATGATGCCCTCTACCGGCGCGGCACGGCGACAATTTACTAGTCTTATTTCAAGGCTTTATATTTGCAACAAGACGATGTTTACAGCGAGTTATTGTGGAGATCATCGCGTGTCACTACATGCATAGACACAGGAACGGCCACAATGAGTCCCAACGCGCTTCATGGCCCATGTGTGAATATTCATATTTATCTGCAGCCAATCACAGCGCAATGACTGTTCGTTCCCTGGATGCTGTTTACACGTTGTGTACACACGCGGCTTCGAGCTGAAAAATGCATGCACATGGCATCGTATAGTACACACGTACGTACATGTACGTATGTACAATGTACATGTACATGTACATGTACATTGAATACTCGCTTGCACGCACCCCATCCCAGAGCTACGTGTATGTTGTAGAGAGCAGATCGCGTGCGTTCGGCGGCGGCGGAAAATAAAATAAACGGAAATAAAATCAATGCTTACGCGCGGGGAAAAAGCGGGGGGAAATCTGGACCATCGGAAGAAAATAAGCGGAAAACAAAATGTGGCACGCTGAACAAAAAAGCGGAAATCCGCTAAAATACACGAATGGCAAATTACAAATGACAGGAAAAACGATCAATCTTTGGACCCTAAATTTAAACAATAACCCCCATCCCATTCCCAATGAGAGTTTCCCCCCCCCCCCCCCCCACAGAAGTGTGGGACGAGTCTACGAGTGATACTTACCCAAATAGCTACTACATATGCATATTTATTCAGCCGACAGGCTCAAACGCTAAAAGATTTAATCAACCACCGAGCGCCCTCTCGGGGCCTACCCATCATGCTACGTCATGAATCCGCCATTATACTTCCTCTTTTTTCTCGCGCACTAAAGGTGAAAAACCATCGTAACGCGAGCCGAGAGTGGGGAGGAGGGCGGGAAGCTATTTGGGTAAGTATCACTCGTAGACTCGTCCCACACTTCTGTGGGGGGGGGAGTCTACTTCATTCACTTACCCAAATAGCTACTACATATGCATAGAGTGGCACCGACAATCGGTGGCTGGGTAGGCGAGACGCCCTGAAATCAAATGGTTAAACAACAGTATATATATATATATACATAATGATTTAGACCATTTAGATTGAATATACATGTAAATGTATTACCTGCTTAGTTAGTCTCCTGGTCAGGCCGGGAAGAACTACTGCGCAGGGTAGGGTTCGTAGACGCGGACTGGTGTTGTGTCAGTACCGTCTTCCCTGTGTTCCCTCCAGTCTGGAGTACATCACGTAGGTAGCAGGATGTGAATGTCGTGGCAGACTTCCAGCATGCTGCTTGAGAAATCTCTGAAATAGGGACTCCCCTAAAAAATGCCCAGGACGCCGCTACGGCGCGTACGTCATGGGCTCGGACAAGGCCTTGGACAGAAGCATCCTTTTTGGATGGCCAGTCCGCATTAGCAAATTTGATAGCAGCTACTACCCAACGCGCAATGGTGTCCCTTGAGGCGGGGCCATGTGGCTTTATGGTTGTAATAAAGAGCTGCATGCATTTATCCCTGAGTGACTTAGTGCGATCTGTCTTTGGTCTGTAATGTGCCAGAAGATGCATTTGCAAAGGACGCATCCTCAGTCTGCACCATGGAACCAGGTCCACTAAGCTGGCCATGAACCCTAGAAGTTTCAGCCAAGCTCGGGCTGGAGCGACTTGAACAGATAGGAAAAGTTTGACGCACTTCAGCAGGCTGGTAACACGTTCCCCTGTGGGGACGGCTATGCCCCTGCGTAAATCGATCTCTGCTCCCAGGAAAGTGATTTCCTGGGACGGGATTAGGTGGGACTTCTTTTCGTTGATGATAAAGCCTAGCCTCGTCGTCAACGTATAAGTATCCCTCAAATTCTGAGCAGTCTGGCCTTCTGATTTTCCCACTATCAGCCAGTCGTCGAGATACATAAAAATCATTATGTTTTCTCGTCGGAGACGTGATGCCACTGCCCGCACAACCCTGGTGAACACTCTTGGCGAGGTTGATAGCCCGAAGGGAAGGGCAGTGAACTCGTAAGTGCGCCCCTGATACCGAAAACGAAGGAATCGGGAGTGCTCTTGGAAGATGGGGACGTGTAGGTATGCGTCTTTTAGGTCTAATGACGCTCCCCACGCTGGTGACTCTAGAACTACATGGAGAGCTAATCGTTTGTCTGTGTTTGCCAGAACCGGTGTTTCGCGAACACATATTTCCGACGGAGGGGTGCTTGTAAATTCTAGTTGATAGCCGTGGCTGACTATAGAAAGCACCCATGCGTCGGAGGTGATCTCTCTCCAGGGCCCTACGAAATTTCTGAGACGACCCCCAACGGGCCCCAGTGTCGGGGTTGGCTCGGTAGGGGCGTCACCGACGCCACCCAGAGCGGGGGGCCGATTGCCCACCGCCACGTCCCTGGCCGCTAAATTGGCGTGCAGGGGCAGAGTAGGGGCGTGGAGCTGAAACCATTGCACCAGCTGATGCCTTGGCCGTCTGTCGGCGAAAAGGCTTGAATGGTTTCTTAAGGGCAGGGCGAAACGAGGGAGCATCCTTCGTTGCCTTCTTCCCAGAGAACTTGGGCTTGTTAGTGGCTGAAGGCTTCTTCAAGCTCAGTTTGTCTGCTGTCTCAATTCGTTTGGCTTCAACTTCCAGAATTTCCTGGAATTTGCCTCCGAAAAGGTCTTTGCCCATAAGAGGAAGGTCTTCTAACTTCTTCTTAGCGCCCTCGTGTGGTATGTAAAGTGCATCCATCACGTTAGTCCTACGTGACTTGGCAGACAGGATAGAGATTCTCGTAAATTGGTCTAGAGAGAAACGGAGTATTTCGTCCAGACACCGGAAGGCCGCTGCTAACATATCGGCTGGAATGTGTGAATCTTCCTCACATGCGCAGACGATATATTCAGATAACAGAAGTAAAAAGGCGCTTGTTTGTGAGCCAAATCTAGCCGCCTCATCGACCTTCTTCATTGTATCCTCCATCTTTGCTCTAGTCTTATCGACAAATATTGACTTGGTCGGGGCTTTGCCGCTATCTCCAGTCAATTTGTCCTTGGCCGTATCCGGAATAGAAGGAACCGTAAAGAAATCGTTTCAGTCCTTTTCTGGAAATTGGAAATAGGCTGCCGACCTTTTGTTGAAAGCCGTCCATTTCTTTTAATCAGCGATGCGTTGTATGCGATCGGCGCATAAACGATCCACCGGCATAGTTGGGAAAGCTGGATCCCGAGGTTCCTCCACACCAGTCCGGCGTTTGAAAGAACGACAGGTGGTCTCTGGTTTACTGCTCTCTGGAAGTTGCAGTACACGAACCATATCTCTTTGAACCAGCCTCAGCTGGGTCTCAAATGGCGAAAAATTGCCAGGGTCAGTGGCCTCATCATCCCCAGAGCGCTCATCTTGTGAGTGAGTGGAAGGGGGGTGAGTATCATCGACATCTATGTCAGGAGCATCTTGAACAGAAGTGCCCAAATTCATAGATGGGTGTAAGGAAATTCCCGCCTGTGATCTCGGGGGCGCCCAATCGCGGCCCGGAGTAGGTGGATTATCTGAGCAGACACTGATGGCAACCCCAGAATCTGGGGGCCCAGTGTGTTCCCCTCTCATCCCGCCCGAAATCGGCAGGATTGCGCCCGGATCCGGCCGGATCGCGCCCGGATTCGGCCGGATTGGACCCGGATCCGGCCGGATCACACCCGGATCCGGCCGGATCACACCCGGATCCGGCAGGATTAGACCCGGATTTGGGTCCGGAAATGTGGCCGCCGGGAGTGACCTCTGAGTCACCATTGGGGCCGATCTCCATTGTTGTTGTTTAGTGAGGGCTGCTAGCGAAACGTTGATGTCCTGGAAAGCTTTTAGAAAGATTTCTGTGGATACACCTTTGTTTTCCTTTTTCCGATGCGTCGACTTACGGGGGGAATCCCCTGAAGAAGACGGCGCGGCCTTGTGTTTCCTTTTCTTGCTTGGGTGACTTGATTCACTGGATGAAAACTCCGATAATACCCTGGGAATTCCGGAGCATTGATCGAAGAATGATGTTGACTGCGAGTCCGTGGCCCGAATTGGGGGAGGAGGCAAGTCAGTCACCGCGAGTCCTGCCCATTCCGCACAGGTGGAAGCAGGATGCTCGGAGCGCGATGAACGCGCAGACGGGGCCGGTGAGGATTGAATCCTTTTACCGCTCCGTGACTGGTCGTCCCCGAGAGTTGCTGGAGCCAGCAGACCGGGGGGACGAGGCGAAGAAATTCCCGCGAAACCACGGGAAATCGACGCCGGGTTGCTAGGTGACGCCGATGGTCCGGAGACCGGAGGCGTAATCGAGCGACTATTGGTCCCTTTTTGGGTCTTACCCTTGGGACCGCCGGTGGCCTTTGATGTGGCCTTTTTAACCGCGGAACCCTTACGGCTGGTCGCCTGGGGGGCCGTGGTTACACGGGGAGTTTAATCCCCGGTATCCTCACGGTGTTCCATACCGTAGGACGTATGTTTGATGCCGGTCAAAACGCGTAAACACGGGATGACCGTTACAAACTATGGCGATGTCCCTGCGTGGGGACTCACTGCTATCTCATCTTTTCGTACTATTGTACTACTGAGATATATGCAGTTGAGAACAGCCGAGGGGAAGGGAACGACCGCTGGTAGTTGTACCCCACGGAATTTCTCTTTACACGCCCGGCGAGGCGGCCGAGGGAAGTGAACGGCCAGCGGCCGATATACCCACGAATATCTCGCCGCTATCTCGTTTGTCACCGCACTACCGAGATAGCTTAGGACGGACGAGGGGCAGGGAACGACCTCTGTCGATATACCCGACGAAACATCCTCTTCTAGCTTACTAGCTCCCCGAGCTAGCTGAAACAGTCAGGGGGGAAGGGAACGACCTCTGTCGATATACCCCCACTGTACTCGTCTCGCTAGGCCCTAGCTCACCGCGAGCTTAGGGGAAACGAACGGAGAACAGGGAACGGCCGAAACCGCTATATTCTTCGAAACGTTTCGCTAGTCCCCTGAACGGCCGAAAGTCTGACTTCCGGAACAGGGGCCCCACGTGTGGGGCGACTAGCAGACCTTGTGGAGAATAACCGCACTTCTCTCCGGGGATATACGACGCACTGTCTCCCCTAAAGGTCTTTACTGATTTCTATGGAGTCATAAAATAAATGCATTGCTTTTTTTTTTTTTTTTAACAAAGAAATATTATTATAAGATAACTGTACGACAGAAATAATAATAATAACTCAGGAAAGCCGACTCGGCTAAAATGGGATTGCACTCGATCCCAAAGGGAGAACCCACGATGCCTACCCGGCACTGGGCTAGCCCCGCGGTGCCGACCTGGCCCGCCGCACGCGGTGTCAGACAAAGGCTGAAAAGCCTGCTACGCCACGTGAAAGAAAAACGAAAGCAAAATGACTCCAAAATCACTCCAAATGAGAACTACTTAACTCAAAACAAACTCTACAGATTCTACACAACTCACTTGGTTGATAAAATCTATAAAACAGAAACCCTTAAAGCGAAAATCGTACAAAAACTCGTCAAAAGGCGAGAGCAAAAATATTTGCTTCTGCACGATGCTGTCGCTAAGAAAAAAGAGGAAGTATAATGGCGAATTCATGACGTAGCATGATGGGTAGGCCCCGAGAGGGCGCTCGGTGGTTGATTAAATCTTTTAGCGTTTGAGCCTGTCGGCTGAATAAATATGCATATGTAGTAGCTATTTGGGTAAGTGAATGAAGTAGACTTAGGATTTACAACGGTAAACGTTATAAGTGACTGTTATTAAAAATCAAAAAAAGAAAACACGGTTCTTCTAAGAACCACTTCACTTTTCAGAGAGAGTCACTTCATACTGTCCATCCGAGGGAAAACAAAAATTCTTTATTTATGTCAGGGTACATGCAATTCAAGAAACTATAAGGTACAATCCGAAAAATGTCTAGATTCATTGTACATGCATGTAAAGTGTCACACACGCCAGTAATGGGAAAAAGCACATTATAATTTCAAGACCTTCATACCTCTAGCGAATCGTCCTTAAGTAGACTGATGAGTTCGCCTTGTATGGTAAGTACATTGGAGCCAAGCATCTTTGCTACCTGTATCAGCGGACAAGGTTACATGCATTATAATTTATGATTAGTCAATGCCACATGAGTGCCTTGTGCAAATTAATCCACAATTTAGTACAACACAGTGGTCCAATGGTTACAGTGTTTGACCAATGTTTGAACCATAGAGCTGTATTAAATTACTAGAGCGCTAACTCTTCATTCTTGCGCGCGGAGACGTTTTGAAGCCGCTCTGGGCGCAGACATTTTGAATTTATGTGCGTGTTTGTAGAACACAATCAAAATAGATGGATTGAATTTTAAAAGTGTACTCTAAATGCAACGCGCAAGTACTTATGCAAACAACTTAAGCGCGTCATAACGGTTTAAAAAACGTCACGGCGAAAAGCATCTGCAGCGGAGGGACGCACACACGTTGCGCTGTTTGCGTAGAGCAAAATGAAACACTCATTTGCTGATCTGTGTTTCGGTTTTGGGCGTATCGGCTTCGATGACGCACCGGTATGGAATACAAACGCAGATATGCAAATAGCCGTACAAAAGCCGTACAAAATTTAGAGTTTTCCATAGGTTTGTGCACAAACATGGATGGGCCCGTCAGGCATTACTTTGTACATCGAGTTAGCGCTCTAGTAATTTAATATAGCTCTATGGTTTGAACCCTGGAGGAGAACATGGTGTTTGTGTCCTTGGGCTAGACACTTTACTACAATTGCCTCTCTCCACCCAGGAGGAAAACAAATGGGTACCTGTGAGGGTAGATACCAGATTGTACTGAACTCAGTTGCAGAAAAAAAAGTGGTCCCATGGTCTGTTGAACCGGAGTAATAATTGTGAAGCGTTTTGAGACCTCCCTTTGGCAGAGAGCATTAAACAAGCCTTACACATGATCACTATTGCTATATTTATTCCAGTCTTTAGGTGTTCATGTTGCTGTTCGACTGTTCACTTGAGGGGGAAAAGGGAGGTTACTACATACCTCATGGAAGCCACTGGCCATGGTGACCCGCACGCACTTGTTGGGGTCGTCGCATAAACTAGCGAAGGTGCCATGCAGCTCCGTCTTGAAGTTACGAGGCCCGGCAAACAGGACCATGCACTGCCAAATGGAGAACGAGAAAAATGCATACATCTTGTCATGGACTTAAGAATATGTACTTGAAATTATCAGGTACATACAATACTTGCAATTATAAGGTTGGGGTGGCTAACTCCCCTCCCCCCCCCCCCTCCCATCCCCCTTCCTTCCAACTGACAACAGACAATTATTGACATAATGGGGGGGGGGGGATCTTATATTTCCGTAAGTTCCCTGAATAATATCATCACTCAAATATCGCAAATCTTGATTAATTGCTAAAGGCCTTTGTTCCTTTTATGCATTGACTGCAACACCCCATCCAAACCCACACAATCTCCTGCACTAAGCAAGAAATTGTGGGCTTTTGACCCATCTGAGCAGGCTCGTTAATTCCTTTTGTTTCCTTTTTCTCCTACAAGCTCGTAAAATGTACTCAACAACGGTACAGGGCAAAACAGATATTAAATAAACACTTTATGCACATTTAGTTTTCAAACACACTTATTTTTCAGAACTTGCTGCGCTTACCGGGAAATTGAAAGCACAGTGTCGTCGGCATTCCATATGCCTGTCTTCTTCCCTGTACAGATTTAAGATTGGTGGGCTCTGCAAATCAAACAACAAAACAACAAGAATATTTGCTCAGAAACATGTTCAGACAGCCACTCAATTCAAAACTCTGTGGTCACCATCGTGAGGGTTAAAATATTTTTTTGCCAATGGGCAATTCCACACGAAAGTTGAATCGATGAAAAGTGGCAAAATTTATGAAATTTTCAGAACTACAAGCATCGCAACCTCAAATGTGGTATCAAATGAAAGGGGACAATAAGACCTTTCATTTGAGTGCTGTGCCAGTGAGATACAATGTGGTTAAATTTGGGGGGGGGGGGATTTTTTGGGGGGGGGAATTGGTTTGGGGGCTAAAATTATACATTTTAGGCAGTCATTTTGGCAGTGAATTAGTAGTATTATTTGTGTTTTCCAGGTACAAAGGTTTGTTCATTGTATTTTACTGGCAAATACCTTTTTATTCCTGTTTTTATCTAGTATGTTCGCTTGAGTGTTGTAAATCACTTTTTAAATTTTAGATTGTAGGCCCCCATGCAGCTTTTTAAATTGTTTTTGTATTGTCTTAAGGTTCTATTAGAATTAGTTTTTTAACTTAATAATACAGTTTGTATGTTTATTCTTTGTTTAAGCGCCTTGAGGCGGATTTTTCTGAGATTGTCTGCACTTTATAATTTCTCTATTATTATTATTATTTATCTTGTTTTCACATGCAAGGTGCTAAGTGTTATTGTGAGTTTCTGTTTTTAAGGCAGAGAGAAAGGTTCATTTTTATAAAAAATATCCCACAGAACTTTGAATACCATGATTCAGTATGTTTTTATCACGTGTTTGAAGTTGATTTCAGACACGTAATGTCTGTAACGTTTAATGTAACATCTGTAGCAACAAAAAAATGATGTTTCCATAACTTTATATGAAAACATAACAAAGCAATCGTTAGAACTGTTATCCTAAATTACGTCACTTTGGAAAAGCTTTGTGGTTACATGTATGTGTACTTGAATGTTGTAATTTGTTTTGCCTTTTCAGAATTTTTTGGCATTTTAGAATTGTCTTTCACTCTTTGTATTAAGCCTAAGTTCTCTAACCTTCCCAAATCCTCCAATCTTTGCAAAACGGAGGATTTTGCAGGATTGAGGTTATACAGCAAAAAAAGTGTGGCTGAATTTGCAGGATGCACTGTGTCAAGGTCTTAGGCCGGACCATGTGTTGTTTACATACTCAGTCACGCATAAATTTAGGCCTAGATTGTACTTGAAACCCTCCGTTCTGCTACAGGATGTCACTGGCTCTACCTCAACATACTGACAGTGATTGCTGGAGAATTTTGCAGGATTGAGGCAATGGTCACCCCTCCAAGGACCACATTCAAGAAATCACAGATGATTTTGCCGGATTGAGGCTGTTTGCATTTTTTACATGGAGGCAGTTGGAGGTTTTTGGAGGATTGAGGTTGCATCCTAACAAATACGCCTAGGGAGTTAGGGGTAAGGATCTGCTAGAATTTGTTTTAAAACTTAAATAGTACATTTTGTATGTTTATTCTTTGTTATAGCGCCTTGAAGTGGATTTGTTTTCTGCGATTGTCTGCGTTTTACACATTTCTCATATTGTTATTATTTTTTTACAAAAAGAAATGTTAGCAACTGAGAAAAAAAGGAAGCCTTGTTCAATTTCAGCTTAATGTAGGTATTTTTGTTGGTTGAATAGTAATTGTAAACTCACATTACTGGTGGCAATTATTTTTACACATTGTCCTGTCACAACCACTGAAATTAAACTTTGTGCCCATTTCAAGAAAACAATATGTGACATAAACTTTTTGACATAATCTGGGGCACCAACTTTTTATTCACCTTATTATTAAGTTGAAAAATCCCCCCCTTTTGTGAAGGATGCAAACCTTCTCATAAACTCAAGCTACCACATTGACTTAAAACGGTAAAAACTTGACACATACTCGATATCTATCTGTTGCCGATAACGTTATTGAAACTTCACAACAACGTCTACAGCAAAGCAAACAGCCAAACAAAGAACGGGCCCCATTGACTGAAAACAAAGTTCAACATTTTGACGCGATGTGTTAATGGGGCCCGGCCGGATCCGACCATACAAAAAGGGTCTGTGGGTTAGTTGTTATATCTTCAATATGTCAGTCACTTTATTGTGACATTGGTGACAGGTTTACGCGCAGATGTACACAACAAGTCCAAAAGTCAAAACACATAAACAGCAAACATAAAATGCACAGGGTGTTAAAATATACCAAACAGCATACAGGCACACAGTTCAGAAAGGCTTGTGCAAAAAATGGTCCACGATAAAAAAGTTAATAAAGTTGATAAGGGAATAAATATGTGCTTGGGAGGTGTTAAACACTATGTTTAAGACTGTAAATTTTACAGTCCAAAAGTCATAACAAGTCAAAATTAAAATATTTTCAATGATTTTGTTCAACAAATTTGCTTTCTGTTTTTCGAAACAGCCCTCTAGCTATATCATGGAGTGTCCAACTCGCGAGTTAGACGTAAACAACTCCTTTTATGGAGATTGGCGTGCGCGTCATGCGTACTGTGCGATGAAGCACAGATGTAACTGGCGTAAGTGCGTTGTGAATTTAGGACTATGAAATACTGACTCAGTGGTAGTATTGCGCATGCCCAGGTGAGGATTGTGAACGTTCAACCAATAAAACGGTAAAACGCACTGGATTTCATAGGAGTCCATATTTCATGTGACACTGGAAAAGTGTTTAAGACCAGCCAGCCATGTCTTTATCATCCGTTTAAGACCGGCCACGTGACAGGCGCTCGACCAATGGGAATGGGTAAACTGTCTTAGGTATTTGTGATTAAGGGCTTTATACTTATTCTGAGACTGTGATGTCAGTATGTGAAATCAACACAGTAATGACAGGGTTCCTGTACATGTACACGGAACCGATATTTCTATGCTTTGTGAATTTTTAGTGTTAGTTCGTTAGAGTCCGTTAGAAAGACACACACGATCACCGATTATGTCCTCTAGCTATATAATGGAGTGTCCAACTCGCGCGTTAGACGTTAACAACTCCTTTTATGGAGATTGGCGTGCGCGTAATGAGTACTGCGCGATGAAGCACAGATGCAGCTGGGGTAAGTAAGTTGTGAATTTAGGACAATGAAATACTGACTCAGTGGTAGTATTGCGCATGCCCAGGTGAGGATTGTGAACGTTCAACCAATAAAATGGTAAAACGCACTGGATTTCATAGGACTTAGGAGTCCATATTTCATGTGACACTGGAAAAGTGTTTAAGACCAGCCAGCCATGTCTTTATCATCCGTTTAAGACCGGCCACATGACGGGCGCTCGACCAATGGGAATGGGTAAACTGTCTTAGGTATTTGTGAATAAGGGCTTATTCTGAGACTATAATGTCAGTATGTGAAATTAAACACAGTAATGACAGGGTTCTTGTACGTGTACACGGAACCCATATTTCCATGCTTTGTGAATTTTTAGTGTTAGTTCGTTAGAGTCCGTTAGAAAGACACACATGATCACCTGTTTAGACGCTCTAGATGCATCCTATAATTAATGCAGCATGCAAGAAAGAAGTGGGCTCGCTGTTCAATGCATTACATAATGATTACACTGTACATTATGGTGATGACATCCAAAAACAAGGTTGCTCAAAACTACCGGTATGGTTAACAATATTTTTTGTCTTCCAACAGGGTAATGTTGAACCCAACCTTCCCAAATCCTCCAAAATCCTCTTTGCAAAATGGGGGATTTTGCAGGATTGAGGCCATATGGCAAAAATGTGTGGCTGATTTTGGAGGATGCACTGCATCAAGGTTTATGGTCAGAACTTGAGTTGTTAAATGCTCAGCCGTGCATAAATTTAGGTCTAGATTATTTGAAATCCTTCGCACTGCTCCAGGATGTCACCGGCTCTGCCTCAACATACACGGTGATTGCTGGAGGATTTTGCAGGATTGAGGCAGTTGTCACCCCTCCCAGGACCACATTCAAGAAATAATGGAGGATTTTGCAGGATTGAGGCTGTATGCAATTTGTACATGGGAGGCAGTTGAAGGATTGAGGTTGCATCCTAGCAAAAATGCCTAGGGATTTAGGGTTGATTTATCAGTAAATCCAGCATTAGATTCATCATGAACGTTTATTATAACTAGTGTTGTAGCCAAGACCTATACCAAAATCAATTACATGTATTTACCGAAAGCTTTTTTTTAAAATGTTTCCTGTGCCATTTTGGAGTTTTTGTTCCGAAAAATAGATTGCTTTTCGCTGTTGCTATATTTCTACATGTACATGTAGCAATACAAAAGTTATTCACTTTTGAATGAGACTCGACAAAACAAATCCGTCCACATCGATAACGCATGGACCATGAGCCACATCTGTTTGTGCTCAAATCAAAACCTTTTTTCAGAGAGTTGCAGATGTCCCAAAAAAAGGGGGGGAATTTTTTTTTGGTTGGAATAAAACATTCAGGTTAAAAATTTACTAATTGCAACATATGGGCATATGGGACGCTACATTATCCCGTACATTACTTTATCCAGTGCTGCACTCGCACCCATAGGTTAAAGGGAATGTACATCATTGGCTTTTGCTGTAATTTTCAGAAATGAACTATTTGAGGGGTTAGTATAATAGGCCTAGATCAAATATTGTTTAACTGACATGTTTTGAAGTTTTGTGTTTCGAAAATGCTTGAAAAACCAAGAAAAACAAAAAATGTTTCAGTAGTCTGGTTCCCTGACTCCACTAAAGATAAAATGGATCAATTTATAGTGATCGGAAAATTGTAAGGTAAGGGAACCAGTCTAGCTGGCCTGCACCCGTTCATGAACATGTAACCAATAGCAAACAAAATTTGGACTGAAAATTGTAAATTTGGAGCAGTAGTTGAAAAATAGTTAGGTTTTTCCAACGGTGATCGGCCGACCACCGTTGGAAATGTATACAAAAATACAAGTTTCTTGAAAATGACTTCACACCAGGTGCCATAATTTTACAGGATGCCTTAGACTGTCATTTACCAACATCCTAGTAAGGTATTTCGTAAAAACTTGGTAGTTTTATTTTTCGATGTTTGCAAATGTTGTATTTATATTCCCTTTAACTGATAATGCACATATTGTTTTATCAAATAATGAAACTCTATTTGAAGTACGTAGTCATATTCATTATTAGATCTGTGAAAAAGAAAACTATTGATACAAATTATTTTTTGAAAGGTCTCAGATACTGTCTCCACAACAACAGTGTTTATAACGACATACTGCTGTGCGGCTCATAGCGTGTACACTACGACGATAATACGTTACGACATGCTTCACCCATTTGACACCTCAACAGAACATGAATGTGCCTGCAATGAACAGCTGCAGAACATGAAACATTCACCACACGGGGGTGGGCATCACGTTGGACGGAAATGACTAGTGGCACACGCCACAGGTCACTTACCTGTCGGTCGTTGACCCTCGTTTTGTCTGGCACCAGACCAATCACACACAACTTGCAGTAGAAGTTCAGGAACCAGATCTTCTGGTCTTCCGTTAGATTGACTGAAGAAGAAAAAAAAAGAGGAGTTTCACGAGTAAGACATGAAAATTGTTTATGCTTTTCACTGATTTGCAAGAGATGTAGTACACAAGGTACATGTACAATATAGTAAACATCAGCAAGAAAGCCCCCTTGCTTAAAGGTAGAGTACATCATTTGTAATTTGTAAAAAAGTCTCTGGTTTCTGGTATGGAGCTTGCCCCAAAAGTGGTGCGGCTACGCGGCCTTTTTTTTTTTTTTTACTTTTTTTCTTTCTTCAAATGTCGGCTGATGACTGCAAATGGTGCCTGACCAAATGTAGTGCAAAATATATGGGAGTCCAGAGAGGCCAAATAAAGCTTATACTCGATCGTAACCCCATCTAAAAACACGTTAAAATTGTGCAGCAGCAGGATTCCAGTCAAACCAGTGAGTTTGGCAGTTTTGAGACATCATCTTACATGTACATTGAAAATAAACCTTTTTCCGTTTGCCGACACGCATAGCTACAGCGACGCGCATACCAGAAACCAGAGACTTTTTTTTTGGCCTTATGTTGGTTTGAAGCAACAATGGTGCTCAAAATCTAAAGAAGGGTGCTTAACAACTAACCTGATGACATTTTAGCTCAGTGAATGCTGTACATTTCGAGAAAAACAATATTCTAGGATTTCGATTTCAAATCAAAAGTTGCCGAGTCATGTTTTGAATTGCGCCCGAATTCAGCGTCCGGATTCTCATTCAGGCAAGTGCAGCTATCGTGTCAACGCTTGCGCGCTTCAGATGCTAAATTATGCATAAATATACAAAGTTTAAAATTGAAAATAAATTGGTCCTCACAAAATTCCTTGACTTTTCCCATGACTTTTTGTCATTTTTACAAACAACACAACCAGTTTTTGTCACGACCGTCAAAACATGCCCCTGCGTAAAACATTGTTTGAACTCTCCGTCCAGACATTACACACAAAGAAAACCAAAAAACATGGCGGCATTTATAGCAAAACTTCAAAGGCCGTTCAGGTGGGATTGCAGCTGCTGAAGTATCAGGTTATTAAGTTGAGCTTGACAATGTAATTTCCACTGTAATTAACAATCCAGACATGGCACTGGATGACTGGAAGCACAATGCATGCAATCATGTAAAAGGCTTTTGCAAACATTGTGAACATTAATGCCGCAGTAGTGAAATTCCACACCGAGTTCACCGGTATTTCGGTATTCATAGATCATTAGTTGGTATTGATCGGTATTTTAAAAAAAAACTTCACTATCCGGATATACCGAAATTCCTTCCAAGCCTAACATGTACAACTTGTTTGTTCGCACAAGTTATTATGGTCAAATAGTAGAGCAAGAAATATTTGCTGTCGTTTTCTTCCTTTAATTAAGCCTGTATAATCGTATGGCAAGAAAGAAATGGACACTGGGAACAACAAGTCTAAAATCTCTGACATTTCATCCAAACCAAAGAGGCTCTGGAGATTCATATTGAGAATTAAGGTGACCAAATGTAGAAAGTAGGCAACACCATGAGAACTGCATTACATGATGTGTGCATGATTCAAGTCTTTTTAATAAAAGGCTAAAGGATTGCACAATGGGTGTACATGTCTGATAATGAAGTTTCACTTCCCATTGCGCTGAAAAATAAAGGTTTGCCATGAAAAAAAAAATGTGAAAATCAAAGAATTCACCATTTAAGCTGTATTCACATGCTTATAATAAAAAAAGCCATTTGTTTCCTTGACACCCTGAAGCATTGTACACCTTCTCCTGACACCTACTAACATGAGAAGCCACATGTATGTCTCCACATGAAGAGTTCAGGGTCCAACTCAATTTATCACAAACAATGGATAAATGGGCATCGGAAACCTCTTGACATGATACATAAATTAATTTACATTTGGCTTGTGCTAGTGGTGTGCCGTAAAGCAGACACAGATATGTTGGGTTTTGCAGCATTGAGCTCCACAATAGACAGTTTGCACTGCAGCCATGTTTGAGGTGTGTGTTTTTGTTCAACAGGGACACACATGAGTAGACCTGATCTGATACACCGTGCCCTCTGGAGACATGCACACAATAGGGAACAAAAGATTGTATACATGTACATCTCTGCAGGGCAATTTCTATAGATGAATACGTCTCCACAAGGATTTCATGAAATAGATATATGGATTTTACTCAAAAACTAGGAATTTCCAAGGTGGGTTGATCTGTCTAACGGATGAAAAACTGATGAAAAAGTGGCCACCGTGCGTATCGCTATGTTAGGCCAGGTTTATGTACAGACTAATGATGTGCATTGGGTTGGGTTGACCAGGCCAAACCGACCCAAAACATTAGAGATATAAACCGAATCCGAATCGAAACCGATCTTAACTCCCCCAAACTGACCCGACCCGACCCGACAAAAAATAAGGTAAAACCGACCTGAAACCGACCCGACCCGAAAAAAAAAAAACGATTTATTTCGGTTTATTTCGATTTTTTCTAAAGATGGCTAAACCAACCCGACCCAAAAATGAAAATGCAAAACCGAAACCGACCCTACCCGACTGAAAAGATGGACAAACTGACCCGACCCGACCCGAAGTCGGTTTCGGGTCGGTTTTGGGTCGGGTTTGCACATCATTAGTACAGACACACCACCCTGATCAATGCGTAACCACTTCTACGGTGTATCTGCCTATGGTATCTACCTATCACGGTAGAATCGCATCAACGCAGCTTGTGAAATATTGCCCAATTACATGATATACAAATGGATGCAGAAACCACAATATCTGAGACAAACTTAACGTACAAAATTCTATAGGGTTATCTAAGGGGTGTGGCTAACTCCCAAACGGCGATATGTCAATTGAGACACACCAGCTTGAAAATAAAGGCTGGGTTCCAAAGATGCAACTCCGAGGTCTGGTATGAAATCATTCTAGCTATCCTTCTGCAAATTTTTTACCATGACGATGCATGTACGGTAAATTTAACAAAAAATTGCAAAAATGATCGGGCTGTCCTATTAATCACCTGATAGGCCGTGACAGAGTCGGCCAAACTGTCTGGCTACAGCCGGCAAGGTGGAGTCTTCACATCGCATGGCAGTCTCGCAAAACTTGCACACCAATGGAATAATGGTCTGCGTACACGTTTCTGTGGGGGGAAAAAATGAGAGAATTAAAACCAAATTGCTGACAGTGACTTTGTAATTATGCACGCTAATAATGGACTAACTATCCAGTACAATTGCAATTGATTAAACAATTAATTGTTTAATCAACTAATAGCTCGTACAAACAATGTGCATGTGAAAGACTTTATTATTTTTAAAATGTAATAACTTTTTGTGGTCCAAATATGGCAATAAAAAGATTAAGGGTGGCAATTTGCCACAAAAAAAATCTATGTAGGTTGGGTTACCATTAACCAGGGGTGTGAGTTGAGTCCAAAAAAAATAGCTGAAAATAGCTGAACCTGTAAATAACCGAACCTGCGAGCGCGAAGCGCGAAGCCCTTACGGCGTGGGGTTCGGGGCCCGCCCAAGGGCCCCTAAAAAAATTTGAAATGTAGATGCTCTGTGGTGCATTTTAAAGCCCCCTGGCATGCCTGGGCCAACTATTGGTCGAAAATGTTTTGCAATTTATGCATGTTTTTAAGTTAACTTTTCCTTCATATTGGCTTGAAACTGCCTAAATGGCCAACTTGTATATGAAAACTGGGAAATTCAACCGCCGTTTTCCATATTTTAACTCCTTACTGCAGATGATTGATACACATCGTCATCGCGTCGCGTGTCCCGGCTTCAATCTGATCGAGTCGCCTAATTTCTGCCCATTAAGTTAACCATGTGTTCCATCCAAATCCATTTCCACGGATTCGTAACCTGAGGATCGGTCTTGTCAATGTCCGAATCAAACTCCGAACCTCTTAGGATAATAACACATTTGTGTTGCACTGACATCTTGCGGAATTAATGTCAAAATACGTTCGAAACATTTGAAACGGCACACTAACGTACGTATCAGCATGCAGCGGAATACGCAGCAGGATGCGTGCATGCAATGAAATGCACACATGAACTTTGCCCCGCATGATGCCCTCTACCGGCGCGGCACGTCGGCGACAATTTACTAGTCTTATTTCAAGGCTTTGTATTTGCAACAAGACGATGTTTACAGCGAGTTATTGTGGAGATCATCGCGTGTCACTACATGCATAGACACAGGAACGGCCGCAAAGAGTCCTAACGCGCTTCATGGCGCATGTGTGAATATTCATATTTATCTGCAGCCAATCACAGCGCCATGACTGTTGGTTCCCCGGATGCTGTTTACACGTTGTGTACACACGCGGCTTCGAGCTGAAAATGCATGCACATGGCATCGTATAGTACACACGTACGTACGTACGTAAATGTACATGTACATTGAATACTCGCTTGCACGCACCCCATCTCAGAGCTACGTGTATGTTGTAGAGAGCGGATCGCGTGCGTTCGGCGGCGGCGGAAAATAAAATAAACGGAAATAAAATCAAAGCTTACGCGCGGGGGAAAAAGCGGTGGGAAATCTGGACCATCGGAAGAAAACAAAATGTGGCACGCTGAACAAAAAAGCGGAAATCCGCTAAATAGCGGAGATTTCACACCCCTGAAATTTAACACACAACTTAACCTACCGGTACATTTGTATTTCCATACAACATTGGTTTTTTCCAGGTTTTTTTTTCAAAACACACCAGCAACATTTTTTTCAGTCCATATTACATCATTTTAGTTGTATTTTTTTTTTTTTTACTTAAATTATATAAACTTTTTTTTTCTTCAAAATTTGATACTTTTCCTGACAGCAAAACCGAAAGTTAACACCGCACTTCCTTCGCTTGTTGAAGTCTGGTTTCGTATTTAAACAATGTGAATTAAACCCCCCAAAAATGCACTCCCACCAAAGTGAATGTGTTTGCGAAAAGATTAGGGATATCAATCTCGTCTGGTTGTCCTGGCAACCAGCTTTCATTACAGGGACGGGCCAACTTGCCAAGCACAGAACATTAGTGCTGAGCATTAACCAATTACCGGCCAAAAATGTCATGCATTGTATATATTACAAGTGACTGGTTCTCCGCTGATTTTTGCTAAGTACAATGTACATACATTACCTTCACTGAAACTGGGCCATGATCAACAGAAAAGGCATGTACCGGTAGGATCATTTGCTTTCCACGCATCATTTGTTCGTTTCCAATAATAACACAACTCAAAATCCAAACAAGAATGTTCAAAACCTTGAAGTCTCAGCTCAGTGTTTATTACACTTTTTTTTTGGCGAAAACAGTGAAAAACCATGAACCACCTTTTGATCACAAAACACGATTTTTGTCAATAGAGCTCTTTATTCCATAATCAGTCAACTGGCTGATCGCTGGAAATCACCTACATTTCTTGATTTCTTCTCAATAGGCCATCAGCCTGGGGGTTTGGTCGGTATCAAATCAGGGCATAAATGATTATAGTGCGCATGGGCAAGGTATACCGCCCCTAGAGTGGTGAAAAGCATTTTGATGGTCATTTTGAAAAAAAGGTGACAACACCCAAAAAGCTGCCACCGCTGCAATGCTATCACATATTTTCCAATTCCGGAGGTGTATACCTTGCCAAAAATCGCTATGACGATTATTCCCCTCATTTGATACCGGCGGCCAAAATTTTGGACTGAGGCTGATGGCCTACAATGACAGCAAGCCAGACGGAATAATTTCACGGGGTGTTTAGTACCAGTACGATCTTTAGTCCAAATACCATCAGCTTTTTGGTAATAATTTGGTAGGTTACTTGCAGGATAAATGCAAATGATCTTATATCCCTGTCAGTCTTAATACTTGTTTAATCTTCACAGAACAAATTGTGCAATAACCAATACTAAAAAGTAATAAAAATGGCAAAAGAACCCCAAAATGTCTTAAATTTTCTTTGGAATATTTATGAATAGTCTGAAAATGTTGACGATGGCCAAAAATTTCGGATCCTCCAGTGAATATAAGACATTCTCAGGTTCATAGTCTGCAGACATGTATCGCCAAGTACATGGGGGTGTATGTTCAACATTATGCGACATTTTAAATGACAAAACATGCAATGTAAACATGCAGTTTGGCTGAACATAAATCCACTGAAGTGGCTATATGCAAGAGACTAATGTCCCACCAAGCACAAATGATATGCAGACTAAAAAAAAAAAAGCGTGAGTAAACATTGAACTGCCAGCTGTCTACACACAATGCAACGACACAAAACTACACAATAACATGCACACATTTCTTTTTCTTGTAAGTACTACAAAATAAAAAATAAAAAATTATAATTCAAAACAATTATAAAGTGGCATACTTGTGCAAATACACCTGGCACAAAAAGAAACTAAGCAGTTTTTATAATCATCCTTGTTTGGACATGTCTCGGCGAACAAAATCCGAAATGTACGTTTTGTCACGGAAACTTTCCAGTTCAATTTGATACCTCACTTGGGAACAGTGTGTAAGAAATAACGAGAGCGCAAGTGCTGAAGCTCCTGAAACGTCAAAACAAAAAGCTGCACAATTAAATACAGGGCCACACCGTATTCAATTGTGTGTTGCAATGCCCACTGAAAATCTCGCTAAGTGCAACTTTTAGTTTAGGGGTTTCATGAGCTTCAGCGCTTGCGCTCACGTTATTTCTTACACAGTGTTCCCAAGTGATATCTATGATATCCTCATTGCAGTTTTTTTCCAAGAGTGCATGTATACACATGTATGAATAGTGAACTACAGTACATGTACACACTGTACAATGTACATGTACAGTACATGTACTGGTACCTACACATGCACCCAATAAAAAAACAAACAATGTTTTTAGTCATTCTTAATGATACTTCAATGTCAAATTACAAAGTACCAAGGTATGTAACAGTGACAAGAAAACTGTCACACTTTGGACCCCAATTCGGGCAATTCACAATGCAGTGCACCACCAAGAGTTTGCCACGGAGAGTTCATTTTTCCCAGTGCATTGTGGGAGATGGTCGACAAATACGCAGCGCGGAACATTTGAAATCGTTAGTTTTCCCAGTCAGTAGTGTCGTAAGCGTATAATTTGAGGATCTGTTTGCCCTTTTCTTTTCTTGTCATCAATATGGTGTTTTTTGTAAGGCGGCAGAATGCAATGCCCCAATTTATAACATACATGTACCGGTATTATTAGCTCAAGTTGTCTACTGACACTCATTCAAATTGTCTCTGTTTTGTCGACTGCATACTTGAAAAATGGACTCTCCATGGCAAACTCTTGGTGGCGCGCTGCATTGTGAATCGCCCGAATTCATTGAATGACCAATTGGCAAGAAACACAGACTTTTCACAACACCGAGTAACATGCATGAGCTACAATGTACGGTATGTACACATCCACATACAGATTCTACCTCTAGTGGGGTTCACACCTGGTCAGGATGCATGGATGAAGATGAAGGAAAAAAGCAGACTATCAATAATTGATCATGCCTTACTCCATGTAAATATCCAGGTGGTTTTCTTGTTCTTTCTTATTCATCTCAGTAAACCCTTGAGACAAAATCCTCCCACATCCTTCCATATCTACTGTACCACCAGGTTTGGGAGGATTTTTTCCCCCAGGATAGAGGAAGGTAGACCCCAATCACTATCCGGTTTGTTAGTGTGACGTCATCTCAATTCAACCATGCGTACCTCACACGGTGTAGCATAGCACGAATGGAACCGGAAGTTAATGCACCTTGAGATTTATCCAATGGGCGCTAGTTATCAGTGGTGCGCGCGTGTATGATGTTTTTACTAACGAATCGGATGGACTCTGTGCACAAGTACATATACCCCCTCAACAGTTTACAAAGGGGGAGATGGGGCGACCACTAAAAGGGATCTTCTAACACACAACCGACAGAGCGAACCAGTACACGCACGTGGTGTGACCCGTCCACTGGGGTCTCAGAAGTGGTCAAAAAGCGCCCTCTTTCTCTCGCGCATGGAGTCCATTAGATGTCCTTTACACAGCTAGGGCTTGATGTCCCCTTGACAGTAAATAGTTGAAGTGATCAGGGACCAATTGCATGGCTCTGCTTACTGTTTCCAAAATAGCT